TATATCATGAATTATAAAAAATCGTTATATTATTAAAAGTTTTTATCTAGTTTATATAAAGCTAAACTATGTCTAATAAATAAATAAGGTTAGATATGAGTTAAATTAATAACTTTGCTTTATTTGATTTTAAATTATATTAATTTCAAAATGATTTCTCTCGATTAATTTTCTCCTTAATTTTAATTGATTTGCTTTATATTGGAATTTTTAAATTAAAAATAATATTGCTTTTTTTGTTATATCCTATTCAGCTATAAATTATGTTGATCATTCTTAATAATTTAATCCTTAATATCATTCTCTCTATTAGTAGAGTTATAAATTGATGAATAAACATCCTTGTCAAATCCTAAGCACTAAATAAATGAAAAATTAATTAATTGAGTTAAATGCTAGGTTGATGGATTTATTAAATTCAATTCTTCATCAACTGATAATGAGACATAAAAAAAAAGCAAAAGGATAGATTTTTAATAGAATAGATATATGAAACTTAATTTTTATATTCAAATTAAAATGATCAACATAAAAATGAGCTTTGAAATACCAGCATAAAATTTTATTTAAGAAGAATTCTCAATTCCCTTATAAAATGGTTCACAGAATTTATCTTTCAAATGATAGCCTTCCTCACATTCTAAGCATTCAAAGATACTTTTACATGATTTACAATTCTAGATATAATATTATAGTTTCTATTACTCCTGAACAAGTCAAACAATACATAGAATTGATATCCGCGTAATCTTATTAATCACATGTAATTAAGCATTTATCTTCTTTTCTAAATCCATCACATTCATTTTCACAAAAATATCCGGAATACCCGTACTAACAAGTACATTATTGATTAACACAAAACCCTCTAAAATTACACTAATTTTGACATGTGTTTTAATTAGAGCAGATTTTCTTTGAATCTTCTTGACATTTAATACTAAAATTAATATCACTAAAAGTAATAGTCTCATTATTAGGACAATGAAGTTGGATCGTACTATTTTCATTTTATTAAATAATTATATTTATTTCATTGTCTTAACACTAAAATCTATAACATGATTTGTCAATAAGACTTAATTGCTCTGATAATGTTTGAATTTTTTTTTCTTTATAAATTATTTGAAAGCATAAACTATTCTCACCTATGGTACTTTTAGTCTTCAAAAAATGCTCTATCTATTCTTATGTCTGATATTGGAATGGATTTTTACAGTTCATTCCTAAAAATATACTTCTATAAGAGCATTAATCACTTAATTAATCTTAACCACATTTTCCAATACCTGAATTATCATATGAACAAGTATATTCATTTTAATTACAAAATTCATCAATTTCTTACTCCTTGCAAGACTTAAATAAAAAGTCGCATCCTCTATTTTTACCATAAGTCATAGAATCACTCTTATATTTTAATAATCGGTAAAATCTATGATCAAAAATAATTGTAATACCCAAAATCTGACAATAAAGTAAATGTGAATTGAGATAACACAGATTAACCATTCATCTGCGTACCTGTCATAAGTTCATTAAAATAGATAGAACGTTCAAAATGATGACTTGCACTATTCTCTCCCCCTTAGTTTTCCATCAAAGCTCCAATAAAATGATCACATTAATAATACTCTTTTGATATATTAATTAAACGAGGAGTTGACAAAATCAAATGATTATTCTCATCTTTTTCCAAGGTCAGATTATAAAATTCTAATGTTTAAGGGTCATAATAGTATTGATAAAGAACTTCAATAAATCCAAGTGTATGAATAATTTCATGAATAGATGTTTAAAGATTTAATTACAAATTAAATGAATTTGCATTTTTCTAATTTTATTTCATTTATTACCATTAATAGTTATCTCAAATTCCAATTTATGACTCCAAAAGTTGGCCTCAAATCATATATTGTTATTTTACAAGGACCAGAATATGCAAAATAATTGCTTGAATTATCAAATTGGAATGAAACAAATATCACTAAGTCATAATTATATTCTTTAAATTAGAATGCTTCAGGAATGTTTATTCCACCACATGCTTATTTATTTCCAAAAATGAGGCTTTCATTTTATTTTCTGACCATTAAATGTTTACTAAAAAATATTTTTGATATCTCGAGTATTTTAGTGATATATTTTAAAGTTTCTTAATTAATTTCTGAATTTTCTAAAAATTGAAAGTATATTTAAATTGGTCTCCAATCTATTCCATCTAAAATTAATTAATTTAATTAACGATCCTTTCCTCTATTCAACTAACTTAATTATATTTCTAGATCTTAATTAAATGAATATTAATTCTATGAGTAAATTAATAGAATTTCGGGGAAGAAAAAAATTATTATAAGCATGTTTTTATTTTTATTAATTAATTTAATCAATACCCAAATTCTATCATTTATAAAATGAAAAAATACTCTTAAAAATATCAAATTGAAGAGAGAGAGAACAGTAAATTAGGATAAGGAGCCTTTGGAAGTGTCTTTACAGCAAAATCATTATTAGATAATAATTTAAACATTTGTGTTAAAGTAATGAAAAAAAAAAAACAATTTGGAGAAAATGTTCTATAAACTTCTTAAGCACCAGAATTCGATATTTGTAAAAGAATGAGAAACAAATCAAATGAAAATTTAGTTAAGATTTTTGATGTTTATGACTCCGATATTGAAGATGAACATGCATATATATTTATGGAAAAATGTGAATAAAGCTTGACAGCATACATGAAAAACTAATAAATCACAAAAGAATTATTACTCAATATAATATATTAAATAGCTAAAGGATATTAATCATTGATTAAAGAGAATATTATACACCGAGATTTGAAACCAGAAAACATATTATGCAATTAAATAAATGGTCAATTACAAATTAAAGTATTTTTATAAAGTAAATATTGAAAGATTGCAGATTTTGGATTAAGTAAGGTTTTAGACTCAGAGTCAGAATAAGATATGACAAAAAAGATCGGAACTCCATATTATACAGCTCCAGAAATTTTAGATGTAAAAAATAAAGAAATATATGACAATCGGTGTGATATCTTCTCAGTAATTTTTAAATCAATATTTAAGCTTGGAGTCATTATTTTAGATTTAGCAAGCGGAGGAAAATAATTTAAATACAAAGAAATAGAAAAATTAAAAAGCTAAGGCTTTTCTTAATTGTATTCAGACATAATAAAATCGAGAAAAATAGGTTTAAAATAATAATGTATCCTTTAGATTAAGAAATTGTTGAATTATTAAATAAAATGATTGTATACGAAATTTAATAGCGCATATCATGGAAATAATTATTTTAATATTTTGATGATAAAAGAACAAATTAAAAATAATTAAGTGATTCTCCAATCCAACCAATCATTTAATAGCACCAATCACCTCAAACAGGAGTTTAATAACAAGAAAGTTTTCCTCCTAAACACCACATATATAATACTCCTTAATAAAATCAAACTATAGCTTAAGAATAAAAAAATGTTAATATTCCTTAATCAACACCACCAAACTATCATAATTTTTAATAACTTCCAACTGGAGTTTAACCATAAGGTACTCCTACCCCACAGCTCATTACTCTTTAATCAACACTACTAAACTAAGCTAATCAATAATCACATTCAACTGTATTTTAACCATAAGGTACTTCTACCCAACAATGCATTATTCCTTAATCAGCACCACCAAACCCTCATAATTTTTAATATTAAGCTGCATTTTAACAATAAGGTACTCCTACCCTACAATTTCCTTAATAATCTGGAGATAAAAATAAATTTTTTTCTCCTATACCACAAAACCATAATCCTTAATTATAACCTGGAGTTTAATTACAATAAAATTTTAATTCTATGCAACCATTCCGAGGTTAATAGCCGCAAAAGTAAGATAATTAATAATTATAAAGAAATTCAATTATATCTAATCAATCTTTTGCTCCCAGCCAACGACAAATTTTTTAATAAAAATAGGGACCACAAATAGAAACTGGCCCAAAATTTCCGTCGTATAATGCAAAACCTTTTGGAATTTGAAAAATATATTAGAAATAAACAATTATTTTTATATTTTAATTGTCAAGTAAATTTTATATAATCATATTGAATAACTTTTTTAAAATTACTTTAATCATGCAATTCATAATCCTCATCTTAAAAGGTAATCTAATCATATAATAAAATACAACCTTTTCTAATTTTAAATAGTTTCTCAATTAATTTAATCTGATTGGATTTTTTAATTTTTGAAAACAATACTGTTCCCAATTAGTATCAGAAAAAAATGGATGCTATCTGATTTATTCAAAATTTATTCTTTTTTGATAATTTTTATTCGTGAGTTTATTTATTAAATTTATTGCTTCCTTATTTTACATTATTATTTTACCTTATTAATATATTATGGGTAGTTTATTTGACAAGTCAAAATACCCAAAATTATTTGATTTTTTGTATTACCTTAAAATGGATGGCATCCAGATAAAAGTTCGAATGCTAGAATTCCAAACTAATAATAATCTGTGTACTTTCCGATTTTTCCCTCATCTAAATATTCAGGAGTCTTATAATAGATTGATTAGAAACCATAATTTTGAAGACCTATTAATTTAATGCTTCCTTTGGAAGTCAATAAGACATTTTGTAAGCACAGATTATTGTAAATAATATTCTAACTATGCAAAAACTCTAAAGCAATTAATATTTAACTTAAATAATATTTTGCTTAACTATCTGTAATTCTTTCTAAAGCATTTAAAATGGAATATAAACTACCGCCATTACAATGTTCAAAAGCCAGATATAAATAATTCGGAGTTTGAAAAGCATATTAGAGTTATATAATATATGGGTTATCAACTGAGATTAATGTACGAACTTCATGTATAGCCTCTCCAAGGAGCCCATTTTATATTAATTACTATTTATTAAGACATTTTAAAGCATAAGTAGATCCATCTAATTCACAATAAGCTTTAAAAACACAGCTTATTTAATCATTCATTAATAAAGATTTTAAAACGAAATCTTTGAATTTTGGAATTTAATGAGTTAATTTAGGCATTAAAGATGATAAATCAGAAATCTTCCTTCTTATTGGTGTCTAACTATCTCTTTTTGGAGGAATACTTGTAGGAGGAGAGTCTAAGTCGATTTCTTCTAATTTTATGAATATATTGTTTAGTTACAATCCAGAAGCAACATTTTTAGTATAGGTTATACCTTTTTTTATGAGAGCCGACCATCTTGAAAGATGATCAAGTGTTGATAAACCTATTATTAAATCATTATGATTCTCTCCTTGAAGTTAAATGTAAAAGAAGCCTTTTTTAAGTTTAAAACTTGAATAGTTAGGATTAATCTATGAAATTTAAGATAATTTTATTGATTCTCTAATTTCAGTCTAACATTTATCTTTGTATCTTATAAGATGATCCCCCATAGGATTAATTACTAAATATCTTTATTTTATGGTCCAAGGACTCGAACCAGGTGAAAAATAGGTTCCTTTTGCTATAAATGGATTTATTTATGAAAATAATTAAATTTCTGTAACTAATGGCATTTTGTTAACCAGGCCCAATAAAAATAATTGCATTTTCAAAGATGCAATATTAAACACATTATTATTATAACGATCTAGGATTAAAAAATCAGCATCTTTTTCTTAAAGCATTTGAAGGACTATAGTATTTTCCATTCTACACGCCAAATGAAGTGCGCTAGTTTATTAGGTGACTAAATTCACATTAATACTTTATTAATTAAGCAAATACCTAGTTACTAAATAATGAATTGAGCTTTACTTGAGATATGCTACTATCTTATTGATATCATTAATGAGGTCCATCCATCTAAGGTTTCCTAATTGATATCTACACAAAGAGGTACTATTATTTTTATAATATCTATTTTCCCAAAATAACAAATCCAATGCAACATAGTCCAGCCTTCTTTATTTGTTTAGTTTGCTATTTCTTTATTTAAATGCTTTTCAATATAATCTATTTTATTTGCTTTAATTTTATCTACCATCGTATCATATAAATTTATTTATTTATCATTATGAGATTCTTCATAAAAATATGGACTAAAATCTACTTCTGAATGTTTTTTTTCTTTCAAAAGAGAAAAAGATAAAGAGGGATCAAGAACTTTGATTGTTAAAATATCTAATGGTTCTATGTAATCACAATTCCAGCCATGCACAATTCGAATCTTTTATATTAAAAAAAAGAAAACCTAAAAACCATATTTAAAAAGAAATAAAGTAAACTGTTCAGATTTAAGTTAGATTGCTTTACTAACTGATTAAATTAAATTATCAGTTGTTGAAAGTGTAACAAATATGCTTATTTATTCGATATGCATTTATGAGGGTAAGTATTATAATGTTAATTCCACATCCATTATTTTTATAAATAAAAAGAATTATATAATTAATTATCAATTTTGTGTTTTCATTAGAACTTTAATACGTATGGAAGATCTTTTTAACAGAGCAAAAATCGGATTTACAGCTTAAAAATATTCTCCATCAATCTAAAAGTAAGGAGAAACGTTTTTTTTAAATGAGATCAAAAATGGTCCTTCACCTTATGCAACTCTAACAGCATTTCCATGAATAAATCTACAACATAGGATGATCTTCTAACCTTTCATTAGCCATTCCTATCATGGAATTAAAGCCCACGAATTCAATTTTGCCATCACCAAAATCCTATGGGACGAAATTATCTTAGAGTTTCTAAGTACCTTCTTTGACAGCTACCTTTCCTCTGCAATTATCCCAAATAGCTCCAGCTCCACCAGAATATGATTATATATTTAAACATAGTAATGTAATAGGATCTCCACTTAATATAAACTTAGACTCATTAAGAGGTTGTTGATCTTCTCTCATATTTGTACCTTTTGTTTTGAATAATATATCAGTGGGGATATTATTAATTTATTCAATAGTGACATTTTATTCCTTCAAAATTTGCATTCCAGCAATTACTTAATTTGTAGTTGGATTCTTGAGGCACATTTTTTTAAGTCCTTCGCAAAAGTAAACACATTTATTACAGCACGCTGACTAAGTTCTTTTTTTATCAAAACCATATCCAATACGAGCATCAACTCCGATAGAAAAATAATTAGACATTCTTTTATCTAATTATTTTAAAACATCCTTGTCTTTTTGTAGAACTTCTTTTTGGAATAAGTCTCCTTGTTTCTTAATTCTTTTAAATAATCCAGTTTGCATATCTACACTAATATTGATTTCCCATAGATCAAAATCATGTATTTTAGCATTGAGCCATTGAGATATTTACTGTTTAAAGTTTCTTAAACAAGCTCCTAAGTCTCCATCTGTATCTCCACCCCATCCTAAGACTCTTGAGAAATCATTTCCTGTTCCAAAAGGTATAATTCCTATAGGACAATTGGCAAAGTCAACACTATGTTTATGCATTTCATCTACTACCCACATAACAGTGCCATCACCACCGCATACAATAACTCTGACTTAAACATTTCTCTATTAGAATTCTTTGATTCTTCTTAGATTCATTTCCACCTAGTCTTTCTAATGAAGACTTGTAAAATAAACATTAATAGGTTTTTGATTCAGATTAAACTTTATTGTTTCTGCATCTAATTATAAATACACACCTGCCCGATTTCCACCAGAGGTAGGATTTACAAAAAGAAAAAAAGCAAATTCCATTTAAAATTAATAATATGTCAATAACAAGATTAGGTGTATGTACATTAAATTAATGGGCAATGGACTTTAGTCAGAATGTTTAGAATATCATAGAAAGTATAGAAATATGCAAAAGAAAACAATGTTTATATCGAGTTGGACCTGAATTGGAAATTTGTGGGTACATGTGTGAAGATCACTTTTTGGAATCAGATACTGTTACCCATTGTTGGTATTAATCTATTATATTTATTAAGGGAAGCTATTGTTGAGATACTTCCACATACAGTAAATATTGTTTGTGACATAGGAATGCCAGTTATACATAAAAGTGTGTTTTATAATTGTAGAGTGATTTTGTTAAACAAAAAGATTCACTTAATAAGACCAAAAATATATTTGGCTGATGATGGAAATTACAGAGAATCTAGGTATTTTACTCCATGGAGTAAAGAAATAGAAGATTTAGAGTTACCTACTATTATTTAAATAGCCACTGGATAAAAAAGTGTTCCAATTGGGGTTGCGATTTTGTAAACCCATGATACAGAAATTGGTATAGAAATATGTGAAGAAATGTGGACCCCCATTCCCACTAGTGCAAATTAAGCTTTAGACGGAGCAGAGATAATACTTAATTCAAGTGGATCACATTATGAAGTTGGAAAAATAAAAGAAAGAACAGAATTGTTCAAAGATATTACGAAAAGAAATGGTGCCTGTTATGCATTTTGTAATTTAAGAGGATGCGATGGGAATAGATTGTACTTTGATGGATGTTCATGCATAGTATTGAATGGCAAAGTTTTTGCAAAAAGTGATGCATTTTCACTTAAAGATGTTGAAGTAACTACTTGTGACATTGATTTACAAGAAGTTAGAAATATTAGAATCAATATTAAGAGTAGATCACTTATGGCATCTAAATAAAAGCACTTTCCGAGAGTTAAACTAGACATTAATTTAACTTAGTAATAGAATTATGTTTATTATCATGATATTCCAATATCATATGAATCAGAAATCGAAGATTCAATTGCCTGTTACTTATGGGATTATATGAGAAGGTCTGGAGCTTGTGGCTTCATGTTACCTTTATCTGGAGGTTTAGACAGCAGTGCCACTGCATTAGCTGTATTTTTTATGGCTAATAAAATACTTAAAACCATTTCGATTGTTGACAACGACTCTTAAACACATATTAAAGTCTTGAAATAATTACGTAAGATTGTCGAAGATGATACTTTTACTCCTAAATCTCCATAAGAAATTGTTAATCGACTCTTTTTTACTGTTTATCTTGGATCTGAAAATTCAACCTAGGATTCTAGAGCTAGATCAAGATTATTAGCAGAGTAAATAGGCAGCAAACATTATGAAGTCGAAATTGATTAAGTTTGTAAAGCATGTACTTCTTGTATTAAACCTATCTTAAAAAAGGAACCATAATTTATTGTAAATGGTGGATCTCTTTCAGAAGATTTAGCTTTGTAAAATATATAAGCAAGATCAAGAATGGTACTTACTTATTTACTAGCTTAATTAACTCCATGGAATAATGGAAAAAAAGGATTTTTAATTGTTCTCGGATCTAGCAATTTGGATGAATCGATAAGAGGTTTCTTAACTAAATATGATTGTTCAAGTGCTGATATTAATCCAATAGGTAGCTTAAGTAAAAATGACTTGAGAGAACTTCTTTAATTTTGTTACAAGACATTTAAGTTTTCTGCCATTTAATTAATATTGGAAGCTAAGCCTTCACCAGAATTAAGACCTTAATCGGCTGAAGGTCATGTTTCAGAAAATGACATGGAATTGACATTCAACGAGTTAGAAACATTTGCAAAATTGAGAAAGGTATAAAAATTGGGGCCAGTAAGTTTGTTCAAGAAATTAAGATATCTTTGGTCCAATATGACTCCACAATAAGTAGCTGAAAAAGTGAAAAAATTTTTCTAATACTATGCTATAAACAGACACAAAGTAGTAACTATTACTGCTTCATTTCATGCTCAAGCATTTTCACAAGATGATAATCGTTTTGATTTCAGACAATTTTTATATAATTGGAGATGGCCTTGGTAATTTAAAAAAATAGATGAAAATTTGATATGAAAAAATTATTTCCATAAATATTATTTTTATTTGTTAGAATTAGAATAAATATAATATTAATAATCAAAGTCTTATCGGTGATAAGGATTTTATTATTGTAAAAGCAGGAAATGCTCCTTTTGTTATAATTACTTTCTTTACTGGGCTGCTACATGGATCAAATACGCCGCTAACCATTCCTCTTTTTACAGTTCTTTATTCACTTATCCTCTTATCAGAATCGAATTGAGAAACCTTCATTTATCTTGATTCTTATATAGAATGATAAAGTTAGGAAAGTATCTCTTTTTGAGCAGCTAATTATAATTTTATTTCCTGAATGTTTTATTTGGTATCTGATTAATCATCTCGAATGGTTACTTATATATTTTCACTCATTTAATCTGGTTTGATTTGCAATTATTTATCAGAAAAATTTACAGAACCCGGTAAGGAATGCTAAGAAGGGCAAGCTACAAATTTTAATTAAGTCTAAGATAACTATTTTTGGGATTATTTTTTCATCATTTGATCAATAGATTCTTCTTATTTAAGTTAATCTTGCTCTTTTTTTTTTTAAACAGTATTTTATTACTTTATTTTTAGAATATTATTATCTATTTATTTTGATTTGTTTAAGATAGATTCTTCTTAAATTTATTTTTTTATACTTTGTGTTTCCTTTTGAAATTGATTAGAAATAATAGACATCTATTGTGAACTTTATGATTAGTCTTACTTATTCTCAATATGTGATAATTGATTTTGCTTATTGATTGAAGTAATTGATTCAACATTAATTTATTAAGAATGATTTTATGATTCCTCTTTTTCTTCAACAAATGATGTTTATTTTTAAGGATAAAACTATTCCTGTGATTATTATTAATAAAATGAATGTTATTTATTTGAATAGTTTCGTTAGCTTGATTGATGTGATTTAGATCTTTATTATTTATTTTCTCCAGAATATCTTGAATGAAATGATTGCTTTGAATGCCTAGATTATCTTGACAATGTATCTTAAAGTTTATCAATTTACAAATCATCTAATTCTCTATGTGAAATTGGCTATTTTTTTATCATTAGAGACTCAGCTCTTGATTTGTTTACCTCCTCTAATTATTTGCTTGATATTCTGTTGTTCAGTCTTTCATTTACATTTACATTTTCTAAACTCTAAATATCATAAAAAAACATAGATTGTTGATTATTTGTTATTTTTGATTATTCGAAATGAGGGGAATTGTTTTGATTATCTCTAATTAACGAATCTTCTTATTTTTTTTTGAGTTCACTCTTTAATACATCACTTACTGATTTGATAAAATCTTGATGAAAGCTTTCTGATTATTATTGAGGATAACTTTCTTATGAATCCATTGAAGCGTTAGTTTTGTATCCTGGTCTACTTAATGATATTTAATTTTCTTCTTCTAATTATTATTATTAAAATTTTAGTTATTCTAATTCTCTTTATTATTATTCAATTAATTATTACATATATTATTGTTATTATTTGATTAATTTCATTTGAGTGTCATCTTAGATTTCAAATTTATCAAAATCAGTTTATGATTAACTTCTTTTATGTCTATGAAATTTCATTTAACTAGATTGATTAGATTCAATTTAATTAAAAATAGCTGTATTCCTCATATCTGGAGCAAAATCTTATTGACAAAAACTCAATTTTTTGTTATGATCAATTTGCTATTATTAGATTTTTTCCTCTTAAGATTATAGTGATTATTATTTGGATTCGTGAAACTATTATAATTATTAAGATTATTGTGATTATTATAATTATTTATTTTATTCATCCTAATTTTAATTTCTATGTGAATGTTAAGGAGTTGTTTGTTGAGAAGCTACTTGATTGATAGAATTGATTGAAATTCTTTAAGAAACAGGTTATGAGGATTAGATTGATAATTTTGAATCTCTTTATTATGAAAATTCTTTAATTTGTTTAGATTCACATATATATTATTATTCAGATTATACAGATAAATCTAATGGAAGTTATTCTGTTTTTTTAGTTTATTTTTTTGGTAATTTATTCCCTTCACTTTTGTATTTATTTTGAATTTCAACATCTTATTGTTGTTATTACTTTTTTTTATTACCTTCAGAAGATTTGCATTTTGATTATAATGATGCTTTGGATTGTTATAAATTTTATGGACTTTTAGGTTATTTTGATTAATTGGATTATATAGATTAATCAAGAATGGATTATTTTTATTACTAGATTGATTTTTGTTTTTAATATTTTTTAGATTTTTGAATAATTTAGTCAATATGATCTTTTGGTGATGATTGTTATTTTTCTTAAAATAATTCACTTCTCTAACTAGAATGCTCTTCACTATCTAAGATTGCCTAATAAATTTGGCTCTACTGTGATTGAACACTTTTATTGTGATCAAAAGGTTTGGTGAATTAAGTTTATAGTTTTTTAATTTCTTCAACATAGGCTGATTAGTTTAATTTGTTTGATGATTTATTATTGATTGAATTTTTTTTGATTGAGCTTTGGATTAAATATTTTTAAGAATTTGAATTAGATTTTCTTGAATTTGATATAGGTTTACTAGATTTAGATTATTGTGGTAGTTCATTTTAATCAATATCTCGTAATTATCCTTTATAGTAGTTAATTAATTTTGTGCTGTTCCTTTCAGGAGATGAATTTTATTTGTTTGTAAGAAGGGCATCTGAGATTCTCTAGTATGAAGTTGTCATAGAATTTTGAAAATACTTATGATTAGATAATTTGGTCTTGTTTTCAGGACTGGGGGTAGTAGTAATTTATTAGTGAATAGGTTATTATCGAGAGAATTGTATTTGAAATAAGTCTTCTATTTCTTTGATATTATTAAGGTTAATTGGTTATCTAATGGAGATAGGATTTCTATGATCACTGTATGGAACTAAATAAACGAAATATAAATAAATATACACATAAGATCTTTGGGAGCAGTACAATTTTTGACTAATCCATTCTGATATATTTCGATTAACTCTCCAAATCTCCACATTCCTTTTACCCATTATAATTCATCTTCTTTAAATAAATAGATGCCTCTTCCATGATATTTTCCATTTTCAAAGAATCCTTGATAGACTTCACCTGATGATTATTATGTTCTTCCTAAACCATTCAAGAGTCCATCTTTATATTATCCACATTAAAATAATCCATTTTTAGGTAAATAAATACCTAAACCATTAGGTGCAATTTTATTGGCTGAGCTCTTGCCTGTAACTCCATAGAAAGTTCCATCTAACCAATCTATAGATTATAAAGCAGAACTGTTGTAACATTAAACACCCTTTATATTAGGAATATCACATGATTATTCTCTTGAACTTAGACCTCTAGTCGGTTTACCATCTTAGAAAAGTATTATAACTTCTCCTTAGTTTGAATAACCAGTCATGCTTCCATTAGGTAAACCGTTGAGCCATTTACCTTAATATTTAGCTAACCTTGTAGATATAAGACAATTTCCATGTAATTTTCCTGAGTTGAACTATCCTTGAATTGTAGTTTTAGGTGGCAAGAAAAGAATTCCATTACCGTCAATTTAATCTGATTTCCATTCACCAAAATAAGCAGATCCATTCTCCCATAAATAAACTCCAATTCCTTATTTATATCTTGATTGTAATGTTTATCCTTAATATATTCCATCTTTGAATTCAAGTTGGGTTATTAGACTATTGCGCATCGCCGTTAATATTATAATATTAGGAGGGGAAAATAATATATATAAAATTTAAATTCTGTAATGCCTCGCGAAATCATCACACTTCAAGTTGGATAATGCGGTAATTAAAGTAAGTATTAAATGAAATACATTTAGTTGGTATTGAGTTTTGGAAACAATTAATAAAAGAGCACGGCATAAATAATGAGGGAATTTTGGAGGAATTTGCACTTTAAGGAGATGATAGAAAAGATGTATTTTTCTATTAAGCAGATGATGAACATTACATACCAAGAGCATTATTAATTGATATGGAACCTAGAGTTATAAACTATATATAAACATCCCAATTTTCAACTCTATTCAATCCAGAGAATATATTCATTTCAAAAGATGGAGGTGGAGCTGGAAATAATTGGGCTTGTGGTTATTCATAAGGTGAAAAATATTAAGAAGAGTTAATGGAAATGATAGATAGAGAAGCAGATGGATCAGATAGTTTAGAAGGATTTCTTATGCTTCATTCTATTGCTGGTGGTACAGGTTCAGGATCAGGATCTTATGTACTTGAAAGATTGAATGATCGTTTTCCTAAGAAAATCATTCAAACATATTCAGTCTTTCCTAATTAAAATGAGACTAGTGATGTTGTTGTTCAACCATACAATTCTTTACTTACATTACGTAGATTAGCTTAAAATGCTGATGCTGTTGTTGTTTTAGATAACACTGCCCTCAATAGAATTGCTGTAGACAGACTTAAAATACCCATACCAACTGTATCATAGACTAATTCTCTTGTTGCTATGGTTATGGCAGCTTCCACTACTACACTTAGATATCCTGGATATATGAATAATGATTTAGTTAGTATTTTGGCTGGGTTAGTACCAACTCCAAGATGTCATTTCCTTATGACTGGATATACTCCTTTAACTATTGATAGACATGTATTTTTATAATTAAACATTAGATTTCATCTGTAAGAAAAACTACTGTTTTAGATGTTATGAGAAGATTACTCCAAACTAAAAATATTATGGTTTCTACTTCTACCAAAAATGGCAATTATATTTCCATCCTCAATATCATTCAAGGAGACGTCGATGCCACTCAAATCCATAAAAGTTTATAAAGAATTAGAGAACGCAAACTTGCCAGTTTCATTGAATGGGGTCCTACTTCTATTCAAGTTGCACTATCAAAGAAGAGTCCATATATTGAAACCTCTCATAAAGTCAGTGGACTTATGTTGGCTAATCATACTAGCATTCACTCAGTTAAATATATTTATAATTTTTTAGCTTTTTGATAGAATATTAAAACAATATCACAAACTTAGAAATAGAAATGCTTTCCTAGATTAATACAAAAAGGAGCCTATGTTTAAAGATTCCCTTGATGAATTCGATGAATCTAGAGAATGTTTAGAATCCCTCATTAGTGAATACAAAGCAGCTGAATCAAAAAATTACTTAGATTGGGGTAATGATGACAATATGAGAATCGAAGAACAATAGTGAAAAATATATAATTTATTAATTAAAAATAAATGGGTAATTGTACCAAGATGTGCTATGTTAGTGAAGGTGTACAATAACTTACAAAAAAGGAAGAATTTGCAATAGAAACAGGAATAAGGAGTGATGATTTAATAATGCACTCAACTCAGGGTAAATCTAAGGAGAATAAAGAGGATTAATATTCATAATGTTCTAATAAAAGTGCTCTTCCTTAAATAATATCAATTGAGGATGAAATCTTAATCTAATCTACTTTAAATTAAAGTGTTCCTGTGAAACTAAGAAAAATATTAATGGAGGATGATGCATATTATGAAGGAGAGTGGATGTAAGGGAAACGGTGGGGATAGGGAGAATAGAGATGGCCAGATGGGTATGATATATGTTAATTTGAGTTTATAGATCAATTTACAAAGGAGAATGGTAGAACAATAAGGCTAATGGGTATGGTATTTTGACTCATTCTGATGGAGATGTGTATAAAGGAGAATGGTTAAATGATTAAGCGCATGGAAAAGGAGTCTTTATAAATTTTAACTAAGCTAAATATGAGGGTGAATGGGTGTAAGATAGATAAGACGGATATGGTGTAGAGAGTTGGCCAGATGGATCAATTTTTGAAGGTAGAATTTTGAATTATATCTTTATTAAGGTCATTACAAATAAGGGAAAAAGGAAGGGTTTGGGAAATTAACTTATCCAGATGGTTCAAAATATGAAGGTAATTTTGAGATGAATAATCTTAATGGATAAGGAAAATATGTTTGGCCAGATGGAAGGATTTATGAAGGAGAATGGGTTGATAATTAGATGAGCGGAAAGGGTACAATGAAGTGGGAAGATGGTATGGAATGCAGATTATTTAGGGAGATAGTATGAAGGAGAATATAAAGATGGATAGAAACATGGTGTTGGAACTTTGATATGGGAAGATGGTCATAAGTATGTAGGTTAATGGGTAATGGGTAAATAGGATGGGATAGGAGAGTACTTCTTTACTAATGGGACTTCTCGAAAAGGAGTATGGAAAGAAGGCAAACGGATTTAATGGGAATGATTATTTAATAAATACTATGTAAAATCATAATCCTAATGATGAACTCAATTTAGAGAATGATAAGTTTTCTAAACAGTTGGATTAAGATGGTAATAGAGATTGTTAATCTAATAGAACGCATTTTGTTATCTTGCAATTTGTTTAAGTTTAATGATTACAAGAAGAGACAAGAACGCAGTTTATTGGTGTCCACAAAGAATGTCATAAACTTAAAGGGCACATGTATTGTCTTTATTTATGTTTATTAATTAGCGATAAAGAGGAAGATACCATATACTAAGATTAAAGCTATTACATTGTCCTCAATCGGTACTGAATTTGTGATCCATGTTCCAGATGAATATGATTATAGATATAGCAGCTATGACAAGTAATTAGATTCTTATATTACTTTTAGACGCAATAAAATCGTGTCTAAGATCCTTGAGGGTTATTCTATATTCACTAAAGCTAAACTAGCAATGTATTATTATCATATTTATTGTATTTAGTTATTTTAAGGAAGATGTATCATTATACAATTATGCTACAACAAAAAGTGATAAGAAGAAGCACCTTTCAAAGATACCCTCAGAATAACCTTAATATATGGATAATGAAATATTTGCTTAAATATTAGAAGGAGAAACTAAAGAAAAAGATGATGCTAGAAAGAAGACTTAAACTTTGTGGGCTAGAGAGAAAGGTAAGGAAGTAACATTAGATGACTTCACTATCTTAAAAGTTTTAGGCAGGGGAGCTTTTGGACAAGTAATGTTAGTTGAGAAAAAAGACACAGGAGAATGGTTTGCTATGAAAACAATTAGAAAGGAGGATATTATTGAAAAAGATTAACTTGAACATACAAAAACTGAGAAAATGATATTAGAACATGTTAACCATCCATTTTTAGTAAATTTAGCTTATGCATTCCAAACTCCTTAAAAATTATTTTTTATTATGCAATTTATGAAAGGAGGGGAATTGTTTTAACATTTAAGAATGGCAAGAAAATTTGATGAAAAAAGAGCTAAATTTTATGTTGCTGAGTTATTATTAGGATTAGGACATCTACATAGCAAAGATATAGTTTATCGTGATCTTAAATTAGAAAATATTTTAATGGATGACGTTGGTAATGTATTTCTAACTGATTTTGGAATGGCTAAAATTGTTCGTAAAAATGAATTAGCTATGACATTTTGTGGAACTCCTGAATATCTTTGTCCAGAGGTCATTCTAGGATATGGTTGTGATAAAACAGCTGATTGGTGGAGTTTAGGAATCCTTACATATGAAATGATGTATGGATTACCTCCATTTTATAACAAAAATTAAACCATTATGTTTAAGTTGATAAAAGAAGCTGAACTTAGATTCCCTGAAAGACCAGAAGTAAGTAAAGAAGCCAAAGATTTCATTTCAAGAGTAAATTCTTAAATTATCAAAGTTACTTGTAAGAGATCGATTTGCTAGATTAGGAGCTAAAGGTGATTTCTAAGAGTTGATTGCTCATCCTTGGTTTAAAGATATTAATTGGGAATAATTGATTTTAAAAAAAGTACCTACTCCTTATAAACCAAGAGTTTAAGGAGAATAATGGTTAGATGGATTCGATAAAGATTTCACTAGTGAAGGTAATATGAAAAAAAATTTAATTTAGATCCAAACAAGGTAATTGATGATGATCACTCAAAACCTTAAAAAGATTACGATTAACAATTCAAAGATTTCTGAAATATATTCACATATGGATTAAATCATATATTAATTCCCTTATTATTATAATAATTAAAAATGATTTACAAATATTACTCTAAAACCTCCAGAAATATAAATTAATATAGGTATAATCACAAAAAAGCTTAAATTACCTAACCTTATAATTAAGTAATACAGTTCCAGAACTTATAGAATAATTTCCTAATTAATTCTAATCAACTAATTCTTTTCCATTAAAAAATAATCTGCAAGTTTTCTCTTTTGCAGCCTCTAATATGATTAATTTGATTTCATAAATCTTAGAAGTACTTGAAACTTAAATTTCAAAATCTTAAGGAAGTTTACTACTTTTCACTCTCACCTAGATAGTCTTTAAATTACTTTTAACATAGAGGTTTCGAATTTTAATTCAAAATTTTAATTGCTCCAAGAAATTGGCTCGTTAATAATGAATACAGGAACTTGAAATATTTGCTCTTATTTATACAGCAAATATACTACTGTTATCTTAAACTAATAATTAAATTGAATTGCGAATCAGTTTCAAATTGGCTTACTTTAAAATTTTAAGAATTTTGGCTATAAAATAGTATGAAATCTTATGATACATTCATCATTACAAGAAAGGACTTTTCTAATGATTTACCATTAAGAATTGTCTTTATGACTATCTTGATATAATTTATAACTCTACCCCAAAATGCTTTTTACATCTCTTCCCATTCCATTTTAGAGAAATTGGTTTAATATTGATTAGTTATTTTAATTCCTGTTCCAATATACTAATTTGGAATGAGTGTTATATTATTCGCATATTTGTGATTAACATTCCCAGGATTATCAATATCTAATAATTGAGTAATCTAGTATTATAGTATTATAAAAATATACCTCTTCCACATGGTTCAATGCTTCACTTTTATTTGAGCATACACCCATTTTTAATAATATTTATACATATAATATATTGTTATTTTCAAAAGTCTGCATCTTCTCCATCATCATCTAAATTTTCAATTCCATCTTCTTCCTCTTCTTCCTCATCTTCTTCATCTCCACCACCACTTAAATCATCTATTTCATCTCCTTCTCCATCTTCATCCATCTATTATTTATTAAAACCTCCATGTTATTATCTCATAAAATCATTATTGCGTTTTTCTTAATTACTTGATTATAATCTAGAGTCTCCTCCTAATTATTCTAACTAATCGTCATTTCCATCATCATCACCACCTCTCAATTCGTTCATCTCTGCATCCTAAATTACACCTCTTACACCTTATAATATTTAGTTTTTCTTCTTTTATTCAATCTCTGCCTATTTATTCTAAGCATCTAAAACATGTTCCAAATAAACTAAATTTCTGAACTTCTCTACATAAACCTAATAATATTAAGGATATTTCTATTACTTAATATAGTTTCTCTAATTCATATTCCTATCTATCATATTCTTCTTAATATGCTGGTTTCACACTTGTCATTCCTTTTAATCTTTTCTCAGCTTATTCTAACTCCTTTGTTTTTCTCTTTATTTTTTCTTCAATCTGTTTTTGTTCTCTCTCCAAACCACTTACATATTTAGACATATCTTAAATGCTTTATTCTTATTGTTTCAATATTGTTTAAATGCATTTTTAAATATAAGATTATTCAGATTGAGAGTTTCCACCTCGAGATACATTCGATAAAAATTACAGGGCTTTTTCCTAATTAAATGGATATTCTTAATACTCTAGCAATTCTCACTTCATCCTCTTTTCCTAATTAATCATATAATCTTGTGGCTAAATCAGTTATTTCTTAAGCCAATAACTTATGACTCTTTATATTACTTAATTTAGAGGGAAGTGACTTGCAAAAATCAGATTAATATGTTTACGAAATCATGTACTTCATCCTCCTCTGCAGGTGAAGATACTTAAGCTTTATATAGAAAAGTTGAAATTTTCAAAATTTCTTGTACTGCATAAACATCTGCCATATATAATCTCTTTGGATTTATCTTAAGTCTTGCTTTACTAACAAAAAGAGTAGTAATTTATTTTATAAATTCAACTCTATTTCTCTAAATTTATTATCTTATCTAATACCTCCTCATCAATATTATCTGATATGTCTGTATTTGGATCATATTTCAAAGCTAACCAATATAATATATCAGCAACCAATTCAAAATTAGGCCTTCGAAAGTTTTCCATTGAAATGATTCTGTGATATCCTAAAGCCCTCATTTATTCACAGAAGTTACGAAGTTCTCTATATGACATTTATTTATAATAATATTTGAAATTATAACCAATTTAAGCTTTATAATCACTTTCTATATGAGTAGCATATTTTATTTTTTTTTTTTGGCTTCTAATTTATTTTCTCTTCTTTTTATTCTTAATTCTTTTCTTCTTATTAATTTTTTCTACTTTATTATTAATTCTTAATTCCTCCTCTATAAAACTTATTCTTGGCTTCAAAGTCTTTTTAAAAATCTTGGCAAAGAAATTTCAAAAATAATTTCATCATTTAATAGTTTTTCAGCTTATTTATCCATAAGTCAAATAGCAAAAAAGTCGAGAATAATCACATACCATTTTATATTTCATCTAAATTTCTCATCCTAACAAAAACTGAATAAATTTATTCTATATTCCTCCTTTGTTTTTGATGTAAATCTTATGTAAAAACTTTTTCTGGATTAATTTAAAGTAAAATAATGCAATACATCAATACACAAGTTTCATCAATCAGCAAAGAAATGATAAAGGTTTTCCATTATTAGAATATGTTCCACCTGGAATGTTAAAATCAAACAATTAAAATGCAACCTTATTGATAAAGTTTCTGCAGGTAAGCTAAAAGAATCTTTTTTAAAAATCGACACTAAAAATTATTTTTCTGATGATTCAACCAAAATCATTCGCTACTAACTGTTTCTCCTCTTATTTATCTTCTAGCATAAAATTTAAAAAGTAATAAAATTACTTTTTTATTCAATCCATCTCATTTAGAAACATTATATTTTCAAATTAAAAAAAATTTAATACTAAAGAAATGCAGTTTTTAAAATTTAAACTAAATTGAATTTTGAATAGATCAAACAAATATTTATTTTAACATTGCTCGTTTTTTCTATTTTAAATTATAGTAAGGGTTCTAAGAAAATAATAGAACATTCGAACAATAAATTAGAGAACATATTTATTTATGATTATCAATTTATTTAAATTTTATCATTAGAAAGTGCATAAATTTTCTCTAACTTTATTTAAGTTAATCAACATTAAACAAGTAAAATGAATCAATATTATTAATAAATTAACCGAAAGGACAATGAATCTTTTTTTTTGATATCTAATCATTTGATTATTAATATTATTGAATAAGATCATATTGAATGATTGATTAAGTGAACAGTGGAAAATTTTGGAATAACTAAAATATTCCTTAATTTAATCATATTGAGACTTAGCAAGTTTTAATCTCAAATTTTTACAAATTCGGTAAAAGACTTGGTTAGAAATGCTTGCGTTCATACATTTTAATTAAGCAATATTTGTTATATTCTGATGTAGGGAATTTTAAGAATATTAAAGGAAGTGTTAAATTGGATGGGGTCTATGCATAATTTTAAATATCTAATTTAGAATATAAGATATATCTCAAAAATAATGGATTTCAAATTGTTCTTAGTACAGATGATGAAAATCAATATGAATTATGGGTTAAACTTTTATCAAACTGTTGTATATTGATAACATTCAATGATGATATGATATTAGGAAACTTGATTGGAAATGGAAGCTTTTCAACAGTAATTTTGTATTATAATAAGGTTTATGAGGGGAGAAATAAAGAAGGAGATTTATTTGCTGTAAAAGCAATCCCTAAAAAGAAATCAAAAATTTTAAGAATCAACTAATAATATGAAGAACAGTTATTGAGTGAGATATCAAGTTTAAGAGAATTGGAACATGAACACATTTTAAAACTTCATCGAGTTTATGAGACAGCAGAAAAACTATATTTAGTTACTGAATTTATTCATGGTTATGAATTAATCTCAAAAGCTGCCAGCAAATTCATATATGAGGGATTTGAGTTGAAAAGCTTTATTCATAAAATGTTATTGGCAATAAAAGAGATGCATGGACATAACATTATGCATAGGGATATTAAGCCATAAAATATCATGTTAAAAAATGGCAAGCTTTCATTACCATGTCTTATAGATTTTGGGTTCGCTGTAAGTACAAATAAAAAAGACTTACCATTTCCATCTTGCGGTTCTCCTGGGTATTCATAACTTAAATATTTTAGTTATTCAGCTCCAGAAATTATAAGATTTAATGAAACGAAAAAATACTACAGTAAATAGTGTGATATATTTAGTTTTGGTATAACTTTATTTGTTATGTATTTTAATTAAATTATTTTAGGCTCTATGGATTCAACCCTTTTAAATCATAAGATTGTAAATAAACAATTAAGAGAAATTCAGATGCATATTTTGAATTTCCAAGTTCCATTTATCCTTAAGAATGTATAAATTTAAACAATTTCATAATTAGTAGAACATTTAATTTAATCAATGACAAAAAAATATCCAAAAGATCGAATATCAGCTGAACAGGCCTTAAATCATCCATTTTTTGAGATTAAGCTCAATTAGACTATTCAATTACCTATGGCTATTCTTACTAAATAGTAGTATGAAATGAGCAAATACTTTAATAATATTAATGTTCATGCAAGTTTAGAAATGGATAGGGAATTTGGATTAAATTATGCCATTCAAATATGTTGTTAATCTCCTTAAAATCAAAAGAATAGAACAAGTACATTAACTAGTAATCCAAATAAATTAAAATAAATTGATGAATTTTAATTAGACTATTTTTTGGATTCAATTGAGATATCTCATATTGATAAGCTTAAGTTAGGTTAGAGGCATTTTTTTAAACAGAAATCAGTATTAAACAACACTAAATTGTGATCATTATTTGTTAACTGCATAATACTATAAATAACAGACGTTATTATAAATTTATAAATTCTGTTGATACAGATTATTTTTCATTTTCCTCATTTCTCATGAATGTATAAAATATTTGAATATAAATAAGTTGTTTAAATCTTATAAGAAATCTCAAAATACAGTTTTAATGAAAAAGATTTAAAATGTTATCAAGTTAAATATGATGTTATGCAGGTTATTAATTCCAAAGATTAAGAAGGTAAAACTCCTTTATTTTATGCTTGGTATTTGATATGTTGATTGATAGTTATTTCAACTTTTAAAATATTTTAATGTTTCTATTGATGAAAGGAGCTGATCCATTTATTATTTCAACTTCGGGATATAATGTCTTTTACATCTGTGCATATAGAGGGCATAATGAATGTCTTCACATGAAATATTAAATGTTGAGACTTTGCATGTTTAAAAATAAAAAGATAAAAGTGTAAATAAGAAAGATTTAAATTAATTTGAGAAAGGAGCTCATCCTGATTGTTAAGATGATTTATTATGTGCTGCTATGCATTTAGCAACAAAAAGGGTTTTTAGATGTAGTAAGGGTATTATTTGAAAATGGGGCTAATATTTATTCATTAGATAATAGAGATTGAACTCCTCTACATTATGCATCATTTAATATGCATAAAAATGTTCTTCATATGTTAAGTAGATATGACGCTGATGAAGATAAATATAGTTCAATGCGGACTACAAAAGGATAAACGGCAGATCAAATTATGACAAATTCAGATGTGAAATTTACATTTAAAAGTAAATTTTATTTCATGATATTTAGATACTGTAAGAAAACTTGTAACTTTAAAGCATGATATTAATGAATAGAGTTATGTAAATTAATTTACACCTCTCATTTTGCCACCAAAGGTAATCATTTTCTTATTGTTAAATATCTTCTATCTTAAAAGGCTGATACAGGACTAAAAGACAGATGTAAATAAATAATATATTTAGATGGCAATACCGCTTTGGATTATACAGTAAGGCAGCAGAATCAAAAATTGAGAAGTATTGCAAGGTCAATGAAACATTTATTATTTAATTTAATTCTAATTTACTATAATATATTTAGCAAAAATTATTCTTGGATTTAAATTTAAATTCTAAAATACTATCAATAAGTGTTGACTATTTAAATAATTAAGTTTAAATCACTCTTTTTGTTTAATCTGATTAAACAATAAGGATTGAAATAAATAAGATCTTCATACTATTCTAAAAAGGATTGAATGAAAATAAATGTAAAAATTAGGATTAATTTATTCTTATGGGATAATTATTAATTTCTAAGTTATTATACAAATCTCTAATGAAGGAAAATCAATTAGAGGGTTGCTTTAGTATATTAAGATAAAAAAAATATGTTAGTCAATGTCTTTTAAAGTAGGAAAAGATTTTTTTTAGAATGAGAAATGGAGTTTGATTTACAAGATTAGATTTTTGGGTTTAAAGCTTGTTATGGAATTCATATTAGATGAAAATTTATTTTATATATGAATATCCAAACTTTTTTGGTTCTTATAGTATTACTGCTAACAATGGGAGCGTAGACCCAATCAGTTTCTTCAGATGAAAAATGCACATGTTCAACAGTAAAATCAAAATTTGACTGTGTCGCGTTAGGGTGTACTTTCACTCCATCGACAACAACAACAGCAGCAACATGTACTTCAACTCCAACTGCTCTTGCTGTTGTAAGTGTTTATTGTGGTTCCATATAAACACCAGTCACGAACTGCCCTAAAACTAGAGGATGTGCTTTTTATGATGGGAAATGCCAACATTTTAGTGGATGTTAAGCTTATCTTAAAACAAGTACGAAAGAATGTTAATCAATATCAACATATTGTATATCAGATGGTGTTTCATGTATTGATCCTTAACCATGTGAAAATTATAAAACATTAGAGATTTGCAATATTAATGTAAGTGATACATCTACATAACTTTGTATTTGGGACGAAAATGCTAATCCAAAATGTAGGGCATAGAAGTGTAGTGAAGCACCTCAAACACTAAAATCAGATGGTGAATGTAATTAATTTAAGGCGGGATGTGTAACAATAGGATTGGGATGCGCAGATTAAAAATCTTTATGTAGTGAATACAAATCAGATTGTTATAATATGATAGGATCTGATGGGATTTGTGGAACAGCTACAGATGGAACATGTATTAAGAGAAGTTGTGATTCAGCACCAATAGAATATACAACAGATGCCTAATGTAATTCATTTGTATAAGGATGTATTACAAATGGAGCTGGATGTTCTAATAGTCCTTTACCGAATTGTTCAGAGTATAAACTAGACCCATTTAATTGTTTGAAGAGAATGGGAAGTGATGGATATTGTGTTGGAACAGCTACAAATGAATGTTAAGTAAGAACTTGTGAAAATGCTCCTGCAGACTTTTTCTCAACTCTACAGTGCAATAATTATTTATCAGGTTGTAAATATAATGGAATAAATTGTGTAAGTTAACTTCAAAATTGTTCTGCTTTTACAGGAACAAAAGAAACTTGTTCTAAATTTATAGGTTTAAATGGATAATGTTGGGGAGATGCTACAAATGATTCAACTTCAAATTGCAGAAATAAATTGTGTTCAGATGGAGAGATTAGTTATAATACAGATAAATTATGTTCTGATTTCTTAACTAATTGTTATACAAATGGTTAAGGATGTACATCAGAAAAGAAAGCATGTTCTACATATACAGGTACTACTACTACATGTAGTAAATGGATTGGATCAGATGGTAGATGTGAAGGAATTGATGCAACTACTGATAAACCATGTTAAGCTAGAATATGTGTTAATGCAAAAGGTGATAATTATGCTTCTAATGATAATTGTAAAGCTTATCAATTTGGATGTTTGTCTAATGGTTCTGGTTGTGTTTAAACTGAAACTTGTTTAGCTACTTAAAAATAATTAACATGTACAGGAACCACTGATTGTCTATGGTCGGGGATTTGTGTAGATTCTAACTGCTCTAAATATACTTCAATTAGTATGTGTACTAATAATCTTGCTAAAGGAAGACCATGTATATGGAATGGAACTATTTGTAGAGAAAAATTATGTAATGAGGCTGATAAAGCTACAAATACATCAGATGAATTATGTTCCAAATTTATGACTGGATGTATATATTCTGGAGATGGTTGTTAAGATTCTACTGCTGATTGCACTGTATTTAGAGGTGATAAAACCACTTGTCCTAAATTTGTTGCCAATTCCAAAAAATGTTGGTCTACTAGTGAAACTAAGGCTCCTTGTTCAATTAGGAAATGCTCTGATAATACAACTGCCACTTCTGATACAGATTGTTCAACTTTTCTTGAGGGATGTGTTACTAAAGGTGCTGGTTGTATTAGCGTATCTGAACCATGTTCCTCTTATATTGGATCTATTGATTAATGCAAATTGTTTAAAGGTGAAAATAGAACCAAATAATGTTATAAAGAAGATAATATTTAATCATGTAGAAATATTAAATGCACTGATAATACTACTGCTACATCTAATAGTGAATGTGATTCTCATTTGATTGGTTGTTTAACTAATGGTAATGGATGTGTTACTCCTGATATTCCATGTACATAGTATTCAGGAAATTCTTCAGATGTTTGTTAGAAATTTGTTGGTAATGGGATTGAATGTTGGTGGGAATCTGGTGGTAATTGCGTTGATAAAAAATGCTCTCATAAGACATCAGCTACTGGTAATGATGATTGTGCATCTTTTCTAAAGGGTTGTGTATTTAATGGAACAGGATGCTAGAATAAATCTTTAGCTTGCAGTACATTTACAGGGAATGAAAGTACATGTTCTTAATATTTTGGAAATGGATTATAATGCACTAGAAGAAATTTTTGTGTTGAAAGTGAATGCTCTGAAAAAAAGGATGCTAATTCACATGAAGATTGCCTTGAATATGCTCCTAGTTGTAGATACAGTGGGGTTAATAACTCTTGTATAAATGCAGCATCATGTGGTTCTTATACTACAATGACTTCTTAACTTTGCGATTCTACAACAAATTAGAGTGGAACAAAATGTTACTATTAAAATTCTACATGTTCTGAAAGAACTTGTGATCTATTAAATGCTGCTAATTCATAATCAGAATGTGATAATTTTTTAACGGGATGTATATGGACAGGTACTAAATGTACAAGCAAAGTAGCTGCATGTACAAGTTATACTAATTTTACTTAAGCTGCTTGTTAAATAGCAAAAGATACATCAAATAATTTATGTTGGAAATCTGCTTCAGGTACAGGTTCATGTGAAGTAAGAACATGTTTATAAGTTTCAAAGACTACAGCAACAGAATGTTAAAATCATTTAAGCACGTGTACTTCGAATGGAACTAGTTGTGTTAATAAATAAGCTAATTGTACATCTTATACAACCAATTTTACATAAGCAGCATGTAAAGAAGCCAAAACTACAAGTGGAGCTTTTTGTTGGATGGAAACAGCAGGTCCAGGATCGTGTATAGCTAGAACTTGTGAACAAACTATTAGTACACCTAATGCAAGCAATTGTGCAGCTCATATTTAAAATTAATGTACATATAATGGAACAAACTGTTTAACAATTTAAAATTGTTCTAGTTACACAAGTTTAACAATTCCTTAATGTCAATCAATTATGGGTATTAGTGGATATCTCTGTAATAAGACTAGTACAATTTTAACAGATGGTTGCGTAGAAAGAACTTGCAATGATGTGATAGCACCAAAAAAACTTAGTGATTGTACCACATATTTATCAAAATGTACATTTGATGGTACAATATGTAAATTGCAATAAGCTACATGTGATTTGTACATTGATTTTACATAAGCAGCTTGTTAAGCTATTGTTACAACTACTGGAGAGAGATGTTGGAAATAATTTGATGAAATTGGAAAATGTGAATCAAGAACATGTACAAACGCTCCTATTCAAACTTCAGAATCTGCTTGTAGATCTCACCTTAGTACTTGCACTTTTAATGGAAGTGCATGTGTTGCTTAATAGACTACATGTTCTGGATATTCTGATACTAATGCTTTAAATTGTTAAAAATTATCAGCTTTTAATGGGGACAGTGTTACTCCATGTTGGTTGGTTTCTGGTACAGGTACATGTATAAATAAATAATGTATTCATAATACAACTGCAACAACTGATTAAGAATGTTAAGCTTTTTTAACTGGCTGTGTAACAACTGGTAAAGGTTGTACAGATAATACAACTTAATGTTCATAAATGACTGGTACTTAGGATGGTTGTCTTGCATTAATTGGAAATTTTAAAAGATGTAAAGGAGGATCAGATTAAGGAGGAGAATGCAGTATCAAATATTGTTAAGATAATTCAACTGCAACTACTGATTCTGAATGTGCTTCATATATGACTGGTTGTCTAACAAGAGGAAAAGGTTGTATTGCCTCAACAGAACCATGTAGTGCATACAAGGGAACTTAAGCTTAATGCAATAATTTTAAAGGTGCAGGCCGAACATGTACAAATACAGTTTAAGCTACAAGCACAACTTCTTGTATTGAACGAAAGTGCAGCGATAATACAACAGCAACATCTGACGCAGAATGCTCAAATTTTTAAATAGGATGCATAACAAATGGAAGGGGTTGTACTTCTGTAACATCTTAATGTACTTCATTTTTTGGAACTCAAACATAATGTTCATCATTTTTAGGTAATTCTGGGAAATAGAAATGTTTTGGTACATCAATATCATCTGGTTAATCATGTGTTATAAGAACTTGTACTCATAATACAACTGCAACAACTGATAGTGAATGTGAAAATTTTTTGACAGGTTGTATAACAAATGGAAAGGGATGTGTTCCACCATAAACATGCTCCGGATTTTCAGGAACAAGAATATCTTGTATGACTTTTTCTGCAACAGATAAACCATGTAAGGGTACTAGTTCTACAACACCAAGTGCATGTAAAGCTGCTACATGTTAAGATGCTCCAACATCTTATGACACAGATGAATAATGTAATAAATTTAAAACAGGATGTGTAACAAATGGATTTGGTTGTGTTAGTACCATAATTTGTTAAAATTATTAATCAGAGAAGTCTTGTTTAGCAAATACATAATGTTCATTTATAAATTCATGTAGAAGTATTGCATTAACACTTTGTACATCATTTACAAATGCATCTGTATGTATAACTACTCCAGTAAAGACTTAAATGGGAAGATGCGCTTGGGATAGCACAAATAATGGATGTAGAAATTGGTAATGTACAGATGCTCCATTAAGCGTTAATACACATGCAGGATGCTAAGCACTTCATTCTACTTGTACTACAAGAGGTAGTGGTTGTGTAAATAAAGTTTAATGTCATGAATATTTGGATCAATCAATTTGTTTATCAGCTAAATCTATTTAAGATGATACTTGTATATGGGATACAACAAATAATTCTTGTCGTAAACGAAATTGTTCAGATGCACCTAAAGCTTTGAAGACTGATGAGGGTTGTAATACATATTTACCTGGATGTTTAACTACTGGATATGGTTGTGCTGCTCCACCTTTTGATTGCACTGCAAATATTACATAAACTAAATGTTTAGTAGATTCATCTGGAAATCCATGCATTTGGCTTAATACAACTAATAAATGTTAAAATTATACTAAATGTACAGATATCTAGAAAACCACCTATGCTGAATGTTAAGCATATTCTTTATTCTGTACATCTGATGGAGTTAATTGTGTTACATATAGTTTGTGTGCATATTACACAACACCTAATAGTTGTTTATTAGGAACAGATGGTTAATGTGGTTGGTAATCAGATACTAATAAATGTGTTAAATATGAATAATGTGAATAATATGTTTCTACATTGACTAATTAATGTTCTCTTTTTAATTCCAATTGTGTAAGCGATGGTAAAAGCTGCATTAAAAAACTGAAATGTAGTTAATACACTAACGAAGCATCTTGTATCTCTGGAGGAACTGATGGATTTTGTAAATGGGAAAACAGCTCATGCAGAATTAGATAATGTTCTGATGCCACTGAAGATACAACTCTTTTTGAATCTTGCTGGAAATATAGTGCTGAAAAAGTATGTACTAGTAATGGCTCTAAGTGTATTGACATTACTAATTGTAGTACATATGCTAAATCATATTGCAAATTAGGATCAGATGGATATTGTACTTATGATGATACTAATTCATTATGTAGACCTATGATATGTTCAGATAATAAAGATACTACTAGTGCTATCTGTTTAAGTAAAATTGGACTTAAATGTGTTTCTAATGGAACTAAATGTATTGACATTGCTAAATGTTCTTCTTATACTGATAAAGAAGCATGCAATGGAGGTGGCACTGATGGAACTTGTGTTTTCTCTCCTTCATAAAATAATCCACTTGTAGGAACATGTAAATTAATGACTTCATGTTAAAGTGCTGCTCAAGATCAAATTGCTTGTTCTAAAGCACCTTGTGTATTTAATAATAATACCTGTGGACCTCAAACTTGCACATCATAATAACAAGGCACGAAATGTAATTCCATTTAATCATTTGATAAAAAGACTATCACTGTCTGTGTACCTGATGGAAATGGTGCATGTATTTAAGGAGATGCTTCATCTCTCTCATCTAGCTTATGCTTTGAATTGAGTGGCAGAACTTATTCATGGAATCCATCTAAAAGTAAATGTGAAAAATGCGCTAAAGCGAATATTAACAATAATTCTACATAAAATTCAGAAGAAGGTGAGGAAGAAGAAGATACAACATATGCCATCTCTTTGACAACAACATTCCTTGTCATAATTGGCTTCATATCAATTTGAGAATCTTAAGTTTTTATTGATTAAATATAATATACAATTTAGTGTAATTTATTTTTTATTATCATATTCTACTTTACTCTTATGTTATGAATAGATTTAAATAATTCAATTCTCTTATCTATAGAATAAATTTAATTTCAAAACAATTTATTCTATAATCCTACTATAAAAACTTATCTGAAATCATTTTTATAATGTATGCTTATATAAATAATATTTTAAAACAAAGTTTAATTTTTAGGGGAGTAATAAAATGTTATATGATAATAAATAAATTTTAGAACCTTTTTAATGAGAAAATTTTATGATTTTGAGTTGTAGAAATAGTTAATAAAAGTTTATTATGAAGATTATTAAATAGATGTGAAAATCATTTTTGAAATAAGCATATAAATGAGTAGAAATATTATTTAATTTGAGTAATATATTTTGAATAAGTTAATAAAGATTAAAGATTTGTATGTGAAAAATATTAAATTACTTATGCATCATTAAATATAATCATAAACAAAATTTAATATTGAATTAAGATGTCATATATAAATAAATTGCTTATAGCAAATAGAGGTGAAATAGCTTGTAGAGTAATGAGGACAGCCAAGAAAATGGGCATTAAGACTGTAGCTGTGTATAGTGATATTGACAAAAATACTTTATTTGTTGATATGGCTGATGAAGCATATAATATAGGTCCTCCTTAGGCTTGTAATTATGAATCAATAAAACTTTAGTGCAATCATATTTAAGGAGTGACAAAATCATAGATGTTGCATTAAGTACAAAAAGTTAAGCAATTCATCCAGGTTTTGGATTTTTATCAGAGAATGCACAATTTTCTGAAGATTGTCAAAAGAATGATATAGTAATAAATATCTTAAATATTGAAAGATATTTGTAGGTCCTAGTGCAGATGCAATAAGAAAAATGGGTTCTAAAAGTGAGTCAAAGATAATAATGACAGATGCATAAGTACCAGTTGTGCCAGGATATCATGGTGAAACATAAGATCCTAATTTGTAATTATGATTTTAATTAGATAAGTCTTCTCTAGGAAGCTGAGAAAATTGGATTTCCAGTATTAATAAAAGCAGTTATGGGTGGAGGTGGAAAAGGAATGAGAATTGTTAGATAAAGATCGGAATTCTTCGAAGCTTTAGAAGGAGCAAAAAGAGAAGCATTAAATAGTTTCAAAGATGAAAGAGTGTTAGTTGAAAAATATATTGAAAAGCCAAGACATATAGAAGTTTAGATCTTTGGTGATAAACATAATAATTATGTTCATTTATTTGAGAGAGATTGTTCTATATAAAGAAGACATTAAAAGGTTATTGAAGAAGCACCATCAGCTTTAGAAGAGAAGATTCGATATGATATTGGTGAAGTATAATTTAATTCATTTATTAGAAAGCAAAAGCAGCTGCAAAAGCAGTTAAATATTCAAATGCAGGAACTGTAGAATTCATATTTGACTTGGATTCAAGTAAATTCTATTTTATGGAAATGAACACAAGATTATAAGTAGAACATCCAATTACAGAAATGATTACAGGGGTTGATTTAGTTGAATGGTAACTTAGAGTAGCCACTGGAGAACCTTTACCATTAACTTAAGAATAAATTAAAAGAAAAGGACACTCTATTGAAGCTCGTATCTATTCAGAAAGCCCAAATAATAATTTCTTACCTGGTAGTGGCAAACTTGATCATTATTCTGAACCATAAGCTTCTCAATCTGTGAGAATTGAAACTGGTGTTAGAGAAGGAGATACTATTTCTATATTTTATGATCCTATGATTGCTAAATTAGTTGTCTATGGAGAAAATAGGTAAATGGCTATCTAAACTCTTTTAAATGCCTTATAAAATTATTAAGTATTGTTTTTACATTAATATTTTAGATTCATGGATTACCTAATAATATTTCATTTTTAAAAACTGTTCTTTAACATCCAGAATATGTTAATTAATAATATGATACCTCTTTCATTAATAAAAACTAAAATAGTTTATTAAAATTAAAAGAAAATTATAATCCTATAGATATTGCTCTTGCAATTGTTGGTAGACATTACTTAAATTAAGTTCAGTTACCTAAATCACTATTAAATTTTAGAAATGGCGCTCAAATTCATAATAAATTAACTTTAAATATTTAAAGTGCTTCATATGCTCATTAAAAGGAAATTAAGATTGCTCATTATATTAATGGTGAAAACCATGAATTAGATATTGAAGGTTCAAAGATTATAGTACAAAAAATTACTAAAAATAAAGAACACAAAAGTTTATTAATTTTTGAAACAAACTAAGGAATCTTTATAAGAACTATAAGAAATGAAAAAAACTTATTAATTTTTGATGCTGAAGGAGATCCTATTACAATTACTGTATCATCTGATGAAGTTAAGAAGGTAAAATAAGATTTACATGGTCATGGTAATAATAAAGTGATTGTTGCTCCTATCCCATGTACTTTGACCAAAGTTAATGTAAAAGTTGGATAAAAAGTTAAAAGAGGTAAACTAGTTAAATTTATTATAGGTGATATTTTAATTATTATGGAAGCCATGAAGATGGAGCACACAATCAAAGCTGCTATTGATGGCGAAGTTAAAGAAATAAGATACAAAGAAGGATAATTCATTGAATCAGATGCTATGATTGTTAAATTAGAATGATATAGAAATTTATTAAGTTATATTGAATATTCTATAAAATTAAATCAAACCATCTAAACTTATATCATTTCAATAACTATTCCATAATAATTCTAAGATACAACTAAGATCATTAATTGTATAAATACTTTCAATTTTTATATTATTTTTATCAGCACTCCTTTCTCAGATTTTTCTCAGTAAGTAATTCTAAAGAAAATTTTGTCCATCTATTCATTAAACTTTACAATTCTAAGATAATTTCTAATATAGATATTATAATTCTTAACTTAATTTTTCTACTATTATTAAAAAATTTAAGTCCTAAGAACTATGTTTTTGTAAATAAATGATTTAAATTATAATTATTTTATAATTCATTTTTAATAAAATATTGCTAAATTCATATAGTTTTTATAAGCTTTTTACCAATATGATTTCAAATTAAGATTTAAATTATTAATGAACCATGATCACATTATTGATATCTTCAAATTAATTCTTTTATATAAAAAAAATTATATTAATTAATAAAAGTTAAAGTTCTTGATTAAGTATGATGGATATTAATGTAATTATCATTTAGAATAATATTTATAGACAAGAGTTTTGTGTACTTATAAATTAATAAAATTAATTTAAGATTTATCAAATGACTTTAAAAAATATATTAAAAAAAAAAAATCCAATTTACGGTGTTTCTTTCGTTTTAATTGTTATTGATTTTTTAATTAAGGATTATATAAAAAATTTCTATATGATTTTAATTAATGAGGAATTTAATTAATTTTCAGTATCATGATGAATATATTTATTAGTTGCAATAAAAATTATTTAAAAAATCTTTTATATTTTAAGCCATTATCTTATATATTAAAATAGATTGGACTTCGAATTTAACTTAGAGTTGTAGAATAAAATTTGTTAATTATTATTTTTTGTAATAAAAATATGAAATCTATTTTTATTTTATCATGCTTATTGTACCTCCTCATAGGATAAAATTGTAAGATTAAGGTCAAATTTAGGTAACTATAGCTGTTTATCATGCGATGTAAATGATGGCAATATTTGTAAAACTTGCGATACAAAAACCAGAATTTTAAGAGATGGGAAGTGTGAATGCAAGGATGGATTTGTAGAAATGTAAAATATTCAATCTTCAGAATGTTTATGTAATTAATTAATTTTATAATTTAAAGAGTGTTCATAAAATTGCATAACATGCGATATTACTAAAAGGGATTTATGTTTGAGTTGTGGTGAAAGTACTAAAACATTTAGAGAATTAAAAAACTATAATTGTGTTTGTATTGAAGGCTATTAGCAGGTTTCTTATTAATATGCATGTGAATCTAATAATTGGGATAAAAGACTTCATACATTTAGGTATAAAACTGATACAAATAAAAAATATTGGTCAAGTGTTGTAAATTATTTTGATAATACTGGAATTTAGGAGTAATTAATTAAGATGATTAATAAATCATATTTATAAGATACATAAGAGAGCTCAGTTTTAAAATATTCATTTGACTTAGAAAATAATTAAAAATAATATTTTTATAGATAAACAACTCCTATTGGTGAATTTTATTAATAATTAGATTAAAATTTATTTGCAGTAGGATATTTGTAACCAAAATCTCCATAAAGTGTTTTATGGGGATTTGGTTAAATTGAATTAGGATGGGAAAGTTAAGTATATTTTACAAGCAGGAAATTAGATGTTTAATGGAATGCAAGATTATATTAATATTTTAAAAATGGTTAAGTATTCCTTTAAACAATATTATCAGAATAATTATAAATAACAAACAGATTATTAATTGAAGATTATTCTTAATATAATATGATTTATTTTTTTTATATAGGATATAAATTGAATAGATTTTTGAGAGATTACGAATTAGAAAAATTAATAGATTATTTAATGAATTTAGTTAATGGATGTTAATCTTATTGTTCAGATTGTAATTTTAATTAGAATTAATAATAATGTTAATTTTGTGATTTGAATAGACAAGATGATTTAGGGTATTGTAAGTGTATTTTTGAAACTAATGATTAAACTAAATGTTATCAACCATGTAATCTTGATACTTGTGATACATGTGTAAATGGAGTATGTGTAGAATGTCCGATTGAATAATCTCCTCCATGTGATAATCCTAACATAAAATGTGATTATGGATATTATTCAGAGGATCTTTAATGTAAGAAATGTGAAAGTCCATGTATTGAATGCATATCAAAAGACTAATGTAATAAATGTATGGATTCGTATTATTTAAATGCTTAAAATTCTTGTGAACTTTGTAAAAGTCCATGTAAATTGTGTAAAAATGATAATGATTGTATTACATGTGTAGAAAAGTATTATGTTTAAGATTAGTAATGCATTTCATGTACAACTATTGATAGTTGTGAAGATTGTTAAGAGAATAATAAATGTCTAACATGTATCAAAGGAAAATTTAGTGATGCTTAAGGATAGTGTGTGAATTGTCCATAAAATTGTACTTCTTGCACTGCTTTAGATTATTGTTAAGGATGCATTGATGGATATTATAATGTTTTTGGATTTTGTAATTCCTGTAAATCTATTTGTTCAAGATGCATTAATAGTTCTTTTTGTAATAAATGTATATAAGGATACTTTTTAAAATAATATAATTGTTTACTTTGTGCTGTTGGTTGTGAAATTTGCTTTGAAAATAAAGATAATTGTTTTATGTGTAAACCTGGATACGTATTAATTAAAAATTCATGTGTATAATGCCAAAGTCCATGCAAATAATGTGATGTAAATATTAATAAATGTTTGTCATGTATTAATAACTATTATCTAAATTCAAACAATGAATGCATAAATTGTAATATTGGATGTATAAATTGTTATTCTGATAAATTTTGTTTAAGTTGTTAAAATGGATATTATTTAGAGAATAATTTTTGTTTTTAGTGTCTCTCTGGATGTTAAAAATGTTAAAATGCTTAGACATGTGATTCTTGTAAGAATGGATATTATTTTGAAGAAAACACTAAATTATGCATTTCTTGTCCAACCGAATGTTAATTAGATTGTACTTATAAAAATAATTCCGTTATTTGTAACACCTGTTCTAAAGGCTATTATAAAAATCCAAATAATCTTTTATGTGAAATCTGTTAATCACCCTGTCTTAATTGTAAATAAATTAATTCTAAATGTATTGATTGCATTAGTGGTTATTATTTAAATAATGAAATATGCATTTCATGCGACATTATTAATTGTAGGGAATGTTTAAATTCTACTTAATGCAATTTATGTCAAGATGGATATTTATTAAATGATAACAATTAATGCTAATTACAAAATAGTAATTGTGATTCTCATCAAATATAAATTTCTAATAGTATAGGATGTTAAGAATGTTCCTAAAATTGTCAATCTTGTTATGGTATTTAATAAGAATAATGTATATCATGTTAATAAGGATATTATTTAAATTAATGGAATTAATGTCGCAAATGTAAGTATCCTTGCAATGAATGTACAAATGAATCTAATTGTATCTCTTGTTAATATAGTATGTTTTTAGATGTGAATAATTAATGTCAATTTTGTGATAGTAATAAATGTAAAAAATGTAATTCAACAAATTTTATTTGTGAAGAATGCTTTGATGGATATTATTTAAAAAATTAGATTTGTGAATCATGCTAACCTAATTGTAGAAGTTGCTAAACAAATGATCTTTGCATAACATGTTCTGAAGGATTTTTTCTTAATTAGAGTTCTTAATGTACAAAATGTCTTGATGAAAATTGTATCTATTGTTCCAATACAGGACTAAGTATTGAATGCAAAGAAAATTATACCATAGATTCAAATTAAAAGTGTTATTTGGAAGTGAGCCCAATAAAATTTTGTGCTAAAAGTTTTAATAATTTTGAATGTGAAGTTTGTTAACTTGGTACATTTAAACTTTCATCAAATTAATGCAGTTTATGTAATGATAATTGTAGAACCTGTTAAAATACTCCAACATTTTGTTTGTCCTGTAATTCAAAATTTTATCTTAATTCAAAGAATGAATGTGATGTTTGTACAGTAGGATGTTTAGAATGTTAAAATAATGCAGATTATTGTTAATCTTGCGACTCAAATTATTTATTAATAGAAAATGAATAGAAATGTCAAAAATGTTATATTAAATGTAAAACATGTATATAAAAAATTGAGAATTGTTCTAGTTGTTATTTACAATATTATCTTTAAGATAATGATTGTATTGACTGTCCAAAAGGTTGTAAAACTTGTGATTCATCGACAGTATGTACAAGTTGTTTAACAAAGTTTTTTTAAAAAGATACTTAATGTTTAAAATGTCCACTTGATTGCTAAACATGTACATCTTATTCAGTTTGTACAAGTTGTATAGCAAATTATTATTAAGATGGAAATTCTTGTAAGCTATGTCCTTAAAAATGCAAGAATACTTGTTATAAGGATGGATCTTAAATATATTGTTCAGAATGTAGTATTGGATATTTTAAAAAAAATAATGATTGTTATTAATGTAAATAACCATGTTCAACTTGTATAACAAAAGAAGATGAATGTACATCATGTATAGGAGGATATTATTTGGCAATAAATAAAGAATGTCCAAAATGCAGAACTTAACATTGTAGATTTTGTTAGATTCTTACAGGAGAATGTTTAAAATGTGATTATGGATATATAATGAGTGATGTAGAAACATGTTCAATTTGTACATCATGTAATTGTCCTGAAAATCAATTTTATGATTGGGATTATGGTATTTGTAAAGATTGTGATATATCATGTAAAAAGTGTTACATTTCATCAACTTAATGCATAGCCTGTTAAAATAACTAATATTTAGAAATCACAAATAATACATGTTAAAATTGTGTAGAACCATGTAAAACATGTACAAGTGCTACTTAATGTTCATCTTGTTTTGATGGTAATTATTTATCAAATGAAAAAAAATGTTTAATTTGTTAATCTCCTTGTAATCATTGTTTAGATATTTCAAAATGCTTAAATTGTATTAATAGTTATTATTTAAATGATTTAACATGTATTAAATGTAATTCTAAATGTGAGTTATGTTCTTCTGATACTTAATGCTCTAAATGTATTTAAGATGGATAAACTTACTATGATAACATTTCATCTTGTAAATCTTGTGAATATCCATGTTAAGAATGTTATAATTCAGGATGTTAACAATGCCCATCTATGTATTATATATCTGATCAAAAATGTATTCGATGTTCAGACAACTGCAAATAATGTTCTAATTCAGAATGTTTTTAATGTTTAGATGGATTTTATATTAATGGTTAAAATTGTGAAAAATGCTCACAAAATTGTTTATTATGTACTTCAACAGAATGTACAAAATGTAAACCAAAACACTTTTAAAATGGTTAATAATGTGAAAAATGTATGGATAATTGTAATGTTTGTGATTCATTAACTATTTGTTCAAATTGTTTTACTGGATATTATTTTGATTAATCACTCCTTATCTGTTAACCGTGTAATGAAAACTGTACCTTATGTACATCTAATAATTGTATTACATGTATTATAGGATACTACCCTGTTTAAACTAATTGTACTAAATGCAAAGAAAATTGTCTATCTTGCACTTCCAATATTTGCAATTAATGTGTAACTCCATATTAAATATATAATCAGCTTTGTATACTATGCAAAACAGGATGTAAAAATTGTTCAGAACAGGAATGCTATTAATGTGAAGACAAGTATTATTTAGATCCAATAACAAAATTATGTGTTAATTGTAATTCTAATTGTTTAAGTTGCTCAAGTACAGATTGTTTATCTTGTAACTTGGGATATTATGCAAAAGCATAAAATTGCATTCCTTGTGAATAAAATTGTTTGTCTTGTTCTTAAAATGAATGTCTCTTATGTAAGGATTCATTTTACATTGATTAATAAAAATGTTTTAAGTGTTAAGATAATTGTAATCAATGTACAATTGATTCTTGCTTTGAATGTAAAAAAGGATATTATCTTAATGGAATATAATAATGTGAATAATGTATTGCACCATGTATACAATGTTCAAGCTAATCATCATGCTCAATCTGTGCTAATGGATCTTATTTAGATGAAAATAAATGTATAAATTGTTCACCAAATTGTGCTACCTGTACCAAAGACGAATGCAACTCATGCATAGTTTCTTTTCATTTGAATAATAAATCTTGTATATCATGTTCTACTTAAAATTGTAAAACTTGTCCATAAGATGTTTGTACTCTATGCTAAACAGGATATTGTTCTGCTGATTCATAATGTAAGAAATGTCCTAGTTCATGTAATATATGTACTGATAATGCAGCAATTAGTTGTGACTAATGTGTTGATATTAATTAGATTTGCCAAAGTGGATATTATTTTGATCAGATTAATCAGATATGTTAAAGTATTTATATAATTTAATGAAAGATTGTAAAATTGAAAATTGTTCAGAATGTTATTCTGAATTTATATGTGTTTCCTGTCTAAATGGATATTCATTGGCATCTGAATAGAATTAGTGTAAAGAAGAATAATAATTATCATTATAATAAGAATCATAAACTGAAGAAGTAGTTATAGCTGTTGGAGTTGCTACAGTTACAGCAATCTCAATTGTTTTGGCAATTTTAATAAAAAAGTTTTCTATGATTAATATTGCTATCAAAGCATTCAAAAATATACCTTTTTAGTTTTAGGCAAATTAAAATGTATCAGGAGCTGCTCTATCTAATTGGGAATAAATACCAAATTTTAATTCTGATTAATTGGATTAGATATAAAAAGGATAAAATTTTTAAATGTTATGATGTTTATTCTATAATTACTTAGAATTTAAATGAAGTTTAACATAAAAATAATTTCATTCACTCTAATTTTAAGATATTTTTTGAGCTAAATTACTACCCTCTATCAATTTTTCTATATCATATTTTTAATTTAATGTTTCTTTAGCTAATTTCAAAGTCTACCATGTTTGAGATCTTTCTGGACATACATTATTATAGAATTTCTTTTTTGATAAAATATAGATAAACTTAAGCATCTCCTAATTTTGGTTCTAAAATTAATGCTTTTTCTAGCCATCTTTTAGTTTTTAATTTTACCCTGATTTAAAAAGACCTTAGCAGTAAATAGATAAACATATAGATTATCAACAAATAATCTAACAGCATCAGATATCTTTTTTCTTGTAGTCTTTAATGACCATAATTCTCCATCTAATTAACAACATCATAATGCTTTGCTTAATAAGAATTATGCTGCTTTATGATTCTTAGCATCAATTTCTAATCTAATAACTTATGCCAAAAGTCCTCAACTTTTCGGATTCTTTTCTCTTGCTCTATCAATTAAAGTTCTAGCTCTAGATAAAGTTATTATTATTAACATTCAATTACGATATAAGATAACCATATATTTAATGAACTGTCTAGAGTTTTAATAGCTTCTTAAAAGATCTATCTTGCCCTTTAATTAATTTTTGCTTATCCATATAAGATCCATAATGTATCTGATTAAGTAATGTTTTTTCAACAAATTCTATCTACTTATTTATTAAAAGCATTTCATTAATTTAAATATCTTTATCCATGTTTTACATTAGGAATTAAATTATCTTATACATATTAAAGATATAAATAAGTTTTTTTCATAATTACTTTATTACTTTTCTAATTTACTTAGAGTTAATATAATATTTTCTATTTTTGGAGATTTTTCAAATACTCTAAGTAATTTAATTATCATCAAGATACATTATGAATCAAGTTTTAAACATAATAATGGTACTCTTGCTTCACTTATTTCATTTAACTCATGTGCATTTGTTTATAAATTCTTTTCTTAAAGTCAAGCTGACATTAGAACTGATTTAGGAACGGGTGTTATTTTATATCACTTTTTCTCATTTATTGAATAATAATATCCATTCTATTCATCATATTTTTTTATCATTATCTACTTTTGCTAATTCTATGTCACTTCTTGAAATAGATCCATTTTTATCTCTTCTTTTCCCTGATACATAGTTTGTTGGTTAATTTCCAGAATCCTTCTAAAACATATAAAATTAATTTAATTATTTTATTTCATTTTATAAATTCTATTTATTAAAAAGGTTATTTAGCTTGTAAATTATTTTTATTTACTTAAGCAAATCTTAATTGTGATCTCATTAAATTAATCAATATTAGCCTTTTTACTTTTATTATGTTAAAATATTTTCTTTACAATATTGTTATTTTGTTGTTCTATTGTATCAAAAATCCCAAAAATTATAAAATTAAGCATCTTTTCCAATAAATAAGAAAGTTTTATGTTAAAAATCTACATAATTCTATCTAAATAGAAATTTTATAAAAAATCTTTAAATTTATTCAACAAAAAGGGTATTTAATTTGAAATAATCACACTATTAATAAATAAAGGTAAAACGAAAGAATTTGAGGTTATAAAAACTTAAATATTAGTCTTCATAGTAATATTCTATGAAGAATATTTATTAATAAATTTTTAATCAAATTCGTTAAAAAACACTATAATCTAATCTTTTTAATTAATTTTTTTATTTGTTTAATGAGAAGCGCCCACCAATTAATAACTCAATTTGAACTAAATGGTTTCACTCTGCCTTAAATGGAAAAGAACATGTGTATAACCTTTCTGAAGGATCTGCTCTAATAAAATCCTATTGATATGGAATTCATACTTGCAAATACTTCACCATCTCCATAATAAAGGATATTATTAACATCAAAATCAAATATCCTCCATCTGTTAAAAGAAGATAAAGATCCATCAATAACATAACCAATATTCGATTACAGCCAACTAGAAAATCTGATAACAAAGAAAAATAGAAACAAAATCAATGAAATAAAAACAAAAGTTGAAACATTACTTAATAGCAATAACATAGATCCTCCATTGACCATAAAAAAGAGGTATTTTATTAAGTATTTATATTAGATGGTGGACAGAAGAAGAAGATCAACAACTTAAAGAATTAGTAACACAGCATGGAGCAAAGAATTGGAAAAAAATAGCATCTTACTTTGAAGAAAGAACAGATGTATAATGTTTGCATAGATGGCAAAAAGTGTTAAATCCTGATTTAGTTAAAGGTCCTTGGACTTAAGATGAAGATGAATTATTAAAAAAATTAGTAACAAATTATGGTCCTAAAAATTGGAGTTAAATTGCTAAGCATTTACCAGGTAGAATTGGAAAATAATGTAGAGAAAGGTATTAAATAAAATCATTCTTAGATTTCATAATCATTTAGATCCTAAAATAAATAAAGAAAGATGGACTGATGAAGAAGATCAAACAATAATAGAAGCACATAAAAAATTAGGAAATAGATGGTCATTAATAGCTGGATTATTAAAAGGGAGAACTGATAATTCTATTAAAAATCATTGGAATAGTACTTTAAAAAGAAGATTAAAAATGTTAAATAGATGGGAGGATCTTTAAGTACTTCCAAGATAAGATGAAACTTTAGTTAAAGGTGTTCCTAGAAGATAAGTATAAAGAAGAATAATGTATTATAAAACACCTGAAAAATTAATTAAAAGAGATCCAGTATCTAGATAACTAAATTTCTAAACTCCATATTCTAATACTACTCCAAGTAAAATTTTATTCCAAATTTTAGAATCTGAATTGACACCAAAAAATTTGAGCATTGTTTATCCAAATTTATTAGCCAAAGATGCTTAAATGATGTAAGAATTTATTTACTAATTATTTAGTGATTCTTCTTAAGCATTATTCAAATAATTAAGTGAATTAACTAATTTGGATCTTGATTTCAATAAATAATATAGTTACAAATGATAAAATTTATAATCTTATTATTCTCTCTATTTGCTAGTGAAAATAATATATTCTATATAGACAAATAAATATGAAACATTTTTTGTTATTAATAATAAACAAATGGTATCAATTTTCAATGAAATTCTATTAATAAGAACTTTTTAGAATATCAAATTATTTCTTAATCATACAGCAAAAATTGATAATATTTTAGACTCTAGATATCTAATTTAATTGAGAGATTCTTACTATTAAATCATATAAAATTCTAGAACTAAAAATAAGTAATAATTTGTAAAAATATCAATATTTTGATTTTTTTGGAATAAATATTTAAATTAAATAAAAACTTTGGTAAAATCACTAGCTGTGTTATTTATTGCAGAAAAAGTTGAATTAGATTGAAATTTAAGATTTAATAATTGGTTTTGAATTGATGAACAAAAGTTGAATAATAAAAAATTTAATTAAATTATAAGTTTCAGTTTATTCGCTGTGAGTATTAATCTATTTCAATTATGTAATATTAGTAATAAAATATCAATGTTTTCAAAAATACTCTCAGATTCAATATGCAAAGATGAAGTAAATTTATAATAGAAAATCTCATCTACTCTGTCAGTAGAGATGGAACCATTTTCAGATTTTGAATCAAATTTTCATTGTACTATTTTTTTTTTATTTTTACTTAATAGTGTCATTCAATACCAAAGAACCTTTATAATTTTAAGACACAGAAGATCAAGAAATGATCTTTAAGATTAAGGAGGATGATACGTCTCTGTAATGTTAGAACTAAGAACTAAATAAAAGAAAATAAAAAATTTGGAATGATGAAGAAGATTCAAGACTTAAATTTTTATATGTTGAATTCTTAGGAAAATGGAATGAAATTGCAAAACATATGCCTCAAAGAAATGCATCTTAATGTTAACAAAGATGGAGAAGAATAAATCCACCAAAAGATGTATTTTTATTTATTTATTGAATTAGTAATCTAGACATATTTGGACTTAATAAGAAGATGATCGATTAAAATAATTAGTTTAAGATATTGGAAAACAATGGATGAAGATTGCTAAATGTATTATTATTATTAAATTTAGGTTTTGGTAATATAACAGGAAAATAAGCAAGAGATAGATATATAAACAAATTGGATTAATCAATAAACAAATAGCCATGGACTTATGAAGAAGATATGTTCATTTTGGATTAATATATAAATAATGGACCTAAATGGACTAAAATTTCGAATCATCTTAATGGAAGACCTGTAATTATAACTTCTATATTCTATAGGAAAATCATGTTAAGAATAGATTTTATAGCTATATTAAAAGGAAATATTTGGGAGAATAGAATAGATACCAAATAATATATTCCTGAATGGCTTCTCATTTTCTCATCTAAATGAGAAGCTCAATATTTATTGAGTTATATATATATATACATCGCGTTATTATCTATAATTGCATTAGATAATTGAAATTTTTTTCTGGTTTGTTGAAATTGAAATCGTAGTTAAAAGTAAAACCCGATTATAAATTCAGTTTTTTCAAGAATTTATTATAAATAAGCAATAGTATTAACAGCTCTAAATTATAAAAAATATTAAAATTATTAACATTATAAGAAACAATCATTTATATCATAAATCATCATCATCTGGAGCTGGTTTGTTCATATTGATGTCTACTTTACCATCATCTCCCATTTTTACTTTCTTTCCATTAATTGTGACATAATCATCATTTTATTTTCTCTAACCTTTTTCAATGTCTTTACATGACTATTTAAAGTAAAATCAATAAAAATACATTTGTCAATTTGTAGCAAATTTCATCTTCAATAGTATCATTACCTTTTCTGTTCATCAAGGCTTCTGTTACCTCTTCTGACCATCCAGACATAAATGCTTCACATCCTTTTTTCATATCAGGGGGAGGATATTCATAAACACTGAAATTTTTCATTTGGCACATTTCAGATAGAGCATCAGTAATATCTGATTCTTTAGTTGATGTTTTCACTTTTTTTAATGTTTCTCGAACGATTGCTTAACAACTATTGCAATAAAGTAAAGCTTCAACAGTTGTTGGTCTTCTGTCATCAGTCTTTTTCTTTTTTTTAGCAGCTTCTAAGAGGAAAAACAAAGTCACAAAAACGAAAAGAATTTTCATTTTAATTAATAATACGTGTCCTTAAAAATATTGTTCTTTTATTCAAATTTTATATAATGTATATATATAAATTTATATAACCAAATTGCAAATTTTAGAGATTTAGATTAAGCATTTCAACATATCCTTTTATTCTTACTAAATTGGTTCATTTTGTGATAATTGAATTAAATTATTTTTATTTTATAGTATAAGTAATATATTGGAATGAGATTGTAAATGATAAATGATATAATAAATAAACGATTAAGATTTATTGGAATTAAATTGCATAAATACTCTTAATATACTTACCTTTAAATAATCTATAAGGCAATGCAACTCTTTCTTAGAATTAATTAAAATGAAAAATATTTATAATTAATTATAAAATATCAATATAAATCTTTAAGAGTGAATAGTAGGTATATAGCTTATATTGATTTAAAAATTTAATACGAGTTATTATTCTTAATCATTTGTATAATTTTGAATCTTAAATTGGTGTCTAAATATAGGAAAGTAATAAGATATAAATATAACATAAATAAAGAATAATGGGACCGATAAATAAGTTGTAAGCATTTGTCTGTGCTCAAACATTCTGGCCATAATTTATGGTTAGATGGTTTTAATCAGAAAAAGGACCATTCACCATATTTTTCTATTGTCCTTTAGCTAAATGTGGGATATCGGTGGCAAACATTTATGACATCATAAAAAAACCTGTCGATACTATAAATCCAGTCCAATAGTCAGTTATTGCTATGTCCGGAACTTTATTTGCAAGGTTATTTGAAATTTCTAAAAATAGATGGTGTTGGATACTTAAACCTCGATAATACATGTTGGTAGTAGCCAATGCAATTATGGGTTCGACAGGGGTGATTTAGTTGTACAGAAAATTGTAAACATATTGAAAGATTAAATTTAGTTAAGCATGACAATTGTTTTGATATATAGAATCCGTATCGATATATATAAATATATATAGTATAATCAATATAAATAACTTCTAAGTTATGAATTGGTTACTTGATAGTATTTTATGATGAATGCTATTTTTAGATTTTTTAATTGCTTAAAAAATAACTTATATTTGAGTAGAATTATATTCAATAATTTTATAATGTTTATAAATAGATTTAAAGCGGATTTGCATTTTTGAGTATTGAAAGAAGAAGAAATAGTAATAGAAAGTTTATTGTAAATAATATCAATATTAATTCACTTAAATACATTCTTCTTTTTATCATCAAATTATAATTATACGACCTTTTCTCCTAAAATAAATATAAACTGCCTTTTTTAAATAGCACTCTCTTAAGATCAAGCTCAAATAACAAATCTACAAAATGTAGATAATAATATACTTCATTTTTCAAGAATTTCTCCTTTTGATTTTGAGATTTCCTAGTATAAAATATTTAATGGAAAGATGATTTAGTTTATTAATGGTGATCAAACTTGAAAAATTTCTAAAAACAATCACGACAAAGTTTCTTTGATTGATGACAAAAAAACATTGATTTAAATATTTAGTAGAATAGCATAAGTTCATCAGAAATCGCTTTATAATTTAACTCTAGGTTGTCAAGATGATTTACAAACTTGCAGATCTCCTCATATATGAATTTTAAATTCTATGTCTACAATGATATCCAAAATTTGATTTATAATTATAATAAGGTAAATAAAAGATTTATTGGATTATAAAAAGCCATTTACTCCTTGGTGAATATAGACCTATATTCAGATTAGAATGTATAAGAATTAAAAATCTATCATTGGTTGATAATAGATACAATAGATTTTCTGCAGTAAAAAAAGGCTATCTTTCCAAGGATTGATATCTATTTAGAATTATGAATAGTGAAACCTTGTTAAATTTATCTACAAACTTCAATAACATAAATATAAGATTAAAATGCTGTATTAATATTCTTAAATAAATGAAAATATCACTCTTGCTAAGTGGTTCTTCTTATTTATGACTATGAACCAGTCGTACCTGTTACAGATAAAGTGTTACCTGTTCTTGAAGTAACTGTTCTTGATGTCACTACTACTTCCTAAAATATATTAACAATTTTACTTTCTTCTAAGCACTCTTTTTAAGTGATTCCAATTCAGCTTAACACATGGTTAACTCTTCTTAACATTTATTGTATTCATGATTAGCTTTAATAAACTTTTATTTCCAAACTTCAACTTCCTATGATAAATATGTCACCTTCTCTTAAATCACTGTAGTTCCTTAAGATTCTAATTAAGTATATCTATATTTCCAATCCTCAAGTTCTGAATCTTTGCTTTATATTTATACTTATAATCTATTAAATTCAGAGGTCATCATGGCTAATTTATTCTAATAAATATGATATTTAACTTTTACTTCTAAGTCTCTCAATTGCATAATAAGTTCATTATTTTTAGTATATGATTCTTATTCTATAGTTGTGTATTTATTCTTCCAATTCAAAATATCTTAATTAGCTTATTGTAATTATCTTTCTAATCTTGATATTTCATCTCTTGCTAATCTTAATTGACTTTCTAAATCTCTTAATTAACTTGTATCTTAAGCACTTGTCTATAATTTAGATATTTATAATCTAAGTTGTTAAATTTCAGCATCCTTATTTTAAATTAATAGTTTTAATCTATCATTATCACTTTAACATTCACTATAATGAAGTTCTAGATCAGCTATTTATCTTCTTAATCCTGCAATCTAGTCTTCTAATTAAGTTCTCATAGCAAAGAATTCTGCTTACATTGATGCTGTATCTGCAGCATTAGCACTATGCAATGTTATATCACCACGCATACTCTCTAATTATTATTCATAATTAATTCTCATTTGCATCATCTAACTTTTCACTTATTCATTTTCTTATCGTAAATTACGTAATTGTTATTCTAATTACTCTACACGAGTATTATCAGTAACCTTCTCTACTACTACTTTCTCAATCACTTTTGCTTCCTTTCTTCTCTCCAAATCAGCAATTATTGATTATAGATATTCACATTCTAATCTCCAAGGAGTTTCTATCTCTTCTTTTGATACAACAACTATGTTCATGCATAAAGGTGGTGCTTATTAACAATTCTGTTGTACACTATATGTCCCTGGATACGACAACTAAGGTATTTACATATTCTGTCTTAAAACATTTTGACTTTATATTCTTTAAGGAGGTAGCTATTGTGTTTATTTCAAGGGGGCTTCGCTTTGGGTCTAAATTTAAGTTCTTTGTTGTGAAATTTCATAAATAGGTTGCTAAGTATTAAAATTGTTTTTACTTAAGAAAAAATCTATTTTGTTTCTGAATTCACAAGTCTCATTCCTAAAGGGGCTCCCGCTAATGATTATACTTTCAACTCATCGCTTTTGAAAATTTCTTAATTCATCACAATTTTATTTGCAGATTTATTTAATATTTCTTGATGAAATAATTTTGGTAAAAAAGAAAATAAGATATATAAGATTAATTTTATAATTCTAAACATTGAAAAGATAGTTTTCTTGGTATGAAACAGTACAGTTATAAATTTCAAACTTAAAATAAATTTTATGGAATTTATTTTTTAATAAACTTATGATTTTAATTTATAGAATTATAGTATTCGAATTACCAGCATGTAAATAAATAGATGGCTAAATTAGAATACTCTTAAATAATTTGCTTTAATATGATACTAGATTCATTAATATATTAATCAAAAAATGTTTATAATAATTATATATTAGAAGACTTTCATTAGTATAGTAAAAAAATAAATAACTAAAAAATTTTATTAAAGAATAAAAATAAAAATATAAACGAAAATTATTTGGTAATCATAAGTTTATTTTTACATATTATTAAGTAAACTAACTCTTATAATTCAAAAAATAATTATATGATACATCTTTAAGCTGACTGTGTTCTTTGTATAGTATCAATTTATTTCTCACTTTATTAACATAATGATCTTTAGCTAATAAATTATTAATAAAAAGATTGTTCTTTAAATTTTAATAATAAAATTATAATAAATTTTTAATAACTCAATTTTTTCCAAACAATATTATTCACTATAAGCTTTATCTAATTAAAGGATTGTTTATTAAAGATGTTCTACTTTGAATTTAATTATTTTATTAATGTTTGAGGATAGATATTTAGAAACTCTTGGATAGCAACTGCTTATGACTAAAGTTGTACCAATAATAATAAATCCAAAAAATATATTGAAATCACTTTTAGCTGCAGAGAACAAGTTAGAGGAAGAACATCTCTATAAATCTATTTGTAGAAAGTAAGAACTTTTTATAAATAATTTGAATGAAGAAAATATGAATGTAATTTTAAGCATATGCAAATTCATAAAAATTGAATTCACAAAATAAAAGGAAGGTCGAAGGGATGAAATTAAATAAGGTGTTCTAAAATAAATAGAAGTAGAATGTATAAATTGGCCTCAATATAATAATCCTAGATGGTCTGAGTATTTAGAATATTTCAACAGTATAAGTATTAAATTTATCAATCACACTTACATGCTAATAGAGTAGATATTGATCGATTTAACTTAAAAATGTTTTGTTTGTGAAGAATTCCATTAATATATAACTGATAAATTAGAACATTGTATGGTTGTATTGTCAATGGAAATGAGCGATTTTGCTAGACTAATTAATAGTGAACCATTTTATTGGGAACTAAAGAAATATTTCAACTCTATAATCCAGAATGTTCATTTATATATTAATCGAACATCTTTATTCTGCAATACTTAGATGGAATATTTGAATGAAACTCTAACAAAATATCATGCTTTAGCTAATATTAGAACTTATTAAATATTGCAATAAGAAACTTCTTAATATATTATAGAATAATGTCATTTATCTTTATAGGAAATGATATTCCATAGAGTAGAATTTGAGATTTTCGACAAAGATTTAGTGAAATAAGTTATAAGATACTTTTATGAATATAGTCCATTAAATTTAGGATTATATGAAATGTCCACTTTAACGAAATCTTTTTAGGAGGCTATTTAGATGTATTATATTTTAGATGATGAGTATTTTTTAATAGCAGATTTAGATACAAAATTATTTGCTTAAGATGAGGAATGCTTAAAATATATGATTTATTTAGAGGAAAAGCGATTACGATAATAATTAGGCAATCAATCAATTTTAAAAGGTTCAGTTGGTGCAGGTTTTGGTTGTTTAATTGTAGATAGTGTAGATCCTAAAATTCCATGGGATGAAAAATTAAAAAGAGCTGGTATAAGTACTGTGGCAACAGGATTATTAGGAGCAGCTAAGAGAATACCTGTTGTTGGAGTAATTTTAACATAGGCTTTATTATTTTATGCTATTAGAATTTAAACTAACAATAAAGTTATAGATAACGGTGAAAAGATTAAAAATATTGCTCATTTAGGAGTTTAAAGTTCTTTTGGAGTTGGTTCAGCTATAGCTGGTTAAATATTGATACCAATTCCAGTTTTAGGTGCTCTTATTGGAGGAACTGTTGGAGGAGTATTTATGGGTTTATATAATAAATTTATTATTCCTAAAACAAAACCATCTATTAAAATTATGATCAATGATTTAATGAATAGATAATATCCTGATGGATTATTTGAATATGATGAAAAAGTATTGAAAATTATGAAAATAAATCAAAAACATTATTTTAGTTTGAAACCAGACAATTTAGATGATTGTCAATGGCTTACTATTCTAATGGTTTATATGATAAATGAAATTTATTATTTATCAAATGTTTAAGGTTTAGAGAAAATTAATGAATTATAATAGTTGATTGAGAAGAAACCCAAAGGAGTTAACAAATTGATTAAATAGATTATAGAGATTGACACTGAACTTGAATAATAAGAAATTATGAATGCTAAAATGGAAAGATCCAGATATTATATCCAATAATAAGACATTAATACCTTATAAATAGTAGATAAAATTGGAGAATTTATTAATGGAATGATTGCCAATTTTAGATTATGATTTAATCAATCAAATCAATTAACAACATGAACTTCCTCCTTCTTCTGTTCCTTTCGCTATTGATTCTATAAATGGATTCATAGATTTTGACATAAATCTTGCTACCATGAAAAATTTGCTATAGGTTTCCCTCACTTATTTCATAGAAAACATATCTCTAAGATATAATTTTAAAGTTGGAAATGGACTGAAATCAAAATCCACAAAGAACAAACTTGAAATTTCACAAATAAATCTTTTAATATATAATAAATAAATTACGATAGATCTGCTATTGTAGGTGTTCTAGATCCCATGATATATTTGTAGTTTCCTCCAGCAAAAAATACATTAATCATAAAGTGTAATAATTCACAAACTTCTCTTTGTCTTTCATCATAATTTTTTGGCATTTCTCTCTTTAAAAACTTTGGACCAAAAAAGAAATCTAATGCAAATAAGCTTAATTTTCTTGATTCTGAGTGATGGAAATCTAAATAACTATCAATTTTTGCTCTTAAAGGATAATTTGGATAAAATTCAGTTAAATTGAATTAGACACATATGAATTTCATTATAGCATGACTTTCAAATAAATTAAAGTTTCCAAAGGTTAAAGCAGGTATAGTTTCATTAGGATTGATATCAGTATATGGTTTTTTTTTATTTTCTCCAGATTGAACATCAATAACTTTTTCTGTAAATGGAATATTTGCTAACATTAATAATGATTTAGCTGCTTTAGCTGGCGGTGAAACAAAATTAAAATATAAAGTTATTTTTTCTTAACTTCTAATAGGTTATGTTTAACTTATGGAGAGAGCAAATTTTCCAACCTTTTAACTTTACATATAGGCAAACAATTCACAATGAGATTTTCTCATTTCAGGTATTTCGAATAATCTTTTAATATAAAGATCCAATCCTGATATCTTTTCAAATGGAAAATCTGTTAAGAGTAATTAAGCTAAATCACATCCAACTTTGATATCTGCTAAAGAAGCTTATGGTGAATTATTAATGTATGCCCATTAACCATTATTTAAGAAGACTTTAAAGAAAAACTCTAAAGTTCCTAAAACATTTTAACATTGTTAATCTTTATCAGCAGGGATAGGTAATTTCATCATTTAAGGTCCCATAAAACAAGAAAATATGAACTTAGGGATTGAACTCATTTCAGTAAGATGAAAATCTAAATATTAATCTACTCTTGCTTTGGGTTAAAGTTGAGTTGGATATAAATTATACAAATTGAATTTCCTTGCTACATACTTCATAATAGCTCCACTTTCAAATAAATTGAGATTTTCATCCACTATACATGGAACAGATTAATTTGGATTGATAGCAGAATACTCTGGTTATTTATGTTCTCCTTATAATAAGTTAATTGTTTTTTCATTGAAATCAATTCCACTGTATAATAAAACTGTTCTTGCTGCTCTTGATGGAGAGGAGAATGGATGCATATATAGAGTAGTCTTCCAAGAAGTGGATTTGTCTATGCCGTTGATGATATAAGATATTGAATCATTTGGATTTGAAGATTTAATCATCTATAAAAATTCAGCATAAGCTTCTTTTATTGCTGGCATTGAAAACATTTCCTAAAGAAATTCTTTTACTTTAGGAAATTGATTGAAATCAAAATCAGATGCTAAGAGCTAGGACAAATCAGAAGTGGCTCTAATTAATATGATTGATTCATATACTTTATATCAGCTAATGTTAGAGCTGACTAATTAAAAATGTACCTCCCAGTTAAGAAGGATGATTCAAAGAATTTCAATGTATCTATTACATCTTTTTGTAATTCTTATTTGTTATCAGGTACAGGTTTATTCATAAATTTAGGAAAAAGGAAACATTAATTAACATATTTCCCAATAGCTTCTAAACCAGTTTAGCTCCAATCTAAATAGCAATCAACTTGTGCTCTATTTCTTAAGTTCTAAATTTAAAACAATTGTATACTTGAGGATAATATTAATATAGTTATTTTTTTACAGCTATGTATTTCAAAATAGCATGACTCTCAAATAGTTTCAGACCACCATCTACCATAGCTGGTAGTGATTAGTTAGGATTGATGTTCTAAAATTCAGCAGATTTATGTTCTCCTTTCAAAAGGTCCACAACTTTTCCTTAGAAAACTGCTTTTGATAGTAATAAAAAAGATCGAACAGCCCTAGAGGGAGGTGATAGAGGTGAAAAGTAAAGAATTAATGACATAATAAATAAAATTTTTAGATAACTGCAAGTTATAATTGTTTTGTTTTGGAATTTAGAATGTTCATAAAGATATGATAAAATAATTGTAAATAATTATATATATATATTTAGTAATAATATATATATATATATAATTATTTATCCTTTCATTTTATTATTGCTTGTATTTTTAGAATCAAAACTAAGAGTTTAATCAAACAATAATCAACTAATGAAATTAATAAATTGTTTGATTGATCTAATGATGTATTGTCAATTATTTGAATTTCAAGAATATAAATTACAAATTTGTCTATCTCTTTGTAAGTTTTGTATTGATTTTTTGTTTTTAATCTTAAAATTAAATTCAAATTTTTTATTTACAAAACTTTTTTGAATGCTTAACTCATATAATAAAATAAATTCCATTTATTTATTTTTTTAAAATGATTTAGATTTTAGCTATCATGAATTATTTATAAATAATAAAATTCTACAGAATTTTTATAATATAATATATATATATATTTTTTAAAATGAATAGACGATTGTAATCAGAGCAAGATAATTTAAGAATAAAAAGAGCATTGATGAGATAGTAAATCAATTAATCACATCGAGTTGATAGAGAATTTGAGATAGATGAACGATTTCATTCAGTTTCTATGTGTATAAAACATGATGAACTTGATATTGATGATGGAGAATATTATGATCATTAGACATGGGAGCGATTAGATAGATTTGATCAAGTAATGCCAAATCAGAGAAACAATTGTTCATGGGTGATATATGAAGATTATTTGTATATTTTTGGTGGTTTTACATTTAATGGAAGATTAGATGATGTTCATAGATATTCATTTAGTTCTAATTAATGGTAGCGTTTAAATACAACAGGACAAAAACCAAGTGCAAGAGAAAATAATGGAGCAATAGAATATAAAGGTCATATGTATGTATTTGGAGGATGTGATGGATTATTATGGCTAAATGATTTTTATTCACTTAATCTTAAGTCACTTTAATGGAAAAAAATTGAACCTACAGGTTAGTGTCCTTCTGAAAGATTTGGAATTGCTTGTGGTGCTTATTAGACTAAAATGCTCATTTTTGGAGGATGTGATGGTACTCATTATCTAAATGATGCTTATGTATGGGATTTTGAAGAATAAGTGTGGAATAAATTGTAATTAATTGGAGATGTACCTTCTGCTCGTTCTTGTCCTTCTTTTAGTACATTTAATAATTACATTTATATATTCGGTGGGTTTGATGGAGTTAATAGATTGAATGACTTTTATAAAATTAATATCTTTTCAGGAAAAGTTAAAAGGATAAGTTAACATGGTACAATTCCATGTCCAAGATATGTAATATAAATGTTAATTATTTAGTTTCATACATCAGAAGTTTATTAAAATAAATTATTATTGTTTGGAGGATTTAATGGGCAAGCTAGATTGAATGATTTATATGAATTTGAATTTGGAAGTAAGACATGGAAAAAACTAGAAGTTCATGAACCTCCAAAAGGTAGATCATCTATGGTTTTTTAATTATACAATGATTCTCTTTATGTTTTTGGTGGGTATGATGGAGATGAATTATTAAGTGATATTTATAAATTGGAATTCAAGAATGCTTAAGTTCCTCGATCTAGCTTTTTATAGGATCTAAGATCATTAATAAATAACCCTTAGATGAGTGATGTTGTATTCATAGTAGAAGATCACTAAATTTATGCTAATCGATGTATTTTAGGTGCAAGAAGTGAACATTTTTAAACTCTATTTTTTGAAGAATTTAGAGACAAAGAACAAATCTATATAGAAATCACTGAATGTTGTCATTAAACTTTTATGGATATGTTGCTTTATATCTATACAGATTAATTGGACCCATTTTTAAACACTAATAGACTTTTAAGTTTGATAGTTCTATCTGACCTTTATCTTATGCAAAGGTTAAAATATCTATGTGAAGAATAATTAATAAGAAAAATTAATTGCAATAATGTCATTGAACTTATATTGTTTTCTAAAAAGTAAAAATTTCTATTTATATTAAGATATAATTGTAGATTATTAAGAATCCAAACTATGAAATAGTTAGTAGATAATATATCAACAATTAAGAGAAGAAAAGATTTTATTAAGTTAGCATAAGAACCAGAAATACTATTAGAAATAATATAAAAAAAATGTTGAATTATATTTTATTTAAGTCACTATTACTTCCTCTTTAAATATTCTTAATAAACTTCTTCCATTCTGTTTTGAGATGGAAAATATTGTTCATCTCTTGTAATAAAACCAGCCCATAATCCAAGGGGGACTCCAATAATTCCTGATATTCTGGAAATAATCTGAAATGCTCTTGCCATATGTTTTTTTTATTTATTTATTGCGTGGTTGCACATTAATTTAAAAGTGACTCTAGAATTCTATAATTGAATGGTGAACAATTAGAGTCTGAAATATAGAAATAAGAGCCATTCTTAATGATGCTTTATGCACCATGGTGTGGACACTGTAAAAGTTTGATACCAGTTTTGGATTAATTGGCAGATGAAGTGTAGCACAAATTCGTAGCGATTGATTGGTATTGTAATCGAATAAATTTAGTGTTGCAAATCCTGATGCAAAAAAAAGATTTGGAGTGAGAGGATATCCCACTTTATTTTATGTTAAGGATAATAAGACTCATAGATTTTAAGGCTAAAGAACACCTGAATTAATAATCAATTTTATATAAGGAGATTATGCCTAAGCAAAAGAGATAAATGAGATTCCTAAATTTGAACCTTACGATGAAAATTTTATCGATAAATATTTTGGTAACCTTTGGGTTTTTGTAAAAATATATTAATATATTAATTAGATAGCAGTGATTGTGTTATCATGTTTAACATTGTTTGTAACAATTTTATGTATAAATGATTGCAGGGAAAATAGAAAGTTGGATAAGATAGAGAAGGAATTATAAGATAAAAAGAAAGAGAATTGAAGGATAATATTAGTATTAATATATATTGGAATAATAATATTAATTATTCTCTAACTTTCCATAAAAATGATCATTTAAAATGTGATATTTTGAGGAGTTCTTACTCAGTTTTAAGTATTTCTCCCTTAACATTTTCAACAAAGTTCTTAAAAATTGAATTAAACTTAGATTTAAATTAATCTAAGTGTTGCTACATATCTTAAGATTCAACCTTAATATTGTCATCTTGGGTGAATGGTTTATCGTTTTATCTCAAAGTTCTTTTCAATTTTTTGTTAGCTTTGTCAATTTTGTTAGTCTTTTTTAATGGATCTAAAGATTAATATTTTTGGATGTTAGCATCATTTAAGGAAGCATAAGTCTCTTTGATTTAGGCCATGATCTTGTTATACTAAGGTGTAGTACATTAGCGATCTTAAAATTTACTAACTCTAACAGAGATTGATCGGTCAGTTGAACTTCCATTTTATTATTTTTGTTATTATTTTTTTGATCACCCTCTTTTGTTTTTTTGCATGTTTATTATTGTGATCTGAATTGATCTAGTATTCCATTATAAGTAAAAAATCACCCAAATAATTAGTATATATATATGTGTGCTTATGTAATTACATTTCCTATTTGGAAAGGATAATAATGGTCAGCATTTCGAGGTCATGTTAGATTATCAAATGAATAAGTACTAATCGCAAGATTCAATGACACAACTCATATAGAGTAAGAACTGAGATTTTTGGAATAGCATTAGAGAGTAAAATCAAAGATAGAAGGGAAGTACATAAAAGCAGTATACAACTTACTTCCAATGATAGTTCAAGTGATAAGAACACCAACATTTACAGATGTGTTATTTGATAATTGTGTGGATTGGTAACTGACAGGGGGAAACTTATAACATTTACTAAGAATATATTTTGCATATGATTTATATAAAGGGCAGGCACCAAGAGATTGTACATTAGAGAATATAATGCGTAATGGTGAATCTATAGTTGTATTAGACTTTGGATTAAGAAAAAGAACAGAGAATTATTGTATATATTGGAATCCAATGATTCTGAAAGGCAAATAATGCTTATCATAATATCAATGGTCATTAGGTATAATGTATTTAGTAATGACTAATGGCTCATTTATAATAAATGAAATTCATAAGCGCATTTAGAATTGGGTAAATGGAGGTAAATTAGACCTTGTTTCATTAATAACTACTAAAAAATAATCAATCATTTCTTTATTATAGCAACTTCTGTCTCCTGATAATCCTATCCCATGGGAATAAATACCTCATCATTCAGCCTTTAGGGATGATCCTAAATGCAAAACTATTCTTAAATTATATGAAGTAAGATCTATGTCAGATCTCAAATTTAGATCTGCTTCTCGACTAAGTAGTAAATAATCTGGTAGAAAAACTTAAAGAACTTCATTAATATTACATGAAAGTACTTCTAATAGTAATTAATCTACTTCTAATCAATCTCTAATTACTAAAATTTCATCTTTATATAAAAATAAATTTATTGAAGAATATAAATAAAGATGCAATTCTTCGCTTAAAACTTCTAAACAAATAAATAATTTCTTTACTAACAATAAAATGAAGCTTAAGTTTGCTACCAAATAATCAGATCATACAGTATAATTAAGTTGTGATCTTCGAAGTCTTAGGACTGGATCCAATCTATCAAATCTAGGTCTTACTTAAAGAATTGATGATTCTGAAGATAAAAAACTCAATCGAAGACTTTCATAATAAGAAATTGATTATGATAAAATTAGATCAAGAGTTAGTTCTATCAGAATGGCTATTAAAGAGTATAAAGCTCGAAGTTTAAGAAATCTCTCTTAAGATTCTAATCCATTAACTCAAAATTCAGTAGAACTAACCTATCCCAATAATTATATATAATTAATCAAAAGACCTTAAGTTGAAATTGATATTCTTACATCAAAATATTTAAGATCTTTAGAATGTATAAATATTATTGGATAAACTGTTGCTAAAGCTATTGAATTCTTAGATGCATTACAAAACTTTTGGATTATTCCTCTATTTTTAGTATTCAAAAGAATGCTTTAACTTAGATTAGAAATTGAAAAATTTCTTGAAGCTCAAATTAATTCATTTAATATAGATTAATGGAAAGAAGTATGTAATTCTAGAGAATATCTTTAATTCTTAAGTAGAATCAAATCTGATAATTGTCTAGTAAAAAATGAAATGATACTTCTCATGAAAGCTTCTTAAAACAAAGCTGATTAACTTGATAAAAGTAAGAGAGAAAAAGTTCTCTGGTTTCTTAATGATAATTTAGAATCCAATATTTAACCCATATGTTTATCTTATATGAAAGAATAATTACTTCTTGCTGTTATTGATAAGAGAGGATTATAAAGAGAACCTATTGAATGGCTAAAACTTTAGCTATCTCTTAAGGCTTCAATCATAATTACTTAATTACCTGTACTTGTTTGTGAAAGTAATGAGTTTAGTTATGAAAAACACTTAGAATTACAAAATTCACAAAATTATGCTGAAATATTAAAATATTGTGAACAACTCAAAATTAATATTTGATTTTTTTTATTTTATTTAGATTATTTAGATTATTTTATTCAATTGTATACCATGAATTGATCGAATTGATCAAACATTTTATTTAAATTAAAGTTAAAATGATTTATTTTACCTCTTAAACATCACTATTTAATAATTATAATTCAGAAATTATTATAGTTAAGATTATTATTATAAAAATCCTTTAAAGTTATAAAAGTCAATAAATTATGCATATTTATGATTATTCATATCTTCTATTATTATTTTAAAATTTAGAAAACCTTTGTTATATTTATGTCCATATTAAACAATCAAAAGCTCTTATTACTTATTTTTAAAAAGAGTTATTTTGATAAAAACTTTGGATTTTTAATTTTTCATTTATTTGATTTATTTAATTTTCATAAACACTTTATATTAAATCTGAATCTTTCTTAAATTTCAGAACTAAAAAATTGTCTTATTGATCATTTCAAAATAAATAATTAATATGTTAATCATCTAAAATACTTTAATATTACTAAAAACAGTTTAGATAAATAAAATAACATTAAAAAATTTTAATTGCCAATTTTTTGAATCTCGCATAAGAATTTGAAATACTCTAATAAAGTATTACTTAATTTTTATTAAAAATTTATTTTATCTCTTTTTTTTTATTTATAGATAGCATATATTAAAACCTTTTTTCATAAAAAAAATAAATTATATTACAAAATAATGCATTAGGAACTTATTTTTTTTTTTAAGAATTTATTATAATTTATTTAATATAATAGATGATTTTGTTGTTAGATTATAGAGAATTAACACATTAATTATCTATTAATTTAATAATATATTAATTTATTAATGATTGGGAATAACACTTCATCGAAGTTTAATAGTGTAAATTTCGTTGATTTTATAAATCCAAATTTATTGCATCCACCATCAAGAAAAATATAGCTAATAGAACAAGTTAAAACTGTTAAGTTACTAAAGAGTTATCGAAAAATTCCATAACTAGTAACAGAATTATAATCTCCAAATATCACGAATAGTTAAAGGAATAAAAATGAATCCATTTGTTCATTACAATAGTCGTAATAAATTCATGATAAAGACAGATAAATAACTAAAAATGAAAATGAAATTTCTAATAAAACTAGATAAAATAATCCATAAAACAGTTTACCACAAATTTCTTTAGCATTCGTTAATATTCAAACTAAATTAAATGATCTAAATCATACAAATAATATTATACAGTCACCATAAAACAGTGATACTAAAAGATCTCTTATTCCTCCTAAATTAAAATCAAGTAGTAATGTGTCAATTAAAAATTATACTTGTAATTCTACTACGACAGGAAGCAGTAAAGAATCTTGTTCTCAAATAGGAAATTAATTATAATTTAATCTTCCAAAAAATATTATATTTTCTTATTGTGGTTCACCTAGAAAAAGGAAGTTAAATGTAACAGCTAAAAGCTTCACAGTTTATGATTGTATTGAGCATAAAATAATTCTTAAAAGAAAAAGTAATAAAAAGGTTGAAGTAGCCAGTTTAACTAAAATAATGACTTTTTATGTAACTTTGCTAATAGTTGAATTATTCAATCTAAACTTAAAAGAAATAAAAGTGAAAGTGACAAAAAAAGCATCTGAGACTATTGGCACAACAGCTGAATTAAAATATAATGATATTTTATCAATAGAGGATTTACTTTATGGCTTAATGTTACCTTCAGGAAATGATGCTGCAGTTCTTATTGCATAAACTATCGGAACGATTATGTAAAAATAATATATCTATTGACTTGATTAGATTGTTTAATTAATACAATAAGAAACTTGATCTTAAATTAATTGATATAGAGCAACTAAGTGCAGATGGATATTATTATAATCATTAATTTAGATTTTAATATTGTCCTATTGAAGTTTTCATCAAATAAATGAACTTATATTCACATTAAATAGGATAGTAGAATACTCAATTTGCTTGCGTACATGGTTTGGCTAATGAAGATAATGTAAAATAAAGGAAATAAATTAGTATTCTTGCTGCAATGATATCATAACTCTCTCAATAGAATGCTTAAAGTATGAACTATTCTAGACAGTAATTTCATGTAAAGAATACGTTCTAAAGACGCTTCAAAAATAATATGAATGGAAAAACACAAACAAATTATTAGATAAAGGGTTTTTTGGAATTAAAACTGGAATTACTGATTCTGCTGGACCTTGTTTAGCAAGTGCATATCGTTCAAATGAGATGGATTATTACATTATTGTAGTATTAAACTGTAAAAACTTAAATATGAGGTTTGATGATACAATCATTTTACTTTAGCATGCAAAATAAAAAAAAATGATCACTTGAATTGCATTCTGATTAAGTCATTAAAATTACTAATATTTATATTGAATTATAATTATTTTAACAATAAATAGAATTTATCATAAAATTATGAATTATTAATTATAAAATCATTCAAAATCAGCTTTTTGATATCCTTTGATCTTTTATTGAACACCTACATTTGGTATTTCTATATGTAATTTATCTAAACAATTATCACTTTTAACTTCCTAAGTCAGAAATTTAATTAATAATAAATACTGGATTATTTACAAAATTGTCTAATTGTGCAAAATTTGTTAATTCTTCATCTACATACATTTCACTTAAGACATATTTTTTCTCTTAAATAGTAAATTCTGTCTTTTTCAAAAAATTATCTTAAACCCAAAACTATAAATAACTCTTAATTTACTCACTTATAAGCCATTCATAAAAACAGGAATAATACACATAACAATTAATAATTTAATAGTCGTCAGATCTGAAAATGGAGATAATATAAATTAAGAAATGTTTTCCAAAATGAAACCAATTGCTAATTACAATAAATAAAGGAAGAATTTTGACTAAATTTAAATAAAAATGAAATTTTACAATTGACACAACTATTATCCATAAAATTAACTGAATAAACCATGCTTTTAAATCGATTTTAATGATTGGCTTAATAAGATTTGTGCCTGCTGGAACTTTATCTTTATTATTCATTTCATTTTTCTTAACTTGATCGTCTGGCATAATAATCAAAAAATAATTTCCTGAACGATAATTCTAAATGATTGTTATCTTACTGTCATTTAAAAATGCTCCAATGTAAATTCAACTAATTTTAGGATTATATAACTAAATAATACACCCATTGTTGTATCCAATAACAATGTAGCCAAATACCTTTTAATTATTAAATATTAGCTACCAAACACATTCATCTGATTCACCTGACAAATGTATAGCTAATGCAACATTCAAGAAATGAGCAAAGATTTATGAACAACCTTATTTTGATGTATCTAATCCCCACACTTTCCATTACCTCTTAGGTTTTTCTACAATTCTTTTATCTAACCTATAAATTCTTAATTACAAATCAAAATAAAGAATGAAAACACACCTAATAAAATTTGTATTGCAAATCCTAAAGGTCCCAAAATATCACAATCATCAGACATCTTTATTAATTATATAATTAAATAAAGTTGTTAAAAAGTATTATGAATCAAATTTAATGTGAGAAATGCTAAATTGTTCCTGAAAAATTTGTTTGTTTAGATTGTGAACACTCATTTTGCCTTTCTTGTTTAGCCAAATTGTTTAAACAAGTATTTTTTTTTTATCTAATTCATAGCATCAAAATTAAATTCAATGTATCACATGTTATGACATAACTATTTTAGATGATGAAACAATTAATGCATTATTGGATTTTAAATTACAATTATTATAACCTCCTATTATAATTCCATATACAACTTCTAAAAAATAAATTAATCAAAAAGATTAAATTTAAATAAAAGGTCATCCATTTATTGAAAAACTCAATGTTTCTATTGAAAAATATTTAGATAATATTAGAATTATTTAGTTCGATAAATAAAAAATAAGAGAAATTTCAAATAAAATTAAATAAGATCTGGAATCAGAATTTAAATCTTTACATATATATTTAGATGATAAACTATAATCATTTATGAATGAAATTTCTAAATTTGAAACTTTAAATTCTTCTAATTTACAATAATAAGAAGATGGATTCTAAATAGAAATTAAAGAAATGTAAATTATGAAGGATGAAATCAAAAGTATACTGTAATAACAATCTGGAATTTAAAATGATATTGAACAATTTAAAACAATATTAAATCACATAGATGAAATTACTATCAAAACAAATTAATAATATTAAAGTAATCTTAAAAAATTTTAAGATGAAATATATAAACTACCTCTTAAATGGACTGATTTTTCAAGTTAATATAAACAATTTTTTAACAATAATAATAATTCAATAAAATCCTTTTAAGTACAAGAATAGTAAAGAACATAATTTATAACCACAAATCGTTTGGAAAAAATTCAATAATCTCTGGCAAAGTAAATATATGTTGTTATAAATTTTAGTTAAATCTCTTCTACAAATGTAAAACCAATTAAAACATCTCATTAATCTCATATATCTTTATGTTCTCCTCCAAGAAATAGTTTTCTTTAAGAGGAACATTAAATTCCAAGAAAATCAAGTCGAATCGAGTTCATAAATAAATTATAAAGTCCAGGTGATGTAAGGGTAAATTCGATGAATAGAAGAAATACAAGAACAATAATACCAAATTTAAATTTAGCAGGAATTTCATTTATCAAATGATATATTAATATATAAATAGTATTTTCTGGAAGGATTTATTATAATTCTAATCGATTAATAACTAAATTTTAGAAATAAAATAAAATTAAGTTTTAATGCAAAAAACAATGTAAAATATATCCTTGAATATTGTTTAGTGCTCCAATAGTGAAATGGGCTTAAAGAAAAGATAATGTTTTCTTGACTGTAGAAGTGAGAGATCTGAAAGATGAAAAAGTTGATTTGACATCTAGTTCACTTAAATTTTCAGCCAATGCAGAAGGTGTTAATTATGTATTTGAAATTAACTTCTTTAGTGAAGTTGTTGTTGAGGTATAAATAAATTAATTTGAAATAGGAAAGTAAATGGACAAATTATGGATTAAATGTCAGATTTATTCTTTCAAAAAAAGATAAAGCAGCATCATATTGGACAAGATTAATAAAAGAAACTCATAAATTACAATATTTATAAGTAAAGTTATTAAATATAATCTTTAGGTTGATTGGACTAAATATATTGATGAAGATGATGAAGCTGAAGAAGGAGGTAAAGGTTTAGATGATTGGGATTCAAATAGATTTTAGAACTTCGATTAAGGACATGGTCACGATCATGGTCACGATCATGGTCATGGTCATGGTCATGGTCATGATCACGATCACGATCACGATCATGGACATCATCATGAAAATGACGATGAAGATGAAGAAGAACCAAATGAGGGTAGAATTGATTTTTATTTTAATTAGGAAATATAGATGATTTAGAAAAAGAGGAAGAAGTATAATAAAAAGAATAAGCTCCTTAAGAAGGAGATCAATAAAAATAAGATATTCAATAAGAATAATAAGAAGAGAATAAATGAATATTTTAAATTCTATTGATAAATAGTTCAAATTTAATTTATTTTTTTTTTACTTAAATTATAAGTATATTTTTTATAATTAATCATGTTTTTATTAGCATATCAAAAAATATGATTTCTATGTTAAATGCAATGTTACAAAAATATATTATTAATGAATGATAAATCATGATATTGATTAATTGGAACTATCATCAATTTATTATTGTAAATGCTCCAATTGATCAACTATTTAATTTAGACAAAGATCTTCTTAATTTTAAGAATCTATTTAAATAGTATTTTAAATGATTTAATTTTCTGAATGAAAAGGAATTTATTCGTTTAATTATTCAACTTGATTTGAATCTATAAAATTTCCATCCTTAAAAATTCCATCCTAAAATTTCCCATCAATAAATTACAAATACCCTTTTCCATGAGGCTTGTAATTTTTAATCTATCCTATATAATAAGTTTCTCATTTACCTTTATAAATGCTGTCATCTGGGAATTTGATAATAATATCTTAATTTAATAAAAACTCATCTTTTTAAAATTACCCTTAGTATTTACAATTATTCTCTTATAATGTAATCACTCCAAATCCATCTTTTAAATCTTCAACCCATTCTCCTTCATATGTGTATAATTTAGCTGAATTAATTATAAAATCAATTTTTACTAAAATATATTCCCATGCCATGTCTTTTTCCTGCTTTATAAATTCCTTTATAAATATCACCATTAGCCCAAACATATTAGCCTTCTCCTTAAAAGAGGCCTTCTAAAAATTAACCTACATAAACATCTTTGTTTGGCAATATTAATTTTCCAGTTCCACTATAAGAACCATTTTTAAACCATCCTTCATAAATTAAATTATCTTTTTACAAATTGCCATAACCATTAAATTAATTATTTCTAAAATTATAAAAAATATTTACTCAAAATGACCATTATATTGAAATTCATTTACAACTATTAATATACCATCACCATGAAACTTATTATGTTTGAATTGACCTTTATATTAAAATTTCTTATCTATTAATTTTTCATATCTTCCTTAACCATGCTTTAGAAAATCTTGAATTTACCCCAAATATACTCTTTTTTAAAATAATTCTATCATTCCACCATATTACATATTTCCTATATAAATATCTGCATTTTCAAAAACTTTATAAAATGGCACTGTTGAACTTTTATCAAAACATTCAGAATTAGTGATTATTGAATAATCAAATGATTTCAACCAATTAAGTCCATTCTCAGTTTTTGTAATCCAATAAATGATACCTTTTCTATTATGTTTTCTTATCACTCTCATTAAGTCATATAGTAAATTGCGATATTCCTTAATTTTTAATTCTTCAACTAAATCTTCTTTATGTTTCTTTATTTCTAATTTTTACGGGTCTTAAGATGCATTTTCTTCATCATCAGAGCTCTTTTTATTATAGATTCTAATATTACATCTTATGGACTTATTTCTTATTTTATTATCATACTCTTTCTAGTTCTTATTGCAGTTAACTTATTGATACGTTCATCAAATGTTTATAAATTAATTGCAAAATAACTAATTTCTGATAACAATTTTATTAAATGATCATGAATTATTTTTCTAATCCAATCTTCACTTCCTTAAAATGTGATCTTTTGATTTTAAATAGGAATTAATTTTTTTAATTAATCTTATTAATTTTAATCTAATGATTTTAAACATTCAGTATTTATAGCACTATACAATTATTTTTCATTTAGTTTGAGACTTAATTATAAAAATAAATTACTTTAATAATTTTTTATGTTATTCTTTTAAAATATTTAATTCTCCTGTGTCAATATCAATTATAATCTCAGGATTCAATTGATTTAAACCCTTAATAAATTTGCTCGTTGTCCCTATCAAATAACCTTTAATATTGCTGTTCTATATCGTATTGATGTCTATCACACTAAAATGCATAAATAATTGATAGGATTCAGTAAATATTTTGAAAGGTAAACCAAAATTACTTAAATAGCTTGCCTTAAAATAATATTTATTTAATTACTTAAATTAAAGATTTCTTAGATTACAAATTAAAATTTAATAAACCTGGAATTAATGATAATAAACTTATAATAAATCTAGAACATACACTAGAAGATTATGAATATATAATAATCTTTAATTAAAATTAAATGGCTTTAAGGATCTTAAATATCTTATCTTTAAAAATCCAAAATAACCCAATTAAATTTGTATCAGTGTATAAAGCTGAGATTTCAACATTCTTTAAATCAAAGGTTTATTAAATACTATCAAATGCATAATTTAAAATGGACATATCTTTAAAATCTTACAATTAAAAATAAGCTTATATAGTAGGTTCTAATCTACTCTTTATATATCCAAAAAGAGGTACAAATGATAATAAACAAATTGCCTTTTAAATATGTCCTCTAGTCAATTCAGGATTTTATTTTTTCAACTCTTCTGTTACTTTTATTTATTTGAAGCATGTTACACCAAATATATGTTTCCTCTAACCATTTATTTATGCATCAAAATTAAAATATAGGTAATCTTCATTTGCATTATGAACGGCATCCGGCAAAGCACATGTCGTAACTGTATTTATTATATTTTCTTTATCATTTGTTAATTATGATAACTCTGGATAACAATATTCTATTTCTGATCCTCTTTTATGATGAAATCCAACAGCAAAAATTGCTAATACTGGTGTTTATTCATCTTAAAGACTATACAACTCCATTAATTTTTATTGCAATTCAACATCAAAGATTTATTCAGGACTTTTAAATATTTCTTAAATTTATTTAATAAATCCTTATGATTCTCTATTTAGATTTACTTAAATTAAATTATTGGATGCCATAATCTCCCAATAATTGTAACATTTTTCTGAATTCAAATATTTTCTCATATATCGTTCTTTTCTACTTAGTCTATGCTTATTTTAATCTTCTTATAGGTTTTAGTTTAATTTTTTCTAAAGCCACTTTTTCATTAAATTAATTAAGAAATGTTATTATTCTAATAATTTATTCAAAATTAAAAAAATTAAACAAAGTGTTGCATCAATTTTTTCTATTCTTTGATTCGAATAAACATTAAGAACCTTATTTTTTATAATTATAATGTGAAAAAATACAGAAAAGTCCTAAAAAAAATTTAATGAAGATTTAACTACATCTACTTCAAAAGGAATAATATCCTTTGACATATTGTTAATATTTTTTAATAATTGAATTTGATTAATTGGATAATTTAAAAAAAGTTTAATAAAAATTTCTTTTTTAGGATCGATATATAATAGTGACTAAAGCAATTGATAATATTTATTATATTATTTTATTTTTTTATTGTATAATTAGATTGAAATTTCTATATGAAAATTCGAAAATTCTATTATTCGTTTCGAGTATTTAATTATTTGCTAAGAGTTGTTTAATTGTCAACTGAGAAAATAAGAATTATAAAATATCGATATTGTATTTAAATATTATCTATTAAAATTTTGATAAATTTGTTTTCCCTAATTCCACAACACTATTTTTACTTTTTTATAAATGCTTAAGTGTTTCTATATTATATCATGATAATCAAGGGTTTTACAATTCTTAACTGAAATATCCTTGAATAAAAATAAGTGATAAGAGTTTACTCGAAAAAAATGATAACAATATTTTTTTGATAATTATTTTTATAAATTTTTCTTTTTTTAAAGTTTAAATAAGATTTAATTAATCATTTTTTTGTTATGAATCTTAATTAACTTTTTAAATAGATATTGATTTAATCTTATGGTGTTAGTAAATTTTTTTTTTTAATTATCATAAGAATGTGCAGAGGTTAGGATTTTTTTATGGGGAATTATTTAAAGTCAGTATTTCTTATAAAAAAACTTAATTGTATTGTTTAATTTATTTCTTGAAGCCAGGATTAATTATTAGCAACTGCTATGAGAATTTTTTTTTAAAATGCTAGAATTTAGATTTGTAAAACTATCATTCACATTAATTAAAAGAAAATTTTTTTCGATGAATTGTAATTTAAGACTGAGATTTAGATAATATAATAATTAAAAAATAAATAAGCAACTCAATTTAGTTTTTCTTTAATTAAAGGAATTTATAAGGATATAATATTATTTTTGTTAAAGAGACTAATAATTATTAAGAAGGATATTTACAGTTATCATCAATACAAAATGAAAATTAATTAATTTTTATTTTTCTAATTCTCTTTAATAATTAGCAAGCTGTAAAAATGGATTTTTCCTTCTAAACTTTGAGTTGAAACTATATTTTTCGTATTTTATGTGATTTTAATTTAATAATAAGCTATTGATTATATATTAATCATTTGGCTAGAGATTTATATTTATAAATGTATACTTTTAAATCAGTAGAAAAACTTCTTTTTCTTGATTAAATATCTCTATCAAAATCATTTATAGATTAAATTATTCTCTAATTATAAAAGTTATTATCTTTTTCTTTTTATTTATTCCATGTTTTTTCTTCCTGACTTTTTTATGCGTATGAGTACAAAATCGCTTTTTCAGTATAAAAATTAACACTATATTCTTTAGTGGCTTCTTTAATAGAAATTTCTCTTGAAAAAATTCGTTTAACTAATAAAACTCTCTTTAATTAACTACATATTTTCTAGATAAATCTTTTGATTTTCAACAAAGTTACTACTTAAAAGTTTAAGTATTTAATATATATAAAATTTGGAGAAAATTATTCATCTTCATCTAATGTTTACAAAAGGTAAAATAAATGTAAATATATTCATTAATATTTTGACAAATTTAAAGAAATTATAAAGGGATATATTTATAATTCATAATTCACTAACTTTATGAATAAATTTATTTGTTGATTCTTTACGTGCTTTTTAACTTAAAATTTCATTTTTATCAGGAACTTGATTCATTAAGAAACCAATAAGTTTTCTTTTAAATTAAGTTTCACTTTAGAATTTTTGAAATTCTTCATGTTAAATTGTTTATTTATCTTAATTTTAAAATTATTCAGAGACAGTTCTTACAGATCTTTATATTTCTTAATCCATTTTTCTCATTTTTCTTTTAAATTATTTTTTTTCTTTTTTTTATCCATCTTCTAATTCAACACAATATCCAATAATATCTTACATTTATTATTAAGTTTCAGGATCAACACCTCTTCCGTCCCATTTTTATTTTGTTGTTAAAAAGGTTTATGATTGAGTATGTGTACCTAATGCAGTTTAAGGTCTTGATTCAAAATGACTAATTCCAGGAGATTATCTATGAGATAAAGGTTTTGAATTGATTCCATAATTTAATCTTCGTTTAATCTTATTAGATATTTATTAAGAAGGAGCTCTAAAAAATTTATTTAGATCAACTTTCTAAGTTTTATTTTAAACTTCATCTTCAAATATTTATGCAAATAATTTATCTTAAATTTCTTTTTATTTTTTAAAGGTAGTCATTTTTAATTTATTCTTTTTACTATATTCAGGTTCAAATTAATCATATCTAGATTCTTTATATACTTTGACCAAATTGTTTTTTTCATCCTTACTTATTATTTAATCTAATTCTTCTTAATTTATTCTTTTTTCAATTAATTCTGTTAATTTGTCTTGATGTTATATAAAACTCACTTTTTCTACATCCACATCTAAAAGTTTACCAATATCTATTTCAGGATGTTATCGACAAAGTTCTGTTAAATAATAATTTATCTATTCATCATCACTCAATTCAACATGATTAAGTTCAATTAGATTACATTTTTTTTATGCTTATAATTTTTGTAGGTTAGCCTTTAAATTAGCCATTTTATATTCCTGATATAAAGAACTAGTGGAACTCTATCTCATTAATTCATCATTTATTAAAGATGCAACCTTTTATTCTGGCTTTGGTTAAACCTTATGTTATTTCTTATGATATGAAGTTTTTGGTCTTGATTATCCTTCTTATTATTAACTCTCTCTCCTTTTAAATTTAACCACTTTATTTGGTGTATCAATATTAGTTTAAATGTTTAAATTAACTAAACTTTTAGCATTAACAGAGTTTGTGCCATTTGACACTAATTTATTATTGTTATACATCTCATATCTGCAAGTTTTTTATTTATATAGAGAGTCAAGTTCTATCTCTAAAAATCTTAATAATAACCCAATTATTATCGGATTGGATAATCTTGTATTGTTTTTTTCACAAGAAATCCCGTAAAAGAAGACATTAAATTATATATATAATTACTTATAATACAATTTATATTTCATTCATTTACATTTTACTAATCTTATTTTATTTTATTTTTCCAATTCCAAATAAGATTCTTATCATTCCACTCCTTCAACTCTAAATCCTTATTATCTAAAAATTAATTACTTTATAATCTTATATCTAATTTTACTTTTATTGTTCTAAATGCACTTATTATTGTATACATTAAGTAGAAGATTGTAATGGGCTTTAAAAAGTGGATTTTACTTACAAATGAGAACTATCAAAACATAAAGAAGAATAGACTATTTATGTTGGTTTAATTTGTGAGTTTTATTCAAGTAAATTTGATATTTATTTTTTAGTTGATTTATAAATATCTTATCTATTAAAAAGATTATTATTTAATGCACATATATTACTTATACTTTTTTCAATACCTGTTTCTTTTATATAATTATTAGACATGTTTAATTATTAATCTTAAATTTTTGGTGAATCAGGAAATATTGTAGTTTTGATTCCATTTTATTCGATACATTAATCATCCAAGTCTGAACTTAACAAACTTCCAAAATAATTCAAATCAGATATACTGCTTCTATTCTCTAAGCTTTATGAGTCATAATTTCCTTAGGTTGAAAAAATAAATTAATTATTAAGTTATTAAAGTAAATAGTTATAATAATTATCTTGCTTTACTGCATTCTATTCGCATTCTTCAGTTTCAATTTTAACTTTTTTCTATTAATTAAAAATATCCTTCTCAACTTTTTATATTTCAAGTATTTCAGTTATATCTTTCTCCTTCTATTTTGGAAGAATTTCTGTTAATTTACTTTCTTAATCTTTTTTTTATTGATCAGGACTTGCTGAGATTTTTGTTGAAAGATATTACTTAATTGCCAATAATTCATCAATATCATCTTCTTATTCCTAATAAATTCGATGAACTAAACTTTTAAATCTATTAATAATCTAATTCATACTTACCTATTCTTAACTTAATTTTCTGTTCTACCATTTAATACTTTAGAAATTTTAGACCATTTTTTTCCATTTTTGATAACCAAAGATAATAATTAAATATCTTCTTAATCTGTCCAGCTTGACCTAATACAAATAAATATATTTTATTAAACTTTTTCAAAATAGGATTCAAATAATTCATCCATCTTTCTCTAATTTATTTTGGAGTTCTAACATAAATACCGTTATTGTGATTATACAATTCTAATGCTATTTCAGTCCAAATATGTTTTCCTTTCTTGACACTATTTTGTAATAAACTTATTATTCATACTTCATTTATAATTTTATGATATCATCCTCTTCTTTTTCCCAAATTAAGCTTTTGGTCATAGGAGTTATTAAAGTTATCCATTTTTATTTTAATTTTTATTCTTCAATTCCAAATATTCTTTTTAATTCTCTCCATTCTTCAATATCAGGATTAACATTTTTTTTGTTTTTCATCTAGAAATATTTTATCATTATCAAAATAAATATCTATTTACTTTATTAGTCCCACTTTTTATTTAATTTAAGGACATCCTGGTTTATAAGTCTCATATAAAATTATAATTTACATTTATGAAGCCTCATAAAAATTAGAATTGATTGAGTTTTATTTTGTTTTAAATTGATTTCTATAATAACATGGAATGTCTATTTCTTTATAATTATTCAATTTATTTAGGAAGTCTTGGAAATTTTGCATTATAATTTATGTGACTAAACCTTAATAATAAATATTTAATTAGTTATCACACCAGTTAGTTGTAATTTAATTTTAGTTCTATTCCTAGATAATAATAATCTTCAGAATCTGTGATTTTATTACAAAAAAAATCACATTTATTAAAATACTATAATAATAAATTACTAAACATCTAAATAATAAAATGAAAAATCATAATTTAATAAAGATTTTGAAATACAAAAATAATGGCCAACTTTCAAAAGTTTAGCTTTGTAGAAATGCACAAAAATTAAATAAAATCATTAAAAAATAATATGAATAATTGATGATTAAAAAATAAATTAGAATAACTAAATAAATGATTAAAAATATTATGAAATTCAAAAATAATGGGAATAAAAGTGATTAAATAGTGAAATAGAATCAACAATTACTAATTTAAAATGTTTCACGACTTTCATCATCAGTCTATTCTTCTAATTTCATTTCAACATTAGGTGAATTTAGATTTGCTTCTGCTCTTAATTCCAATTCTTCTACATCACAATGATTAACTGTATGAGTTCTTTATGATTAGATATCAATCTTTTTAATGTTATTCTAATTGTTTAAAATCATAGATTAAGAAAGTAAATGTTTTTTTGAAGGTTTTCTTTATGTTATTTCATTCATAAGAAATTATTTATATAATTAAGAAACAGGACGAACATCATTTTACTTAATATTTATAATATGAAATACTTAGCTTAACCAAATGAGAAAAGGTAAAAGGGATTCAAGTTCATTGTCATTTTTATCTGTAATGAAATCTTTAATCAAAAATCCATTTTCTGGTTAAAAAATAAATGACATTTAAGAGTTCTAAAATGTATTAAATTTTACATCTATAATTAAAACATCTTTTAAACTTCTTCCTAATTTATTCAAATTTTTAGTTAAACCTCCTTAAATTTAAGTACAACTATCTCTGTATAATCTTGTTAATGCTCTTCTTGATGGATCTATAATATCCATAACAGGATCTGCATATTCTTTTAAACTAGCAGTCCACATTATAACTTCAAAATATTCACTTAATGTCTCAATAAAATTTTCAACTCCAGGTCTTATTGTTACATAAACTTTAAACAATTAACTTTATACTATGATCTATAAATATTAGACATTAATACATCTAATGAAAAATCAAAACCATTATCTGCTTTAAATTAACTATGGACTAATGTTTCATCTAAATCTAAAACACAAACTTTTCTGCTCTCATATTTATATTTTTCAATTATACATGTGATTTAGGTGTATCTATTCCTAGTTAATACTTTTCATTAGTTTTTTGGGTTTTCTTGCGAAAAAAGTATATGCAAGAACATAATTTCTCAAATATATTTGGTTATTTATCTTATTATTCCTGTTATTACTAATATATAATGTCATTAGTATTCATTGTTTATTATTTAAATTATGAATTAAAATTAACATAAGAAATTTATTTTAAAAATGTATTACCTAAGAATTTTAAAGTAGTTATCTTTGAATTTAATGAAAGATTTTCAAAATGAGTAGAATAATGAAAATTTTTTATTATGATTTATGAGTTAGATAAATTTTTTATAAATTAAACTTTTCGGTTTATTGTGTTTTAGTCCTTTAGAAATCTAAATGATTTAGATAGTATTTTGAGAAATGAAAAATATGAATATGTTGATGATTTTATGAAAAAGTGTAAAAAAAAATAATTAATATAACTGAAATCATGATTTATCTAGAAGATCTGCAACAGTATACATCCTTCTAAATGTTTTTTAACTAGATTTAGGCTTTTCTTCATTAGGATCTATAACTTTAATTTAAATTTATTTATTAAAAGAAACAATTTTCTTTCCCGGATTAAATGGTGGAGAATAGTCTTCTTTTTCTATTGGTTTAAGTGATACTTGTTTACTATGTTTTAGTTTATTGAGATTTGGTTTTTATTATTATTATTTTAAATCCTAATTATCTAATTCAAAGAAATCAAAAATATCAGTATGTTCTCTACTGTTTGAGCTTTTTCTTTTAAGTATGCTTTTTAATTGTGTTTATTAATCTTCAATTTAATCGTCTTTTTTAATTTTGTTTCTATGAGTTGATTCTTATTATTTTATTAATGGTTTGAGTTAGGTATGCTTTTTATCTTATCTAAATATTTCTCTAATAAGTTCTTTACGTTAAATTTCCATACGTGATGTAAATTGATCTATATTGGATTCAACTTATCCAATTTTGAATAAGTTAAGCTAATCCATTCCTTTTGAAGAATTGAAAATGGAGTTGGTTTGTAATTTTTGAAATTAATTTTGTGAAGGTGTTTAAAGGATTTCAGGAAGAAAACTATTATTTCTAGAGGAAGGACGAGATAAGTGAATCTATTTTTTATTATCCTATTTGAGTTATGCTTGAGAATTCATTAAATAAATAATAAAACTATCTCTTTATTTTGATTAAGATGAATGTATTTAATTGAAAATGTAGTTGAAATAAGATAAAATACTTATAAAAATAAAGATGCTTATAGTAATAAATGTAAAATGAAAAAACATTCATTTTTCTGTAAGCTCTCTATATCCTTTCCAATCATGTGGAGCCTTTGCACTATTTGTATGTATTACATCTAAGAGTGTATTAGAAGGACCATCCTTATGTTCAGGAATCATACACTTTAAAATTAAATGTAAAATAATACCAAGGTTTTTTGGAAGATAGATTATGCTTTATCCCATTAGCCTTTGATATAATATTAGAACCCTTCATTCCAGGTTTAATAGAATTCCTATACAGATTATTAAATAAAATAATATGAATACTTTTGTAAATGGTTCTCTTGAATATATAAGTTCTTCATCAGTATGAAATTGATCAGCCACATTAACTTTCTCATTTATTACATTTTTTTATAATTCATCTCTTTTGAATCTATTAAGTACTCTAAACTGTTTTTATTCTTTTTGATTCATCTTGCTTGTATCAAATTTGTCTTTTAATACTTTTGTCTTTTAAATAAGATTCTTTATTGACATATCTATAGTATGAATTTCAACTGGTTCAACACTTCCTTTAACAGTAACTATATCGATTAATCTTAATTATTTTTGACATTCATCAGTTAGATATTATTTTAATACACCACTAATTAAAATAATTGAACCAAACTATTTAGTAGCAGCTTCTAATCTAGATGCCATATTAACATTAGGACTTAAATAAGAAGCATCTATTTTAAAAGATGAACCTATTGCTCCTTCTATACCCCATCCCATATGTAATCCAAATCCCATTTTTACAGAATAATCTTTCATTCTTTCATTCAAACCAACATGTTTCTTATATTTCTCTAACTTCTTTGATATTGAAATTGATGTAATTATTTTTAAAAATGCCAATACTGCCATATCTCCTTTTTATTTTATTTAATGGTCCGTTTTTACAATTAACTTAGATGTATTTAATGGATTCACATGATATTCCATTGGTAAATATTTCCATACTAATAAAAATGCATCACCAATATTCTTATTTGCTGATCCACCATAATAATTAACTGTTGAATGAACAATCTCTGCTATTTCATTTACAAATACCATTACATCTTCTTATAATACTTCTGTTGCATCTGTAAAATTTCTAATATCACAAAATCCAAATATAGCCATTATTTTCTTTCCTGGTAACATTGGATCTACACTACCTCCTTTCTTTATATTCTCTGCTATTATTTCAGAACCTGCTTCACCAAATCCAACTGCCAATAATGCTCCTACTTTCATTATCAACCTTTATAAAATATATGTCTCCATTTATTTCTCTATAACCTTTTCTTTTATTTTCACATGATCTTCATTCTATTCTAATCTCTCCATTATTATATCATCTTATTCCTCTATATTCACTGCCTCCAATGGATTCTAAGCTATTAATTCTATCTTCTGCATCATTTTCTCTATTGGCTCTATCACCAATTCATTTACATTCTTATTAAATAATATTGCACTTGATGCCAATACTATACATACAAATATTGTCTAAAATATTGATAAAATTGCATTTGTTTAATTATATTCTACTAAATCACCTACTGAACATGTTATCAATTAATCATTTTCATCTACTGCAGCATAATATTACTTATCAGAAAAACGATATTCATCTATACCCTAATTTGTTGCTTCAAACCATTCTGAATTTCGAGAATAATTGAATACTTCAAAATTTGTCTCATTTAATTTTGGTAATTTATCTGTTACATTGTTTCTTATGATAAATACAGCCAAAATTGGGAATAACTCTTCCTGATGAAATTCAACATATTATTTTGTTAAGATCTCAATAAGTTGTTGATGATTTCTAAATTAACCTATTCTAAAAATACCAGAATCATAAGAATTTAAAGTTTCTTGATAAGTATCTAAAGTTAAAACGGGTATACTAATTAAAATTGCTAAAATTATTGTAATAACTCTTCTCATCACTAAATCTGACAATCGAGAACCCACATTGCTTTCTTGAAAATTTTGAGTTATCTATAAAGATTGTTGACTCTATTTTAATTATTCAGAACTACTTTACTCTGCCTATTAAATTGACAGCTAAGAATTATTAACTTAACAGTTTTATTAAGCATTCTATTATTATTAAGTTTATCCTAAAAATGGTTTACGATTTTCTTTAACTAACTATTATAATTCACTCTACTCTTATTTATCATCACTAATTTTAAATTATTGCCCACCAGATGGAAGAGGTGATGGAAAAGAAGCATTTCTTTAAATTTAATTTATTTTTTAAGGTGAGGAATTCATTTTGTATTATTATGATTATTATTGTTCATTAAATTATTATTATTATTAAAGCTTTTGATTTTCATCACTTAATAATCTATTTTATTTTAATATATCTGAGAGAATCTTTCGTTATTGTTCTTTTTCATATTATTATCTAGCATGTTTATATAATTTAACAAGCCTAACAAGACGGATAATTCTAATTACTCTTGCAGCTTTTCTAGCAACTCTGGATGCCCTTCCCAAAGCCTTAATAGTAGCTGCATTTCCTATGTCTCCTTCATCACCATACCATAAATCTGTTACCCATCCAATATCCAAAATCATTGTTGCAGTCGAAATTACATCAAGACAAAAATAAAACTAATCTTAACACTTAATTAATTACATTTAAGATATAATTTGGGTTTGCTATTGATGTTAAGATTATTTCTATTGTAAAAAAAGACATGCTGATTATTGTGAGAATAAAGAATATATCATCTTAATCTTTATTTACTGTTAAGATTCTTATATCATCTCCAAAAAGTGCATAAATTGTTACAATCGCCATCAAAATTGAGAATGTCCATCCTTCAATAATTTAAGAAACGAATTTCTAAATTGCAGATGTTTATTTTATGTTTTATATTTTCTACAATCTTGCATTAATTCTGCTATTATTTCTTTTCATCTATCTCTTCTTTGACTCTTTATTCAAAATTTGAATACTCATTGGTTTTCCACTTCTACTACTTTTTACACTCATTGGACTTTTATTTGACTTTTATTCATTTATTTCTGCTACACTTGATGGGCTTCTTATTTTTCGAACTTTTCCATCTTATTCTTCAAGTTCCTCTCTGCTAAATTCTTTTTTTACTGCTTGTAAACATTTTGGTTTATCAGTTAACTTTTGATAATTTTTTATTTTTATACCAAAGGTCCCTGATTTTATTCAATATCAATCTATTTTCTCTGGCTAACTGCTTTAAAATCTATGTTTTTTGCATAAAAAATAGCTTTGTAATACATACTGGATGTGGTTAATTTAAAACAATGCTCATCATTGCAACACTAGGCTTTTTGTACTCATCATTTTCAGATTCTCTTGAATGATAGTATTTCATAGATTCCTCTCTTTCTGTCATATGATTAAATTTTATATTATTATATGAATTTAATATAAACAAACTTCAAATTTTCACATAAGCATGTATCAAAAATTTTATTTATTTTAACTGAGTATATTAATTCATTAATTTATATTAAAGAATGACATAAAATCAAATCTATTGGGTTCTTTTATAATCTTAATTCTTGAATACCATTTCATTCTATATACATATTTTTAAGATTCATGATATAATGATAAATATCAGAATAACTAATTCATCATCCAATTCCTATTTCTTTTTAAATACTTATATCCTATCACTCTCTAAGAACTTACATTTTATCACTCTCTTTATAAAATTAAATTATCAATCAATCAAACATAAATTAAATATAAATCAAGATAGAAGAAAGATTATAAAGAGATAATAGATTTAAAATTTAAGATGAAGGTCTATTCAAATAATGACATCAAATTAATTCTTATTCAATTAAAAAATTTGATTTATTTCAAAAAGTTTTCTTTAATTATCTTATTAAAAATCTAAAAAAACAAATGGAATTTATAAAAAAAGAGTAAATTATTATAAATCTTTAGTTTTCAAAAATTTAATTTTTGCAATTTTCTTTATTTTACAATTTGTGAAGTTACTTTATTGAACTATTGCTNGGCTTCTTATTTTTCGAACTTTTCCATCTTATTCTTCAAGTTCCTCTCTGCTAAATTCTTTTTTTACTGCTTGTAAACATTTTGGTTTATCAGTTAACTTTTGATAATTTTTTATTTTTATACCAAAGGTCCCTGATTTTATTCAATATCAATCTATTTTCTCTGGCTAACTGCTTTAAAATCTATGTTTTTTGCATAAAAAATAGCTTTGTAATACATACTGGATGTGGTTAATTTAAAACAATGCTCATCATTGCAACACTAGGCTTTTTGTACTCATCATTTTCAGATTCTCTTGAATGATAGTATTTCATAGATTCCTCTCTTTCTGTCATATGATTAAATTTTATATTATTATATGAATTTAATATAAACAAACTTCAAATTTTCACATAAGCATGTATCAAAAATTTTATTTATTTTAACTGAGTATATTAATTCATTAATTTATATTAAAGAATGACATAAAATCAAATCTATTGGGTTCTTTTATAATCTTAATTCTTGAATACCATTTCATTCTATATACATATTTTTAAGATTCATGATATAATGATAAATATCAGAATAACTAATTCATCATCCAATTCCTATTTCTTTTTAAATACTTATATCCTATCACTCTCTAAGAACTTACATTTTATCACTCTCTTTATAAAATTAAATTATCAATCAATCAAACATAAATTAAATATAAATCAAGATAGAAGAAAGATTATAAAGAGATAATAGATTTAAAATTTAAGATGAAGGTCTATTCAAATAATGACATCAAATTAATTCTTATTCAATTAAAAAATTTGATTTATTTCAAAAAGTTTTCTTTAATTATCTTATTAAAAATCTAAAAAAACAAATGGAATTTATAAAAAAAGAGTAAATTATTATAAATCTTTAGTTTTCAAAAATTTAATTTTTGCAATTTTCTTTATTTTACAATTTGTGAAGTTACTTTATTGAACTATTGCTAAAAATGTAAGTCTAAGTAATATTTAAGATTAAAATAATATTATTGATACAAAAATTCATAAAAACTATGTCTAATTTAGGGAAAAAAGGAACATTGTAAAAAAATTACTTATTTATTAATAATATTTAAGCAACAAAGTATTTTTATTCTATTAACAATAACATTGGTTTATTATTTTTGTTTGCTGAAATTATTTAAAAGGAGTCTTTAGCATACTTAGATTTATTATTTCATCACAAGAACTTTTAGTCTAAAATGAAAATTATTCAAAAGATATAAAAGTGGAAATTTAGTTTGAGTATGATTATAAATTTTAAAATGAGAAGCTAAATTATGATAAAAAATAATAAACAATATTATCTATAAAATAACCAAATTTTTGGTTGTAGGTGTTTGATATATGCTAATTGTATGCAAGAAAAAATTGGTAAAAGGTATTATCTGTGGAATTTAAGATTTAATTCAAATTAATAGTTTCTAATAATATATAACGGTTACTTTGTTTTTTAAGGAAATGGAAAGAAAATAAATTTCTTAAATTACAATAAATTTTGATTCAATTTGTTTGAATTTAAGATTAACTATGTTTTTTAGTTATATTTATGTATATATATACAATAAATAAATTAATTTGGTCATTTTCTAATTCCTATGTTATTATTTCTCATAAGAAATAATAATTCTTCCTTTTCTTATTTTAATCTTGCATTCTCTTTTTGCATCATGATAATTTTTTCTTCATTTTCATTCAAAACTTCTAATTTTTGAGCATAGGACTTCAATTTCTCTACTAAATTTTCTTTGAATAAATCAGTTTATTTTTAAAATTTAATGAAATTTTTTTCACTAATTTCTAATTATCTTATCAATGATTAATTTTTTTCTTTCAACATTTAGATTTCTTAATTTTAAATAAGAGACTTTTCTTATTAATCTGCAACAATAGATTAAAGTTATTTAATAGTTTAATCTTGATCTTGTATTCTACTTGTATTGTTATCGACTTTGAATTTGGATAATCTTTAAGGAGATTAAGTATTAAAGTATGATAGATTAGTTGATGCTGATCTATTAGTTTTAGTAGATTTATGAAATACAGCTGATTGCTCTTAAAATGAAATAGCAGATTACTCTAAAGTAGGCATTCTTCTAGATGAATATCTTCTAGAATTTTGATTGATCAATTCTTAATCAAAAATATCAATTAACTCACTTTTTTCATTTTCAAGAAGAGTTTCAACTGTCTGTTAATTTTGATTTTGTAATTTGGACAATGATTTCTTATGAGTAAACAACAAGTCTTTTTATTTCAATTGATTCTCCTATTGTTAAAGATTTTATCGTTATTCTAATAAAATACTCAATTTCTTTTGAATTGTGTGTGGTAATTCAGAATCCCAAGTTTACATTTTATTATAAATAAATTATGAATTTACAACCTGTAAGTTCTGGTTCAATCAATATGTCAGGAGATAGTCATTAGAATGGTCTTGATCATTATCTAAATGAACTAAATAATTAAAATTTGATGTAAGTAAGGAGACCAAATGAAGAATAAATATTGGCATTTATAGATTTTGAGGGTATTAAACCAGATTAAGTAATTCAAAATAAAACCTTTCCTGATAGTCATAAAGAAAACAAGAGTAAAGAAAGTAAGACATCAAAATAGTATCGGCATAATAGTTTAGAAATCTCAGAAGTATCACCTTTGAAACAATCTCTTAGAGATGATTTAATTCCTCTGGATAGTCCAAATATTGAATTTAAAAAATTAGGAGAATCAGAGGATCATAGAAAAAGTAAAACTGTGATCAGTCCAGTTATTTAATCATCTAAATCACCAAAAAGAAAAAGTAAACATTTCTCAAAGATTTTTTCTAAATTAACTAATAGAATGCATTTAGCAAGAAAATTCATTTAAAAAATTAAATAATTATCCCCATTTGCTAAAAAAATATCAAAATAATAGTTATAATTAATCTAAGACTTAAGTTCTGATATTAGCCATTCTAATGAGAAATATAATAACATGAGTTTCATAAAAAATCATGAGAATTCTAAATAGAAAAAGGTATTAAAAAAAATTGAGAGTATGAAAGCATTTATTGCACTCAAAACTTATTTTAGTGTTTGCAAAATATAAAAAATATTTTAGAAGTTAAAAAATGAAACTATTGATCCTAAGGGAAATTTTTTATTTTTTTGGGAATTACTAAAGTTTTTTTTGACTTTAGCATCTTTATTCTAGTTATCAATTTAAATATGTTTTAACTAGAATGTTTTGAATTGGTTTTTTATTTCTGAAAAAGAAAATTCTTAAAACATTCTAATCTTAATGTTTATATTTTATTCATTAGATATTGTATTAGGATTTAGAACAGGGTATTATGAGAATGGGGAAGTTGTAACAAAATAATAGAGAGTAGCTAAAAGATATTTAAAGAAATACTTTTTTGTTGATTTGTTTTCAATACTTCCAATATTGATTAACATAATATTAATTTAATCATTTGATACAGATAATACAATAATTAAAATTGTGAATTGTTTATCATTTTTAAGATCTAATGCTTTAAATAGAGTATATCATTCATTAGAAGGGAGATTATTAAGTAATCCAAGATTTGTAATTGGATATCGATTTTTGAGTGTAATAGGAACAGTGTTTTTATATGCACATGTATTTGGATGTCTATGGTATGTTGTAGGATAAAAGAACTAAAATAATTGGATTTAAAAGGCAGGAATAGTAGAAGATTCTTGGTTCTCTCTTTATAGTTACTCAATATATTGGTCTGTTATGACAATGACAACTGTTGGATATGGAGATTTGACTCCAGCTAATCCTGAAGAAGCTTTATTTTGTGTATGTACAATGTTTATTGCAAGTGTTGTATTTGCATATTCAATAAATACAATTGGTATGATTATTGCTGAGATGAATAAGTTTGATGAGAAAATAAATGAAAACATGGCGATAATAAATAGATATATGTAAAGAAAGAATTTTGAGTAGTCATTATAATTTAGAGTGAGACAATATTTATAGAATTTATGGACATAAGAAGAGAAGTTTCGAATAGTGGATGAAAATAAAATAATAAATTGTTTGAGTCCAAATTTAAAAGAAGAAATTTAAATTTGTTTATATGGTTAATTTATTACTAGCATTCATATATTTTATAGATATTTTAGTTAAGAATGTCTTTTGGATTTGACAAAGAATGTTCAAGAATATAGGGTGGCACCAAATTCATATGTAATTGAAAATGGAACTCATGATGGAATAGCATTATATTAATTAGTAAGTGGAGAGGCTGAAATGTTTGTAGATCTTCAAGATAGAAAACTTTATATAGGGAAATTGAAGTAGGGAGAAGTATTTGGACATGGTCCATTTTTTAAGAATAGTGCTCATGCCTATAGTATAAAGACTGATACAGCTTGTTCATTTGCTTACTTGTCTAAGTAAATGTTCTTAGATATACTTCAATCCCATCCAGGTGATTATGTAATATATTAAATAAAATAGTAAACCTATAGAATGATTATTGATTAATGGACATTTTAACACTAGAAATTAGATTTAGGTATCAAATGTTTAGGATGTGGAGAAACTGATCATGATATAGATTAATGTCATAGATTACATTTAATCTTAAATAAAAAAATGTTATTAGCTAAACATTTATTCTCTCAGCCAAACAAAAGATGTCTATTTAAAAGAAATTGTAGAAGAACTACCAATGCTAAGTTTGGATAAAGATTATTTGAAGATGCTGTCTCATTATTTTAAGAAAATAATTTTTCATTCTCATCTGAGGAAGAAGAACATAATCCTAGTTAACTTGAAAGAACTCATTAAACTAAAATGACTTAAGAAATTAGATATTAAGAACATACTCATAATACACATAGATCTTAACAATAATAATAATAATAATAATAATAATTATAATAGTTATAATAATTATAAAATCAGCAATCAAAAAATGTGAGATTTAGAAAGAGATCAAGATCTTTGAATTCTATTAGTGTTCATTCAGATGAGGAATCTAAATTTTAAAAATCAATGTCTGGATATAAATCAAATGACTCTTAAATTGATAAAATAAGTGGTATACCTGTTAAAGTTTAATAATTGCCAAGCTCTTAATTATCATAAAGTTCTTTTAATGTATTTTTAAAGGAATATCCAAAAAGAAAGATATCCAAATAATAAGATTCAGATAAATATTCTAATCATTCTATTGGATAAAGATAGTAATAATAACAATAATAATAATAACATTATTAATAATAATAATATTAACATAAATCAAGTAGTTAATCAAGTAGTGGTAATATTCCTTAAAGTAGTATTGGTATACCTCCAGTACCAAATGGATCTCCACCTTTGTTATATTAGGAAGAGAAATAACTTTTTTAAAAAGGAGGAGTAGAAGATAGTTTGTATGTTGCTTAAGAGAGAAAAAAGAAATCCTTAATTGGTACTAGTTATGCAAATACAAAATCATTAAAGAATCCTTTATAAGCTATACCATCTGTAAGTGAGATGAATGAGACTGAGAAAGCAAATAATAATTTAAAGGAAGCTTCATATACTTCGAAATAATTATCAATGTAGAGTAGATCAAGAAGTTAAAGATATACAATTTCAATAAGGACAGAGAGTTAAAAAATTCGAGAGGATACTAAACATGATACAACTTAAAAACATGATTTTAAGATGAAAACTGATACATATAAATAATATCATGAGAGTAGTCCATTAAATGAAGAATAATTTCATAATACATTTGAATAGGCTTGTAATTTAAATTAATATTATCCACAATATAATAAGGATAGAATCATCGAAAAATTTAAAAGATAATAATAATATAGAAAAAATACATACTAATAATATAAGACTTGAAATTAATTATTTATATTTTTTTTATACTATTAATTATTAAAGAATTATTTTGAATATAAAAATAGTTTTTAGAAATGTGAAGAATGAAATAAAACAAATTGAATGAATAAATTAGCAGGTGCAAAAACTTACAAGAATAATTAAGGATAAAAATCACATAGATCTTATTAATCAAGATTATCTGAGAAAGTCAGAGAATAGATTCACGGTTTAGTAACTGCAATGAAAAAGGATAAGAAATATAAGAAAGAGGAAATGAGAAAATATTTAAAGAGTGAAAATAATAAACACATATAAAATTTAGATTGATAAATAAATATATTTATAAAATAGTATAATTTAATTAAGAAATTATTTTAATGAATAGATAATAATAAGAAGCTGCAAATATCTGTAAAAATATATAGATTATTATATATATAGTATTAAAGAGAGTAAGAGATGCTTTGAATGCAAGAGGTACAAAAACAATTAGAAGTTTGGGAATATGTTTTAGATGTTTGGATTCATATGATGGAAATAGAAAATTAGATAAGAATGAATTGAAAGTAGGATTGGCTGAAAATGGAGTTTAGCTATCATGGAATGAAGTTGATGTAGATATAGATAATCAAATAAAATAAGATCTTATTCGCAGCAATGGATAGAGATAGAAGTGGAACAATTGATTTCGATGAATTCTTAGTATCTATAAGAGTAAGAGAAATAAACATAAAATTAGGGATAACTTAATCCAACTAGAAAGGCTATTGTAGATTAAGCATTCAAAAAGTTTGATAAAACAGGAGATGGAAAGATCACTATTGATGATGTAAGGTAATCAATTTATCAATTATAAAAGAGGAGTATATAATACAAAGTTACATCCAAAGGTTAAGAATGGTTAAATGACAGAAAATCAAGTTCTGGATGAATTCTTAGTCAATTTTGGAGATATTGATAAGAATGGACAATTAACTTATTAAGAATGGCTTGATTATTATGCTGCTGTATCAGCTTCTGTAGATAATGATGAGCACTTTGTTTTATTAATGAAAATGGCATGGAAATTATGAAACATATAATAAATATACCATAAAAATCTATTTTCTGTAAAATATTATATTTCTAATTAATATATAGCAATCTTCTTTTTATTAAGATTCTTCCTTTTTAGATAAATATTTATCATAAATTTTAAATTTTTCATTATGATTATTATATTATCAAATTAATTTATCTAAACTTTCTTAAACGCTTTCTAATTATTCAAATAGATCTTAAATTTAAGACTTCTAAAATTTAATACTAAATTTATCAACTTTATTAGTCTCTCCAGAAGGTTTAGTTTCAAATACAAATGTAGTTGCTGGATTTCTAGCATCATATGAATATAAATCATTTGCATCTTCAATTTTACCATCAACATTCATAAAATTTGCTACATCTGTAATTCATACATTATTATTGATACTCTTTTATGGTAATCTTGATTCATCTACTTATAAACTGATTTTCCAATTAAAAGAATGTAATACATCTTATACTGCAATTGGTTTTTCTCTTATTCTAATTGAATATTCATTTCCATATTAGATCCATTATTATCTAAACACTTCAATATGATCTTTTGACTAAATTTATATATTTAAAATATTATGATACCATTCCATTTTATGCTAATATTTCTTCAACTTAACTTAAATTTCTTTCTGCAACAACATGCATAAGAACAAATGTAAATGCATTTACAATATTTGCTAACTGTTATTCAGAAATATTTAGATTATTTTGAAATTTCTTAATTTCATCTTCTGTAAATAAATCTTTATATAATTATCCTGGTTTGCTGAAAATTCTTCCAATAACTATTTCAGTTCTTGGAATACTCAAAGAATTTAAATTTAGGATTGCATCTTATAAATTTTTATTAACTTTCATAAATAATAAATAATTTTATATATGTAATATAACTTATAATAATTGTTTTTACATTATATTTTATAAATTTATATCCCAGTTAATAAAATTAATAAGCATTTCAAGACATAAACAGCATTGATTAAATATAGTAGATACTAGATTGAATAATCGTTATAATATAATGTTTAGAGATTCAACAATATTATGTTAATTGACAGATAAATATATTTTAGCTACTTCAACTTAATTTGCTAATTTTATAGCGTTAATTGTATGAATTCCAAAAAGAAGTCTAAATATTCATATTTCTATTAAAGAGGCTTACATATAAAAATGTAGCTCATTTATTATCTAGATAGAACTATACCCTATAAAAATTTTCCCTTATTGTACTATCAACTTGTTAGCTGGTCTTAACAAAAAATAATTATGGATTTGATTGCACATTCTATTTTAATTCTCACAATCTATTATATTACCATTATATTTTATTTTTCTTCACTTTTTTCGAAGTATTTATTTCCAACTCTAAATAATTTTATACATATAAAATCTTTTAGTTAGATTATCCTTTTAAAAAATCTATGTAACATCCTTGAAATATTTTAAAAAAAAATCTCCTTTATCATATTTTCTTATTCTGTGTATTTTTTTACTTTAAAATATATTCCAATAAAATTTAATAAAATTTTCCATCCACTATTTTATTAAGAATTCATTATAGAATCTTAAAGTAACTTTTCAAGCACTTATTTAAATAAAAAATAATTACTTTTTCCTTTTCAAACTATCTTTCCTCTTTTTTTTTTTTAAATTTTAATACAATAAAATTATATTATTAAATATAAATATATTTTTGAAAAAAATATATCAACAAATGAAATTATAATTAGATGTTTGAGAAAAGAAAGATTTGTGAAAATAGATTAAAAAAATGATCTTGAAAATTTTGAACAATTTTCAATTTAATTAAAAAATATATTTTTTTATTTGATAGTTTGAATTGTGTAGCAAATATTTTAGTTTTTTTACTTTCTGTAATAGTAATTTGTATAAAAATGTAGTATAATTAATATAAAAATTGAGTTTGATTTAATTTTTAGATATGATATTCTACCCATTTATAGAAGTATATTTGTTAACATTAAATTTATATTTGTAAATAATTTCTTAAAGTAATAGAATCATGGATTAACACATTTATAAGAATGTAGCAGAGTACAGATAGCATGTTTTCCAAAAAAATGTAGCTTATTATGTTGAATTCTTTGTTACCTAAAAGTTGGGTTAAGAAGCAGAGCTAAACTTACAATGTACATTTTCAAGGATACCTGTAAAGACACCAATTAGACATCAAAATGTAGCAAATATCAAATGTATATTTGAATTAGAGTAATGGCTTGAATTCTTTGAAACAAAACTGAAGTAAACTCAAAAAATATTGATTTATTAGTGATTAGAATAATTTTAGTTGTCCAGGGTGTAAATAATATGTATATTTTGCAGACTTTGGTCTAGACTTTACTTTATATAATATATTGGCTTAAAAATAAAAACTTGAATAGAGTGGTCAAAAGTTTTTGAATGACAAAATAATTTACAAACTTATAAATGGAAAAGCTAATTATTTTGCAATATTAAAATAAGATAAATAAACAAGAGTTAAAATTCCTGGAGCTTATCCTATTGTAAGAGTATCAGTTCAAAACAATAATTTTAATACAAAAAATCTAAATCCAAGATAAAAAGAAATATATGAATAATTAAATTATACTATATCAAAAATATAAGAACTTATAACATAAAAAATATATTAAGGTAAGTAGAACGGATAATAAATAAATGCAATAAAGTAACTTTATTAAGCAAAAAATAATTAATTAAAAGATACATTCAGAGAATCCCAAAATTTAATTGAATTAGGAGTTAAGTCTTTAGAAACTTAATTTGTATTTGGTTTAAAAAAGCTTTAGAAGGATGGAAAGAATGCTGGAAGTGTGGTATGTAATAGATATTTAATTTAGTTAATTGTATATTATCCACATTTAGGAATATGGGCAGATTATGAATTAAAAACAACACCAGAGAAACATTTTTAATTTGAATATTAATTATATGCAAAAGAATAAAGTTTAGAAAAGGAGAATGTTATTTATGTAATTGGAGGAAGAGTATCAAATCTTGTACCAACCAATGTGTTTGTAAGAATTAGGTTTCCTAAAGATCCTTTTTCAAAAGATAATAATGCAACTGTTGAATATCTTCCTAATTTACCAAATGAGGGATATAATTATTTAGGAGGCTGTTATAATAAGTATTATATTGAATATAATACTGTAGTAATGTTTATATATTTTGTGGATAAAAAAGAACAACAGATAAATAATCAGGAATAATTGTTGATACAATATTTGATGTTGGTTATGTATTTAAGAATGGATAATGGAATAAAATTAATTAAAAAGTTGAAAGAAGATATGATGGTAGTTGTACAATAATAAAACATTAAAAATATAATAAATGTCTACTTTTATATGGAGGAATAGAATAATTATTAGATGGTAGAATGGGATATAATGTTCAATAATAATAACATTTGACTTAAGTATTCTCATTTCAATAAGAAAAATTCTTAGGAAATGGATTCATGTTACAATTCTCAAATAAGAATGAAGATAGATATTAAAAAAATATGCTTTCAAGTCCTGTATTTTCAGTACCATATGGTGCTCATAGTGAATTATTGATTTCAGGAGAGTTTTTAAAAAAAAATTGGAAAGAAAGTAGAGAAGTTTATGTTTTTGATTGGGCAGATGGTACAATTAAAAAGAATTAGTTATAAAAATAACCTCTTGAATAATTTGTACTTTCGCATATTAAAAGAAATTTTAATTATGGTGGTCCAGAATTTCTTTAACCTATTTAAGATGTAGAAGGAGCCTTTTTATTTGGAAATTATTGTACTATACATTAGGAAGAAATTTAGATAGATTAAAGAAATTCTATATAAAACTTTACATTATTTGAATATAAAGTGGCCAATGGAGAAGGTAATATAATAATTTCTAATTATTTTAGTATCAACAAGATCCTATATGCAAAGAGATAATTCAATATAATTAGCTGTTGAGACTTTGTCTAAATTAGCAGATTCAGAAAACAAAAAATTATGAAAAAGTATAATAATATAAAATGATATGGAAAATATAAATTTTAAATAATCAAAAATTGTGATAATTTAACTTTCAATCTAAATTTAAATGTAAATGAGGATCAGATATACCAGCCTCTATATTTTTTTACATTTGATCTCTAAATTTCCTTAAAGCTTCTCTTACATCAGAAATTTTCTTTTAAACAATTAAAATTAATAATGGAGACAATAATAATAAAGCTTAATCCTCTGTATCATTATACCAACTTTATATTTGTATTCCATTCTCTGGTTAAAATTAGAAATTTTCAGCCAAGTTATCTATTATTATAGTTTTCTTAATATCTCTTCCAATCTTCTAAATATCTTTTACATATGTATTCTTAAAAAAAGTTGTGTGCTATCTGTATAATCTATGGGAAATAACTTTATCTTCATCAATAAGATCTAAAATGAAATCTGCATAATCTTATTGTGCAGCTGTAAATATAACAATCTCATAATATTTAGACATATCTTTCAAAAACTAAATTGCATAAGGTCTAACTAAAAATTAACCCTCATCTACTAACTATATAAACAATCAATTTTTACTTCTTAATAATGAACCAATGTTTCATCTAAATCTATGACTAAAGTATATTTATTTGTCTTAGATAAATAAGGTATCTATTAACAATCTATAACTTCTTCATAGTCAAATTAAAAATCTTATGAATCCATCGTTAATTTTAACTATTGAATATGGACCACCTACATTATTAATTTAATTATACAATTTTTTAAAATTCTTGCTTAATAAATTCAGTACCTTGATGTAAAGTAAGTCGATCGATATTTGTTAGATTTTTCTCTAGTGAATTAAGTTTATTATCATTTGAATTCTCGATACTAAAGTAATTTATTTCAAATATATACAATAATATTAAAAGTGAATAAACAACATTACTGTTCTTACGGATTGAATTTATATCTACATTTTAATAGTTTTTTTATGGTTTAACTTTATTTAATCTGGCTTATATTAATGCTCTTTGAGATTATGAAATAGAATTTGATTAGTTAATTAAATCAAGATGTAAAATCATACTGTTGTGTATGTAAAATAAAAGGTTTTTTAAATTCTATTAATCTTCTTCAAATGTATCAGATAAGGCTTTATACAAAATTACTAAGATGCCTATTCTCTCTAGATGTATTTATTTGGAGAGAATTTGTAAAGTGGTTTTATCTTTTTCTTCTATTATGAAATGAGAAATTCGATTTAAATAATTTTGACATTAATTAATAACTTTTTTTTTTCTACTAATTACTGCCATAATTGTGAATACAATTTCTTCTTAATTAATAAAATTTGATATTTATTCATCAGAATCATTAATAGTGGAACTGGTTGATTCATTTTTATGTGATTTTGATACTTCTGTCTTTTATTTTAAATTACCTTTGAATTTGTTATTTTGTTATTATTTTTATTAATCAAGTCTGTGATTAATTTATTATTAAATTTTCTTAATCTCTTAAGGCATTTAATAAAGCATATGAGGAGAAATGGATCGTTAAGATTTATTAATAGAAGTATTTTCATGCGAAGATTTTGGACTTGAAGTTCTGTTAAATAATTAGTCTTAAGAATTTTATCTTTTGTAGAAGAGTTCTAAAATATCTTTTGCTTTAGGGATTGATTTTTTTTTTTCATTAAATGACTTGTTTATTGAAGATTTTTCAGTTGATTATTCATACAAATTTCTGGATGATCTATTATCTATAATAGGAGATTTATTGATTTTATTTGAATTGAGATTTTTTGGTTGTTATTATTGATTGTTTTGCATAAAAATTATTTTATTAAATATATAAATATTTAATTAAAATATTATAAACATCATCATTCATCTTTTAATTTTTCACTTTAAGATTCATCAACAACAACGACGTTCTTCATCATTTATTCTAATAAATATTCTTATCTTTTCAAGACTTTAGTAACCCATCCAGGTTCATCTGGAATAACAGTTTCAATAATAAATTTGAGTCCAATAACAATATGTTCAGCAGCAATAAGAAGTAAGAAATTTCTAAGAGCTTGCTATTGTCTATACATATAATTACTGATGATTAATCTATTTCATTAACTTTCCCAATCAAATTATTTAATTAATCTTAATTAGCATAATAGATAGTTAAACAATTTATAATTGTACCTATGTATCCAACTATAAGTAATACACTATTCCATAATCCAATAGATTTCTTTGCTTCAGCTCTAGGCCTTTTAACAAAAGTAATGAAACCATATAAGAGACCATCTAAATTAATTAAATTAAATATTAAAATAGCAATAGGTATTAATTATGAACTGGCACTGAACATAGTAACCATACAAAATTAAAGAATCTAAAAATATTCTAATTTATTACAAAATATGTGAATTAATCAACATGATTAGGTGTTGACATCATTATTCTATTTAATTCAACCGATCTGAGAAACCTTTTATAACCATTACTTTTTCTATCAAAACTTTTATTTGTTTAAATTTAAGTTTCATTATCTAAAATACTAGCAATCTAAGAAGTATACATCTTTCTGCATTTACCTTCTAAAAATAATTCATATTCTTTATTCAAAAAATATTTCTTTACAGAATATTAAATCAATGGAACAATAGTGAATCTCAGATAATGCATTAAAGCCCAAACTATAGTAAAAGTAATAGACATTATATTTAATTCATCAGCATCAGGATCAATTACAGATTTATAAAATAATCTACCAAATGAATTAAGAAATGCAAATGAGAATACTTTTATAATATATACATCTTCTAATTCATTTTAATACTAATGATTTTCATACTCAAGTGATAATCTTGCGAAATAATTAAATATATCATTTGTTATTTTGATAGAAACACCTAAACCTATAGAACAAAGTATAGTAAATTCAGTAGAACGTTCTCTTAATTTTATAATATAATAATAACCAATCTATTCTCCTGCTATTAATATTATTGCTAAAAGCACTAAAGGGGTAACAGATTTATAATATTTCCATTTATCCCTAGTAGAATATTATATTTCTATTTTATGAGTAACATCATCAATCCAAAATTATCCTTTAAATGATGGAATTGATTATTTCTCTTCAGTTTCAACATGCATATCAAATTAAAACATAGTTTCACTTTATTTTCTCTTCCAAAATTCAAAAAAAATAGTTGCCCAAACTGCCAATGCAATTGTATATATTGGAACAAATAATGAATTTATTTCATTTGTTGCATAAACATAAACTCCTAACATAATACCAGGTACAGCTGGAATAAATAACCAAGTTGTAAAAAAACTTAAAAATACAAAAAAAAATCCAACTTCTGCTCCAAAATATGCTTTTATTGCACTTGGTGTTTTACATCTATTTTATTTAAATGATAATGGTTCCTTAAGTAATTCCCATTTTTCTTTTTTCCATTAATTATAAATTAACATTTTTTCTTCATCTTCATGTAATGGAAAATGATCTAATAATATTTTATCATGAAGAAATTAATCCAAATCAAATTCATCACAAAGCAATGATAATATAATTTATTAATCATGATAATGATGAAAATTCTCATACATATCAGCTTTTGTTCTATCAAATTAACAAATTATTCCTTCTTTAAAATTATATATCATCATTTTCTCTTAATCTGCGACTAAATTTTTTAATTCGTTTGACACCTTTATTATATAATAAAAACAAAAATCATTATAAGATTTTATAGGCACTGCTTTAAATTTACCCATCTTTACCTTCTTTTTAATATTATCCAGTTGTTATTTAACTAAATTTTCACTTGCATTAGTTCCAACCAGTACATATTTATATCCACTTCTAATTAAATTCTTTTCTGTTTTTAATAAGTTTTATCTTAGTTCTTTAATGGCAGCGGATCTAGATGATGCAAATGCTGTTTAATTTCTAAAATTTTATAAATGATGATCAGCACCTATTTTAATTAAATAGCTCACCACCTTTTCATGTCCCTAAAATCAAATCAATATAATGTTTAATACTTATTCTACTGCTATATGTAAAGCTGTTTATGGCTTTTCAATTGTCATAATGTTTACTAATTTCTTTAAATTCAATTTTTTATTTTAATGTTCTGATTCAAAAAATATTTCTATCAATTTATCATGACCATGATATGCTGCTGCATGAACTGCATTTCTTCCTTTATAAGATGGAGCAAATGGTGAGAATTATTGCTTTAATAATGGAATAACTAAATCTAAATCACCTAAAAGACTTGCCCAAAATAAATAGTTCAAACCTACTGTTTCATACTTTTATCTATCAACTCTATCTCTCTCTATATTTTCTTAATTTAAATCAAATTCACTTTCTTCCATATTCTCATCTAATTTTTTTAATTACTGAATATGCTATTCACTTTTCAAGAAATGAGCTAAGAATTTCACTATTAAGTATTTGACAACTTTTTTTTAAATCTCTTAATCTTTCTCTTTTATTAATGCTATATCTATAGGAAATTATTTTCTATCGTTCTTCTTTATCACTATTTTAGAATCATTCTTACTTAAATTTGCATCATATAATAACAAAAGCTATGTTAATTTAAAATCACCATAAAAACAAGCCCAATGTAAAGGATTATTTATGTAATCTTTCAAATATTCCTTAAGAGTGGCTCCTCTTTATAATAGTAATTTAGCAATTTAGTATTTTCTCTCTGCTATCTACTCCTTCTCTCTTTATTTAATAGTTGATTCATCAATATCTTAATTATATCCTCTTACACAAACTAACACAAGAGCTGAATTCCCTATTCAAAATATTGCTATTAACATTTTACCTTATTTATCCTTTGAATTTAAATCAAGACAATGTAAATCAAGAAAATACTCTACCACTTTATAATGTCCTCTATAAGCAGCCTTTATAAAACAGCTATTTACATAATGTAATGCATTTCTTCCATAATAATCAGATTTCTAGCATGCATCTTAAAGCTGTTTAGAACTTAATGAAGCTAATTGTTGATTTATAAAATCCAATTTCCCATCTTGTGCTGCCTTTTATTATATTAATCATTCTTATATACCTCAAGAAGGTTTATTTCTTCATGAACAAAAAAATGCATTTTATTAAATAATATTATCTAAACCTTATTCAAACCAAAAACTACAATCCCAAAACCATTATTTCCTTCCCTAACTTATATGTTCAAATTAAAAATCGAAATTCTCATTATCTATCTTAAATATTCATATCTTTATAAATTTGATCTTTAATCAAGAATTATTCCTATCAGAAAAATATGTGATTTATGTAATACTAGAAAATATATAATTAATTAATTTTAATGTTATAAATAATATTTAAATTAACATTTATTTGAATCACTCCAATATTAAAATTCAATCATAATTTTATCTTTTATTTGCATATTTTCTATTTTTATAGTTTTTGGTTTATATTATCCTCTAATAAATAAAGATCTTTTTAAAATATAAAACTTTCAAAAATTGACTAACAAATTTTTAAATGTAAATTTAATAATTTTAGAGATTATACTTCTAAATCTTTACATGCTTAATTTAAAAAAACTTATATAGAGTTGCCACCTAAAAATTTCTAAAGATACCCTTTTAAAATAAAAAAAAAGAGCTCAAATTAATTCTAACATTTGGATCATTAAATTTTTAATTATTTATATGTTTTAAATGAACGAAAATTAGTTTATTCTCATCTTTATAATAAAATTAATTTTCTTGAACAAAGTTAAAAAATAATAAAGGTGTATGTTATGTGTTAAAAATATAAGGTTCAATAATTAACATTAGAGATCAAATATAAGATAATTATTCGAAGCTTAAAACTTTCAGCTCAGGTTTTCTAGTTCTATTGTATTACTTAAGATTTAAATAAGAATTTTTTTACGTTTATAAAATTTTTTTATTTATTCTATTAAATGAACCAGAAATTATTGTTTAAAATTTAAATTCATGACTTAAATAAAAATTGTTCTTCTTTTCCTCCAATTTAGCTTTCAATAATTTATATATATTCTAAAAATAATTTAAAAACATCATATTGTAATTTTTATTTACATTAAATATTAATTCAAATGCGATAGAAATGGAAAAGTAGAAAGTAGTCGCTAAGTTCTATTCGAATATATATTTATTTTTTAAATATACTAAAATTAGGATATTTGTTACCTATTTCTTTAATACCTCTTGTGATTAAAGTATAAAATAATTATATATTAAAAAGTTCCGTTAATGGAATAAAATATTTCAATCAAATGTCCAATTCATAGAAGAGAATTAATAGTAACAGGATGTATTAGTCCTACTTGTAATCGTTCACCTTTGATTTGCCAAATGTGTCCAGATGCACATTCAGATCATTATTCAAACATAGTTCAAATATCTGAATGGCTTTAAAAAGTTACTAAGACTATTTTAGAAGGTTCAAAAACATTAAAATAGATAAGAGATATAAATTAAATTGATTCTGTTTTAAAGTGGTGTGAAGATAATGAAATGCATCTCAAAAAGGTTGAGGAGCATTGTAAAGCATAAAAGGCCTTAATAAATGAAGACTTTAATTATTTAAAAGATCTTTTTGTAGAAAAATGTAACTAAGCATAAGCACAATTAGAATAAGATATAGAAGACTTCTATACAAAATATAAGGAATAATTTAAAATTTGTAAGCTTATTATGGATGACTCATATATACTATAAAAGTAATGTAATCCTTATAGCAATGTTCATAACCTGATTTTTAAATTGCAGTAATCAAATTCAAAAGAAGCTTAAGAATTAATAAATTAAATTAGAAAATTAATTAATAAGCCTTATGATCCAATAGAGAATATCAAGTAATGTGCAGAATCAATAACAGAAATGACTTATAACCTTCCAGTATTTGCATATTAAGATGGAATAGATAGTTTTGTAAATTAATTAGCTGATTAAATACATAATCATTTTAAAACAAAACTAAATATTACTTTACCTAGAAAGATCGTTTCTCCTATTAAATATTAACCAAAAAATTTGCATAAATAATATTCTTTACCAACTGAAAATTTGTAGAATAATTATAATAGTAATTAAAATATATCAAAATCACCTCGTTTAAACTAAAAGTTAGCGTTTTCCCCTCAAAATAGTATAGCTTTACACTCTAAGACAATTGTAGGATAATGTAGTGATTTTACTTTGAAACCTTTAAAAAAATATTAGTTAGATTTTTGTGTATCAGCAATTGAAGTTGTGACTCCATAAATATTTGCAATGACTTGTAGCAATGATCCTCATTTGAGAGTTTTTGATACAATTTAAAAACGAATTCATACATTATCAACTCACACAACTCCAATAATATAAATACATAAATCAACAGATTAAATTATTCCATTATAATAACATAATAACACAAAACCATAAACTTATTTGTTTACATTATCAAATGAATAATTAGTAGTTTGGGCTTTTGATTTTAGTAATTAATAAATGATAGTTCCACATATTTATCATAAATACTTATTTAATAATTAAATTTCATAGAGTTGTTATTTATAAGATAACTCCTGTATTGTTATTGGAGATTAAGTTGGAACTGTTGAGGTTTATAATTTTTAATAATCTAAATTATAATAGAATGGAATTAAAGGAAAACATTAAAAATAAATATCATCTATTCTTTTGTTAAAAAAACATGATAAATTTATTTGTAGTTCCTATGATTAAACATTATCAATATGGAAAATGTTATACAATTAATCATCCTTTGAAAATACTTACTGTGAATCTATTATTTAATGTGGAAATATGCTTGGACAAATTTAAATAATTAATTAATTTTAATCAAATCCAAATTTACTTTTGGTTGGAAATTTAGAAGGTACAATATTATATAATCAAAGGATCTTTAAAAATTGTTAATTTGATGAATTAGTGTGTCATATTAGAATCAGAAATATAAAAAAATACTAATTCTATTTGTGATTTTATTATTGCAGAGGATGCAAATAAAGGTATCAAAATAATATTAGCTAGAAACAATATCTGTGATTACATATTTATAATCAAGTAAATCATTAAGATTTTGGAGATTGCAGAATAATGATATGGGATGGGCATAAAATGAATAAAAAATAGAAGTCGCTTTATCATTATCTGAGAATATGATTAGATCAAAGCTTTAATTAGTTTAAATGCCATCCAGTACATAAAATACTGTAGTTTTAATAGCTAATGAAATAAACAAAGAGTTGTTAGTTTATGAAATTATTAATAAATAGTGATTTAAATTTAATATTAATTATATATTTAAATCAATATTTTTACACAAGATAAGTAATAAATTCTTCGAATTAGATTTCTCCATCTCCATTTCCATCACATGTTTATAAAATTTCTTACCATAATTAATCATCTATGCCACCCATTATTTCTTATAACTCATCTTTACTGATTTAACCATCTCCATTCTATTAAATTTATTCTTAAAGTTTTTACAATATCAAAAATTTTAAATGTTTATTCTAATTTCATTTTATTCAACATTTTTTCTTATTAGCATGCTGCAGAAACAAAAGCAGTGAAATCAACTGCACCTGTTTTTTTAATATCAACTTTTTCGAATACTTCATCTACCATTTACTATGCTTTTAAATAATCATATTGTTAACTGTATACTAAATTATTATTAACATTTTACCAACTAATAATTCTTCCTTACTTAATAAACCATCTCCATTTTTATCAATTGATTTGAATAGTGTTATTAATTCTTCCTTTTCTTAATTCGTCATAACTTAAGTTGTTATAAATTGCATTAATGCTGTTCTAACTTTATTTTTACTCTTAATATATATTTATTAATACATAAAATGATTATAAATTCTTAAGTTATCTAGCATCAATTTTTGCAACATGCACATTATTTTAAATCCATGGATCTTCATATGCTTATTTTGCTGTAATTCTTTTATTGGGATCTTTTTCCATCATTTTTTTAATTAAATTTATAGCCTATTCTGAAATTCCATTCCAATTTTCATCTATTTCATATTAATTCTAATTAAATTACTTGGAAAATCATAATGTCCTATGTCAATCTTAAGTAATATCTCATCGGATAATCCATCAAATGGCAATTACCCACTCAACATCTAATATAATATTACTCCACATGACCAAACATCGCATTTTTCGTTATATTTTTTTTTAAGTACCTCTGGAGCTATATAATAAGGCTTAATTGATTAACAATATTATATACAGTTCCTAATTTCTTTGTTAAAAATTAATTCTCTTATATTCTTCTTGATGTACCAAAATCTATTATTTTTAGATTAGCACCTTATTTCATAGATTCTAATAAAATATTCTCGGGCTTTAAATCTCGATGAACTATCTTTCTCTCATGGCAATACATCACTGCTGATAAAATTTGTTTTAAAAATTCTGCAGCAATTTTTTCTGTAAATGTCTTATACTCTGAAATTCTTTATAACAATTCACCACCTTCCAAATATCTAAACTAATTATACTTTATAATACTCTGTTATTAAATAGAAGCTAGATTTATCTTCAAACAATTCATATAATTTTACAATATTTGGATGATCTAATTATTTTAGTATTGTGACTTCTCCCAATAAGGTTTCCTCATCTTCTTTTACAATTTTATCTTTCTTTATTTATTTCATAGCTCTTCTTTAATTTGTTTACTTATGTATTACTAATCGTACTTCTCCATAAGCACCTTCTATTTATCAATTATTTACCTTTTCCTAACGATTTTTCAACTCGATAATAGCTTGTAACTTATCCTTATTTTTGTGTTACAAAATTTTCTGGACCTACTTCAAAGTTTTCTTATTTTTTTGTAGAAGGTTGCTTTTAAATATCTTATCTATCTTATCTTGCCTTAGAATGGCAAACGCCCATTAAAAAAAATAAATTATTTTTAATTAATAAAAGCATCAAGATTTATACAATTAAGTGAGTTATGAGAAAATATCATAATTGTTATTTTTCTTATTATAAGAATGAATTGATAAAAGAAATTAAGTTAATATAAATAATTGTTATATCATTTTAAAAATTTCTTTGAATTATCGAAACTTATAGTAACCAAAAAAAGGGAAAGATTGATTACTTTTATTCAAAAAATTAACTAATAAATAATTGTTTCTCCAATATATTTATAAAAATTGTATTAAAACTTATTTAAATTTTAATATAAAGATTTCATTTCTTTTCTAATTCACTAAATTGATTTAAGATGTCTTAAATATCATCATCAGCCATTTCTTTAAGCCTTTCGAATCTATTAAGAGGCAATGGTTTCATAGGCTAGGTAATCATTTTCCTAAAAATATCAATATCATTTGTAAATTAGCTTTCTTATGATCTATAAGGAATATTATGATTTGATGTTTGAATTGTAAAATCTGAGCAGCAATTTGATTGATTTCCCATTTATAAGAGAAGAAAGATTTATCTATTAAATTTATATTAATCAATAAAATCCACTTAAAATGTAATTTCAATAGACAATCCAGATAATTATATAAATATTTTATAATAGATGTTTAGCTCTTAAATAAAATTTGAAATGTTAAGAAACTAATTAAGTGATTCATTAATTAATAAAAATAATATTTATTTTGTAATGTGGTATAAAAACTTTTCAAAACAAAGTTGGAATCTTCGTGTTTGGAGGTACATTAAATCAATATATTGATTAGAAAAGCAAACATATTATTCAATCAAGATGATATTGGTATGTTCAAAACAAAAGGAGTCTTAAGATGGAAGGATACTGTATTTAGAATGGCTAGAAGTGAAGCTTGTGTAATAAAACTTTATATAATGAAATTTAGTTAAGAGGATTCAACTTTTTTTTCTTTGCTGGTATGATTGGATCTTTCATTTGGGTTAAATCAAATTATTATGATCCAAAATATGTAGCACCTAAAAAAGTTGAAAGTGAAAAAGAATTAGAAAGATTAGATGCTGAGGCTGATAAAATATTGTTCAAAAATAGATTAGAAGCATATTCAAGACCACATAGAAGTTTGGAAGATTTGATTGCATTCTTATCTGGGTATAATGAATAAATTAAGTTAATAGTTCAAAGACTTTTGATTAATTTGCTGATTTCATCAGTTATGAAGAAGCAATGAATAATAGTATGGATTAATAAAATGGTTTGGATTCATGGATGGATGATTAAGATTAAAGAATGCTTAAATATTACCAAAGAAGTATTGGACGTACACCTAAATTTGATTGATTTTACAAAAACAAATCACATAAGCATATATAAAATATCTATAGATAATTATTATATTAATTTCATATAATGTCTTCTCATCTTGAAATCAATTCACATTCTTATTTTATTAATATTGAAAATCTCGATAATTTTTAACTTTTTTTATAAATATTTAAAATTCAAAAAACATGGACATTTTTGATTAGTTTCAGAAATTCAAAACTAACTTGAAGACTTAAATTGAGCATCGTCCTCATTCTCAATAAAGAAACACTGTTTTGAAAACCAAAATTATTTAATCAACACTTTAGACATAATAATAATAAGTATCAGATGTTTAGAGGAAAAAAACATTGTAACATCATAGAAGTTCTACTCTATTTAGTGCTGCAAAAGAGAATCAAGAAAAAGAACAAAAACAACAATAATAATAATAATTATTATAATAAAGGTTTACTATGGTGCATAAATAATTGCCAGAAGTATTACCGATGTAATAAATTTAACAGATGTCAGATATTTTAATAGATTGTAGTGAAGGTTAAATAAACTCATTATCAACCTAATATGTAGAAGAGTTAGTTAAATTATCAAGCATTATAATGTATAAAGTCAAAAATTCAAAATTCTACTCATGATAATTACACTCTCTTTTATTATTATATTTAAAATTCACTTAATCTTTAAGTCTCATGTAGATTTATTTCATAATTCATACAACCTTCACATTTACAATCCAATTCACATCTTTTTCCTTGCATTATAGTAGTATTTCTTCAAGCATTTACTTTTTTTATAAAATCATTTTATTTCCTCACTTTGATTTCTATTTATTTAAATTCTACTTTATTCTATTAGTTCTTATTTTTATCATTTTTACATTAATGTTTCCATTCAGATGTTTCTCCAATAAATTTTGCTTATTATTATTAAAAATAAAATTTCAAACATAAGTCTTTTACATATAGGAATTTGAGATAGTCTATATTGAATTATATCACATTATTTTACTAATGATAATTTATTTATTAATTCTTATATTGCATTTTCATAATTAGATTCATCTTGCCATACAAATAAAATTTCTAATTTATTTTCATTTGATTTTTTATTTGATAAATTAAATGATCTTAATGATTAATTTTATTATTCAAACAAGATTTTTCACTTTTTTTGTTTTTTCAAAACTAAATTTTTATTATTATTCAAATGTTTAACTAAATGTAAAACTATTTTTAGCTTATTAATCATTAATATTATTACGAGAAAAATGATAAAATATTTTAAAATTGGACCCTCTTGGAATGATTAAATGAATTACTTTTATAAAATTGGGTTTTAAATACTCATCACTGATCTTAAATCAAAATGATTTTTTTTATTAATACTTTTTTTCTATAAATTCTTCATGTTATTATTTTTATAATCATTCTATATCAATTTATTATTAAATCATTGGGAATTGGGAATTTCTTTAAAATGATTATCTCCCAAAACCACATTCAGCCAAATTCATATTGTTAAAATTATCATCTGTTTCGTTTTTCTCCTCTAATGTATCAAATATTATGTTATTTCTTCTCACTTCTATTTTCTTAATCATACTAAATTATTATTGTGAATAAAAAAATTAAAATACAGTATAAAGAATCTAATTTTAAGAAAGACTAAATTGATATAAATCAATAATTTTTCTTAAATTTGCAGATTAGATTCAGAATATTATTAATAGAATGGAAAAGTAAAATAAATAATTTAAATATTTTTAATGAATACTAGAGCATCAAAGAAACAGAGTTTACCTTAACAAATTTCTACAGGTATGAAACATAAGATAGTTTAATGGATATGCTAAGCTATTTTATCTATATTTTAAATTATTAGTTTATTATTTAGAAACAAGAACTAAGTAAGAAGAGCTAATTGGTGAACCAGTCATTACAAAAGTAAATATTGATAATGAGGAATCTAATAACAAGATTACAAACCTGAATTTTCGTTACAATCAAGGAATTAAAAAACTATAAATTACAAAAACATATCCAAATGAGAAAAATGGTAATTGTAGAAAAATATATGGCAGGTTTTAAGGCTAATAAAAATAGGAATAGGCCTATAGTTTTGAATTTATTAAATTGTATAAAATAAGGTACTGATGGTAAAGTTTATGATGTAATGGATGTTAATACATATATCTAATTGGTGAGTGATTAATAATAATCGTAAAACATTCCTAAATCATTAAAGTGTAAATGTTATAAATCTATGTGTTTAAAATAATATTGTGATTGTTTTGCGAATGGAAACATGTGTACAACATAATGTCAATGTCAGGGATGTCATAATACTGAAGATTATGTAGAAGAGAGAGAGGAAGCAATAAATAAATTGAAAATGCAAAATTAATCAATTGAAGTAATTAATAAATAAAAATTATTAAGAAAGAAGTACCTGTTGGAATAAATTGTAAATGCAAAAAGTCTAAATGCTAAAAACGTTATTGTGATTGTTATTAGAATAATTAGAAATGCAGTGAAAGTTGTTAATGCATTAATTGTTTGAATTAATTGGAAAAGATAGAATAAGTAGATCAAAGATTAATGATGAATTCAATCTCTTAATTTGATGAAAATAGCCGATTACCAAAGTCACCCTTATTTTAAAATAGATAAGGTCTTTTCAGAAGAGCTGATAGTATGAATTATTCAAATTCCTTTGGTTATTCTAGAAGTATTTAGAATAAATTATTATAAATATTAGGAGGAGTGCTGATACAACATGAAGGACCATATTATTTAAAGTAAGACTCATAAGGATTTAATTGAATAAATAATAACTTTAATTATAATTCAATTTTGTAAATTGTATCATGGGAGACTCTTTCTTATATTTTCTATGGTTTATGTAATATTATTGACTGAGGTGGTGAGCTATGTAATTTATTAACTAATTTATACTTGTTCAGCAGTACTTTTAATACCATTAATTTAAGCCTCCAATTAATTAAGCTTTTCTGGTACAGCTTTAAGAGTAACAGCATTTCTTTAAATAGCAGCAAAATCATCTTCAATTTATTGAATTTAAGGTACTTAGCATTAACCCATTGTATATAAATAAAATTTAATTAATAAATAAATAAATTAATTAATTTAAGGATGTCAATGAGTGATCAAAGTAAGACAGAAAATCGGATATTTGTTACAGGATATTCAACAAAGGATAAAAATGAAGATGATATCAAAGCTCTTTTCTCCAAATATGGAGAAATTAGTGAATTTTCTTGGAAGGGTCGTTTTTGTTTCATTGTAATTTTGCATATATTATTTTAGGCTTATTCAAAAGCTGAAGAAGCAACAGAGGCAGTGAATGAAATGAATTAAAAAGATTTAGATGGAAATACTTTTGTCGTAGAGATAGCTAGAGCCAAAAAAAAAGACGGTGAATGTTATCAATGCGGCAGAATAGGACATTTGTAAATAATTTGATGATTTAAATTAGTGCTCGGAATTGTAGATAAAAAAGAAGATCTTCAAGCTCAAGTTCAAGGTAAATGTTTATCAGTATTTAGACGACACAAAAGAAAGAGTAAGAAGTATAAAAAGAGAAGTCCCTCCAGTTCATCAAGTTCATCTTCTTCTTCATCTTCAAGAGATAGAAAGAAGAAATAAAAAACAAAAAAAAGAAAGTAATCCTCCTCATCAAGTGATTGATTTTAAAAAGAATTTGGATATATATCAATGATTAAAAATTATCGTGTTTTTTGTTGTGAATAAATCTAATCATTTTTTCAATGCTTATTCGTTGTCTCTTAAAATTTAAAAGGCAGTCTTTAACGAATTCAATTGACCCTCTCTTTTACTAGCATTGGATCTAAAATTTGAATCATATAAATCTTTTTGAACTCTTGTAGTTTCTAATAATTATTAAGTATTATTTTAATTCTAATTCAATTATTTATTTCTTCTTTATGCTATTTTCTATAAGTCAATAAGGAATTTATGCCTAGTAGTCTTTTAATTTTCTTATCCTAATTTTTCTCTTAAAATTGAAACTTCATTTATTAATGAATTAAAATTTTATTCTGCTGCTGTTTAATTTTATTCTCTAAATTGATAACCATCCTTTATTGATGCTATTATTTATTCAATTAATTCAATTGCTTTTCTTGCTGTTATTTCATCAAATCTTCATTATTGTCATACATTTACTTAGAAGACAATTCTAATAATAAAGCTAAAGGATGTTTATGTCCTAATTCTTACTTAACTTATTATATTATTTCTTATTTTTTCTGTTTCCTCAAGAAATAAAACTTAATTAGAAAGAACTGCTTTTACTAATCTATCATGAATTTCTTCTAAAGCTCCTAAAATCTTTTATGCTGCTGTCTATTTAGTTTCTACAGCTTATATTTCTTTAGCTCTATTATCACGAATTTATTCTTCTCTTTAATTTATAGATTCTAATTATTTTTTAACAGAAACATTAGAAGATGTAAGAGTTGAAATTGATTATGTTATTTCTCCTATTTTTCTATTTGTTGTTTAAACTTCATTTTATAATGATGCTTAATTGCTTTCTAATTATTTAATGCTTTATTAAAATGTAGCCATTCTTGAAGCATGTTCTAAATTTGCAGAATTAATTTATCCTGTTATATCATCAATCATTTTTTATAACAATTCAAAAACTTTATCTAATTATCCACCTTAAGCACTTAATTCCAACATATCAACTAATTATGAATTATGTTCATTTGATTCTAATTTATTTCTTAATTTTTAAAGAGGAGGACTCTCTGTAGCAATTGCTATTGTTACTAATAGCAACACTAATAGAGATTTTTGTGACATTTAATCCGTTTTTATATTTATTATTAATAATCATTATTGTGGTTTTCTTTATGGAATCTATGCAGGTGATTATTTTATATGTTATTAAGGCGATGCATACTATAAATTTATTAATAAAACTTACTGATTCCTTTCTTATACATGGTGTTGGATGAATTGCTTCCAATGTTAATTCACCATTTTGTCTTAATAATAATGCCTTATCTTATTCATTTAATTTTGAAAGTTTTGGATTAGCTTGTAAGGTTCCTTAAATTTATTTAAATATCTCAATTAAATTTTCTTTTTTATATTAAATTGTAGCTTTTCTAATAGGTGATCCTTAAATGTCTTTGCTTCCTCTATAAAATTAAAATAAATACATACTTATGTTTGGCTGGTTAAATTTGTTCAGATGTCTTTCTTGATGTTGATTTTTTTTCAACATACTAATAATTATTATTAATTAAATACTGGACTCTATTGCACCTTTGGAGGTTTCTCTATGTTTTTAACATTTTATTCTTATTTTTCTAGCGATTATTTTTCAACATAAATATCTTTAGGTCCAGATGTTGGAGTCTTTGTTTTTTTATCTTGATGCTCTTATTCACTTCCTTTACGTTCTTATCCTGATTATTTTCTGGTATTTTATTATTACTATTAAACAGGAGGATAATATGGTTTTGTTATCTTTTCAGGTTATGTCTATCCTGCAACATCATCTGAGGCTTTTCTTATATATAGATTTTAGAACATTTAATTATCTACAATTCTAAAATACATTTACTGTATGGATATAAGTATTATGCTTAATTGTTGAATCCTAGTGTCTTTGTAAGTGATTAATAAACATTCTCTGGTTCTACATAAGCCTTTAATGGATCTTTTGGATCATTCACTGCTTAATCTAAAAACTTCAAACCAACTTCATCATCCTTGAATGTTACTCTACAACATCCACCTTCAAATGTTATTTCACACTCAATATTCTTCAGATATTTTTCAATCAAGTAAGCTTTGAAATCTGCATTTGTTTAACTTATTTCATTTATTATAATATTCTTTGTATGTGGAGGTATCAACAGAGTCACATATCCTTCATGCAATTTGCAATTTTTACATTGCTTTAAAGCCTATCGTTTATATATAAAATCTTACTCCCAAAATTTCTTCGATGGAATGCTTTGCTAGTGAATATTCTTTTTGAAGTGCCACTATAGGTAGATTCAAATTTGGATCCAAGTTTTTTAAAAGGTACTTATTTTTATCTAGGTGTTCTCTTGTGAACATGCCATCTAATTGTTTTATTAAATCAGTCATTAAAAATTTAATGAATAAATAAAAAATAAAAAATACTACGTAATTGTCTTCTTAAAACTTATACTTTAAGATTATAATTTTAATCTTATCTATAATCATTCCTCAAACTAATAAAAGTGAAATCTTTATTCAAATCCATAAGTTACTTACCAAAAAATATTCTCTATTATTATTTAATTAATTAATTTAATATTTTATATTTATTTTATAAAATCTAATCACAACATTCTTATCGACCTTATTAAATATTGATAATAATACTTACTAATAGTTTAACTTTTTGAAAAAGAAATATTATTATTCACCACTTAAGTATTATTTGTAGTTTTGTACCTTAAAACTTCCTATATTTCAAATGATCTTGTAATTGGATCATTTACAAAACTCAATTATCAAAAATAAAATTTTTAATAGATTCATAACAAACTTATTCATATAAAATTAACAACTTTATTCACTTTTGTTATGATTCTAGAATTATTTTCATTTTCATTTTTAAATTATTTACAAAATGCCACAATACTTTATCATTTATAAAGCAATTTAAATAGATTATTTCATTCTTCAGTAAGTATCTTATTCTTTATATTAAATAAATTTCTTGAATTGCAATATTTGAATGGTAAAAAAAGAAAATTGCAATAATTCTATAAGGATTATCAATTTTTCCAAAAATAACTTTACACTAAGTTTATAGGTTTGATGGATAACTTATCATATTCACTGAAAAATCTTTTGTATTCTAAAATAATTTGATATAACTAAAACCTCTTAAGTAAATAAAAATTACATTTTCTAATTTTGATTAATAATTAGCATTGAGGTTAATTATATAATCTCGCTAACTCTCTTTATGTTTTTATTTAAATTTCTGTACCAATTCAATATTTGATTCAATGAATATCTTTAACAATTTTCAATTCATAAATAGTTTATTATGAGGGGATAAACTTAAATACATTAAATCACTTTGTATTAATAATTTTGTCCAAAATTCTAAAAAAAACTTCAATTTATGATTCTAAAAGATTCATAAATTGAAGTCACAATTTTTATTTTTATAAAAATGTTAAAATATCATTCTTGTGGTGTAAATCTGTAAATTCTTCATTCGAAAAAAAAGTAAATTGAAAATTGCTCAAATTATTAGAAGTTCGGCTACTTTATGATTAATATTGTGGATAATCCAAAAATAATTTATACTTAAATTTATTTAAAAAGAAAAAAATGAATAATTGATCTTTAATTTGATATTTATAATGATTATTAATAAAATGAATAACAATAATGAATTTGATAAATTAGTCATTAAGGGGAGTACAAGATTTTAGGAGGTAAATTTTAATTAGCCAAGACTGTTTTAACCTAAGTTAAACATAATAAAATTAAAAGGATTTCAATAGTTAGTAGATCTTATAAAGCAATAAGAATCCTTTTCTAAACATAATTAGATTCTTTAAACTAGTACTTAAAAAAATCTACCTTCAGTTTTGATTTATCCTCCAAAAGCTGAATTAATTACATCTTCAAAGAAAGAAATATCAATAAGAAAATATAGCGAAACAAGGGTTTATGGAAGAAAAAGTTTTACTGAAACTGCTGAGCCTTAATCCCTTGAAAAAAGAAAAACTGATACAATAAGAAATAAATTTGCTATAAAAAAGACTGTTCCTTATAAATAAGAAGAGTAAAATATGTTTGAAAATGCTTGTGATTTTGCTACAATAGTAAGTTTCTCAAATTTATTAATGATAATTCCTTAGGAGAAAATAGTATATAAGGCATTTATCACAAAAGGAAATAATGGTTAGCTTGTAAGACAATTAATAAAATGTAGATCTTGGTGGGTTTTACTTGATACACCTTAGACTGATGTGAATCTTTATTGGACTTAATTACGAAAATAAGGGTTTTATAAGGATCTAATAACTTTAACAGGGAATTAATCAACATTTACAAAAGGATAGAAAAAATAAGTATTTGATAGATTTAAACTTAAATTGGAAGATGAAAAGTATACTAATTTCGTTTCTAGTAATATTTTAAGAGTGCATAATCATTTAGAAGGGAATTTCTAAATATCAAATAAAAAAGCTTTATATTATAATATGAAATCATATTATCAATCAATAGGATTAGATCCATTTAAATTCATACCTTTAACATTTCATATATAAGATGGAATAAAGGATCCTGTATATTAATAATTCGAAGAATATGCAAGAAAGAATAACATAAATGTATGGATAGTAAAACCAGGAGAATAATCAAATAGAGGAAATGGTATAGAAGTAGCTAATTCAATTTCTTAAGTTAAAAGGTTAGTTTCTTATCGGGAATTGCATTAAAATGGTGTAAAGAAAACATTTATTGTTTAATAATATATAAATAAACCATTATTATACAATAAAAGAAAATTCGATATAAGATGTTTTATGTTAATAACATGTATAAATCACTAATTTAAAGCTTATTGGTATTAGGAAGGATACATAAGAACAAGTTGCAAAGAATTTAATCTGGATGATACAGATTGTAAATATACACATTTAACTAATGATGCTGTTTAAAAATACAGTAAGAATTATGGGAAATATGAAACAGGGAATAAAGTAAATATATAATTAAATAAATTAAGGTATCCTTTAATGATTTTTCAAAATATGTATAAGAAATTTATAATTTGAATTTTAACAATACGATAGAACAATTGAAGAGTTTAAGCACAGATATTGTCAAAGCTTCTTATTAGCATTTAGATCCAAATAGACATTTCTACACTTTTGAATTATTTGGATTAGACTTTATGATTGACAGTGATTTTAAACCATGGCTTATAGAAGTAAATACTAATCCATGTCTTGAAACATGTTGTCCTTTACTTTCTAGATTGATAAATCATATGGTTGAAAATACTATTAGAATTGCAATAGATCCTATGTATCCTCCTCCTACAAAGAAAAAACCTTTAGGGGAATTCAAAAATAATTTTGAATTGATTTTCTATACTCCTCTTATAGAATAATATAATAAACTACCTGAAATATAATAAGATGATGATGATCTTGATGTAGATGATGATAATTGAATTAATATATATTTATTTATCATTCTTATTCCATACTCATTTTATTAAATTAATTTTGTAATTATATATCCTAATTAATAATATTGCTATCTGTTCTTAAATATGGGGTTGTTGATGATGCTTTCTTTATTAAAATTTATTCTCCTTATTCTTCTAATAGATCTTAAAAAGGAAGTTAGACATCCTAAAAAATATAGGGTCCTGGTTATGAAATATCAATTCCATATAATTGCTTTTATTCTAAACTCATCTAATGTGCAAATTACATGAAATCTCCATTAGAATTTAGAGAGTCTATGTAATTTTGCATAAATCATATACCTCCTTTACCAAGACCATTATATTGGGTTTATATGTGAACGTTGTACTATTAAATATTGTTAATAGAGTTCTCTTGTTCAAATTAACTTTATATTGTATCTAATTTTCTATCGTCACTTTAATCTCTACAATAATCTTTTCCTATCAAATCAGATTTAACATGTTACTATTCAGGAGTAATCTCCTTACCATCTGAATCAGATTCTCTTGTCTATATATTATACTCCTTCTTTATATGTGAATAAAATCTGTTCTTTACAGAATTTTCCTTTCATATTTGTTTAAATGATTACTGGTCTTCCTTTTAACTTTTTTGATATTTCACTCCATCTTGGACCCAAACTTATATACAATTAGTAAATCTATTCATCTTCTTTCTCATCATATGGATCATGATTTATTGTTTTATCTAATTTATTTATGAATCTTTCTCTTATTTGTTTTCCAGTTCTCCCATTCATTTCATTTTCTATTCTCTTCCAATTCTTTCCAAATTTTTAAATCAAACGTAAAACTTGTCTATCTTCTTCCTCTGTCCATTGCTTTCTCATTTTGATCTTTTTATATTTCTTATTATACTCTATTAGGATTTATTCTTTTCCATCTTTACGAACATTGTGATTAATTTCTTCCTGGTATTGACTATGCTACAAGTGTCCAATTTCCATTAAATTTCTCATAAAACTCTTAAAGCATCTCATCTTCCTCTGGTGTCCATATTTTTACCACTCTCTTCTTAATCATAGGTTCTGAGTCTGATGCCTCTGAGTCATAGTAATCAGAACTATATTTTCTAATGCTTTTTTTAGATATCTTGCTTTATTGACTATTAGCTCTATATTTTCATTAAATATATAAATACCTAGTTCTTGTATTTTAACTCATTTATTTTATAATGATAGTAAAATTATAAAAAAATATCCATTTCCTAATAATTTATATAAATAACAAAAACGAGGAAATTATTTATTATTTATATGACTCTTAAATCCTCTACAAACAATATATATTATAATTCTTTATAAATTACAAATTATTCAAATTAAATTGTCAATCAAATTTATTTTAAACAAAGTGTTTCCTGCTTTAAGTAAATGCTTACAGTGAAGGAAGAGTTTTTTATATAGGGATATTATTTATTTTACTTCTTGTAGTTATATGATAATGATTTACAAAATAATTTTTCTATGTAGGAAGAAATTACTTTAAAATAACTGGTTTAGGAGTCATCCTCTTTTTAAAATCTATCTTAAAATCAACTAATGTAGGTACAACCAAAACAGGTGTTTAATTATATTAAATTGGATTCTCCATTTGAGTTGATAAACTTGACATATGATATTTTTTGCTTTATAATTATTATATTTTATGCATTCTTATTAGAGATTACTATTTGATTTAATTTCTTGTATTGTATTTCATTATTCTCAATTCTGAATTTATTTGATGCTAAGTTCTTACTTAAAATGTATTTGACCGTTTCTCAAACTCACCTTATTAACCACAATTAGAACAAAGGCAACTTTTTCTTCTCACTGTGTTGATTATCCTTTACACTCTTGCTTCAATTTATTAATCATCTCTTTAATTCAAACGATTTAATGACATTTTTTTTTAATTTTACTCTTGTTTTAAGAGATCTATTTTACTTAAAAGACTTATTGATCTTTAATCTCTTAAATAAATTAGTTGTTTTACCTTTAATCATAGATATATGAATTTCTTTTGTGTGATGAGTATTTTGAATGTAAATTTATTTCGGTTTCTTGTACATACCCATACTCATAATTGAATTAGAAAAATCTATTGATATTTTTTCATTTTCATAACAAGCTGGTTTTTTTTGTTATAAAATCAAATCGAGTAGTGAATCCTTAATTCACAATTTTATTTACTTTTTAATATGAATCATCTTAAGAATTGCTTGAATCCATTAATTAATATAATTTTCAATTTTTGTAATTTTGCATGACTTTATAATAATATATTTTTATTAATATTTATTATTATTTTTTAGATTGCTTACTTATATTAAATCATTAGAATTTCTTGAAATAGTGAAATACTTCAAAAATATTGTAAGTATATTTAAATTGCACAATTCAACACTTTCCAATCAGAGATTTTATAAATAAGTATAAATAAAAAATAATTTAATTTATGCATTTATTAGAATTTTTCTATTAAATATTTAAAATATCCCTATAAACATAGTATCACTCTTGTTTAAATATCTAAGAATCTTGATTATTTCAAACTGCTTTTTTGTTCAGCTTTAGAAATTCTAAAGTAAAAAGAGGAACTCTAGAAATATCTATATAAACAATAACTTTTAATATACCAGATATTGATTTTTGATAATATTTTTAGATGAATATTTAATTGTAAAAAGAGAGTCAGTAAATTTTAAGTTGATAATCAATTTTTTAATTTATTATGAAGATTTATAAATATTTATATATTTTTTGTAAAGTTGAACTGAATAAAATGAAAAAGGAGTAATAATTAATTAAATAATTAATATAGATTGTATTTAATATTGTATGGTATAATATCATTTATTTTGAACATCTAAATTTTTGTAAACATTATTAAATCTCCAATTATGATAATAATGAGCAGGAGAATAATCAGAATAAACATGATTGGGATCCTTTTTAGAATAAATGATAGATGGAACAAATTCCTTTCCTACTTCAGTTCTATCTTTAAGTAAAAGATGAACACCATCATACATAGATAAGAATCTAAAATAGAAATGTAAATTACTTAGTGAATCTACTAGCAAATACAAAAGATTAATTCTAGAATTCATAAATCCAATGATCTTGATAATTATAGTAAATAATTACTTAAGGTGTTATTATCTCCTTGGACAGAATGAACATCATGTCCGAAACCTCTTACTTATGGACAGACTTTCAACATAGGCAATGTATTTGTGCCTAAATGAACCCATCTTGAGAACTCAGGGAATGCAAAATGAGCTCTGCCTGTGTAGAGACCGGCTTTAACTGGCCAGAAAGCAAGAGAGTCAGCTTTATTAAAGGAAACATTTTCATGAAGGAATTTAAGTGCAAACTTCCAATCCCATTATCCTGAGGGTAATTTAACAAGATTGTCACTAAAAATTGATCTCCACTTAACACACTAAAAGAAATATTGTGTAATAATTTAACCTCAATATTTTCTTTGAGAAATGATTCAATTTATGACTTTGTCATTTCTTTAGTATTAATTTCTGATAATTTTTTAATAAAGCCTCTGAATTCTGTAAATGCTTCATGATATCTTTAATCCATAGGTGAGTAGTCAATACAAAACACACCTGTTGTTCTTTCAGGATGATAACATCCAGCAGCTAAAGCAACCTTTGCTCCAAATCCATGTCCAGCCAATGTTGCCATAGTAATTTTGTTATAATACATATATCTAACAACATCATTAGCTAAATCTTCAACATCAAATGAGAAATGCTTATCAGATGTACCAAAATTTCTCGGGCTCAAAATATGCACATTTCTATAATCAAGAATCTATTGAATTAAGACTCTATATAACCTAATTATTAGGGTCACTGAAGAATGGGATCCAATTTTCAACAGGATCACAGGCTTCAGGGAAGAACAGGAGATTTGGTAAATCATTATATCTGCCTTTGAGAGTTACTCCTCTTAAGACTACATTCTAGGAAACATTCTAATATTCACTAACTCCTTTGTGGAATTAGAGTGTACTGAATTTCCAAAGTTGTTGAAATCTGTACATAGATATTTTAATTAATTAATTTATTCATATACTATCATAACCACCATGTCTAAACCTCTAGACTTGAGATTACAATTTATCTACACCAAAATGAAAGACAGCTCTAATTTGAGGGATGAGAGTTTTAATTAATTAAATATGTGGAATGGCTTCCTCTCCCTCAAGTTGTAATTTCTTACGATTATAAATAAACCGTCCTCCAAAATATAAACATATAAGAAAAATGAATTTAAGAAACCCATGTGAACCTAAATTATTAATATGGTATGGATACTTGCATTTCTACAACCAACATGATGACGAATTTTGAACTAATCTATACATTCATTATCTGGTAAAACTGTAAAAGTAGCATCATCAACTCCACATTCAATAAAGAAATGTGCTTATCTTGGTTACATTACTCCTGTAGGTTGTTTAGGATCCATACATAAATCTCCTTAAGTATATTTAACTACAATTCCTTTTTCTAAATCTCGTTAATCCAAATGATCAAATGTTTATGTTTCCACCAAACCAGCAACATCGCAATTTTCAGTTATTTATCCCATAACTGCCAATGCTTCTATTGCACCAACCTATCTATCATGACATTTTATAGGTTTGAAATCGCAAAAATTAAATATGTAAACCATACTAAACATTCCCATACCACTTGTTTCATCCTTCAATTACCATCCTCCATCTTTATCTAATTATTTTAGGTTATATGTATATCCTGTTTCATCTGTCCATATACATTAATCACATAAACCCATCCCTATCAAAAATAAGAATACTCTTAATGTAATATTAGAACACATATGTTAATTTATTTTATTTTTTATTTATATTTATCAATATATCAATAAGCTCTAACTGGTTGCAATCTAGCCTTTAAATCTAAATTTTCTCCTTCCAATTCTTATATGTGTTTATCAAAGTTATCTAAATCCTCATTTAATTATCCAATCAATTCTTCTTATTCTTTTAACTTATTTTCAGCTACTTAATATTTATATTTCAAGGCTTCTATTTGTGTAGCCAACATAGCTATCTTACCTTCATTATCATACTAATTTTATCATAATATTTATTACCTTAATCTATTCTAATTATTCAACCTATTATTATAATTGTTGAATCTTTTCTTTCAATTATGAGTTCTCATGATCTCTCTATTATAACTCATTCTCTAATTATTATTAATTTATCAATTGTTCATTCAATAAATTCAATTAGTTTTATAGATCGTTTACACTAAATTTTATTTTATAATTTACCTAGCTTTTGCTTAATTTAATTCATCAGACTTTGCAGTTAATGTTTAATGAAGTGTATTATTTTCTTTCTCTAAATTTTGTGCTTTTTCTTCAACCTAATTTAATGCATTTTCTAATGTTCCTAACTCCTATTATAAGTGTTCATAATCTTATAATTTCTCTTCTAACTCCTTGATTGTATTTTAAGCTCCATTGTATTTAAGTTTAGCTCTCTCTATTTCTGGTCCAAGTAATGCTACTTTATTTTATAATCCATAAACTTCATTATTTAACTTATTTATTTAATCATCCTTCTTCATTAAATCTAATTAATCTTAATCTGCCTTCTTTTTCATTTCTTATATTTATTCTGACAATCTTGTATTTTCTGGATCTAATGGTTCTAGTTATGCTACAACATTTGATAACTATTTTAATTGTAATTTAATAATACATCTGTATTTTAATTTGTTAATTCATCTATTTTTTCTTATTTATTTTTATTTAAATGTTTTTATCTCTCAATTTCAGCAGCCAACATTGCTATTCTCATATCCAAATTCTCTTTCTCTTTTGTTACTTTATCCAATTATAATGTAGTCTTGTCTAAATCTTCCTTAGTCATTCTTAAATCTTAAGATCTATTTTTTAATAAAAAATATATCATACTTTTCAGCATAATTAGCTTATAAATTATTATAGTCTTTCTCCATTACTTAATATGACTCAATTTAACCTTCCAACTCTTTCACTTTAGTCTAAGCTTCTCCTAATTTTTTAGTTAATTGTTTATTCTCTACTTACAATTTATTCATCAACTATTACAAATCACTAACTTAAGCTTGTAATGGCTCAATTTAAGCTACTAATTATTCTAATTCTGCAATCTTCTATCTCAAATCTGCTATTTCATGCTATAACTCCTCTTCCATCATTTATTTCTCTAAAGTTATTGCTTTCAATTATTTTGTTAATTAATTAAAATTATCTGTTAATTCATCATTTATTAATCTCATCTATATTGCTTCTGCTTTATAAACTTATAATGTCTTAACTTCATTATCTTTCTATAAATATTTAGCCTTCCATTATTCTAACTCATCTCTCAATTAGGCAATTTCATTTTTCAAACTCTCATTTTCCTATCTTACTTGATTAAGCTTTGTATCCAAAGTAAGGTTGAAACCTATTGCTTCTTTTAATTCTTATTCTAATATTCTATCCTTTATTATTTTTCCTTCCAATTCTTTTATTAACTTAGCTTATTATTCAATCTTATTTCTTGATTGATCTAACTCTTTTGTCAACTTCTTTAATTCATCAGCAGTCTTTTAATGTTTTTATTATTCATCTAAATATGCTTACTCTAATTTAGTATTTTAAATTCTCTAATCATTTAATTGTTAAACTACCAAAGTATAATTTGATTCCAATTATTATAAATTTGATTTTACCTAAAATAAGGTTCTTATTTATAACTCTTATTAACTTAATTATTCATTTTAAAGATTTATTTAATCATTATAGTCTAAATTTTATTTCGATAATTTATCTACTTAATTTTATAATTTATTAGCTTTTTATTCTAATTGAGGAATCAATTCTTGTAAATAACTTAATTAATTCACTTTCTATTCTAAGTTATTGTTCTTTCTCTTAAGTTCTTCAATCTCTTTTATTAAGTTTTGTTTCTCTTATCTCAATCTTTCTACTTCATTCTTATAGATTTAATATTATTAATCTGTTCTCAATAATTTTTTCTCCAAATCAGAAACCTATTACATATATGTTGGTAATTAAATGTTGAGTTCTGTAATTTCTTTGCTCTTTAATGTATTTTCTGCCTTTAATTTCTCAATTATTGCTTCATATTATTTATTCTAATCTTCAAACAAATGGGTTTCTTGAATTTTAATTTACAATGATCTAATCTCTCCTTATAATTTGCTTATTTAATCTTAATAAGTTGTATTTAAATCAGCCATTTAATTCTTTTAGATTGTAATATCATTTAATTTTCTTTAAAGACCTTTCAAATCAGCTAATTAACGATCATTTTCTAAATACTTTTCTTTGTATTAATCAGCCAATTTTTAAAGAGCTTTGATTTCTTCTTATTTACGAAGTATTTCTTCTCTAAATTCTTAAATTTATAAATGATGATCATTTTTTATAGAATTATTCTAATCCTATAAATTCTATACGGTTTTCTAAAGATTAAGTAACTCTGATTCTAATTATCTTATTCTGTCTTATAATTTTGCATTCAAAACAATCTAGTTATCTAATTCTTGTTGCTTATTTTACAATTAATTATTTAAAGTATCAATTTATTATTCAGCTTTAGCTAATTTCAATCTTAAATCTTCAATCTATTAAGACTTTTAATTTAAAATTGTATTATTTCTTTATAATTCAATGTTAATTTAATTATCTCTTAAACTAGTAAGATTTTTCTATTATGAAATATTTTATAATTATTGCTATAATTATGAATTTCTTGAACTTAAATCAGAGTTAATTTTAAGTGTCTATTCATATTTTTATTACAAAACTTTTAATTAACTTTGTAATTCTCCTAATCCATCAACTTATGATTATAATTATTGATTTTCTGCTTCTAATTAGGCCAATTATAAATTAAGTTGATCATTTAATGATTTGTAAGTTTCACATTGTTAGAAGATTTTTAAGTACTCTGTTTCTTTAGATATTAATTCTTTTAATCTTGATTCCAATTCAAAGTTCTTAACAGTTAGATTCTTAATTTAATTTCTTAATTCAGCAATATCTCTATCTTTCATGTCTAATTAAGATTTGGCTCTATTTAAATCTAATTCCAGAATTCTTAATTATGATAATTTTTCTTATAGATTTTATAATTCTTTTTCTACATTAGCTAATTATTCAGCTTTTAATTTCAATTCTTTATCTAAAGAGGACAAATCTGATAATAAACTTTATTTTTCAATTTATAATTCATTAATTTCCAAAACTTATTATCTAAGTGTATTGTTATCATTTTCAATGAATTTTAATTTATTGTTCAATTTATCATAAGCTTATTATTTATTTTCAAGTGTTTTATTTAATTGATCAATTTAATAATTTAACACACCATTTTATTTTTATAAATCTTAATTCTGAGCTCTTACTTGATCCAATTATTTTTTCAACTTCTCATTTTCTAAAAGTTATTTGGCTTATTCATCATTTTTTCTTTTTAATTCATCAATGACTCTTTGTTTCTCCTGAATTTATGACTTTAATCCTAATAATTCTTTTATATGATCTTCTGCTTATTAGAGACTATATAATAAGTTAATATTACTTATTTTTTAACCTTTCAATTTCTTATTGTTTTGATGCAAGTTGTTAATTCAATCTTTCAATTTCTTTAAGTAATAATTTATTATTATTATCTTGATCAGTAACTTGAACCTAAAGATCAAAAACTTATAATTCTAATGCCAAAGCCTTTTTCCTCCATTAATCTAAATCATTAAGTATTTAATTAATTTAATCTCTCAATTTCTTATTCTCATCTTCCAATAAATCCATAGTAGATAATTACCCTCTCTTAACACTGTCTAAATTCAATTGATTCATTCTTTAAAGTAAATCTCTCAATTCTTATAATAATCTGTTTCTATCTTCTTCAGATAACTTGAATTTATCTTTCCACATAGCCAATTCATTTTCAAGATTTTTAATTTTACTTAACAATTAAAAGTTGTCAATTTCTAATTTTCTTGCATAAATCAAGGCTTCCTCCAAATTTTACAATTTTTCTCTTAACTAAAAGATTCAAATAAATAATAATACATCTTAGTTTTCATTTTATTTTCTCTTGAGTAATTCTTGTAAAGCATCATGTTCGTGTTAATTTAATTCCAATTAATAAATTTTATTATCTCTCTAAGCAATTGCTAAATCTTTCTATTCGTTTTCATTGATAAGTTGTTTAATTAATGCTAACAACTTGCCATTTTCATCTGAGAGTATCCTTAATCTCATTTCATACATTCCAGTCTAAAAATTATATTTTCATTAATTACTAGCTCTTCCAATCCTGAACCACCACTTGTTATTTAAAGAGCAAAGAATCTTGCCTTCCATTATTCTACTTCTATTTGTAGTTAATTAACTTTGTCCAAGTCAGATCCATCTCCATCTTGCTTAATGATAATGGCTAACAATTATATTATTAATCATTACTTTATTAAGGTCTAACAAGGGTTGGCACTACTTTTGAAGTTATCATAGGCTATATTTATCCATTAGGCATTTAGAAATACTCTAATTAATTTACTACTGCTGATTAAGTCATCGCTACAGGAGGCTAAAGGATTAAGATTATTGTTTACTGAATTAATTACTCTTACACTTGACCCTCCTGCACTAGATTTCTTCATCCTATCATTAGGAATTACTATATGGCTCTCAGAATTAACTCTTGATTGTTAATTTCCTTATTATGGTGATAAAAATCTCCCTCGATTAGGTGTTTATTATTCACTCATTAGATTAAATTAATATCTTTGCAATAATTTTTATATACATATATATATATATACACTCATAAATAATTAATCGTACTTCGTCATGCTTTCTCATTTTATATATATATCATATTCTTTTTATTCTAAAACTATTAAATTTAGAAATTTCTTCATCTTTTATTCCAAACATTTTAATTATTTTACTCTATTTAAAATCATATTCAGACTTGTTAAATTTTATTTAGTAAATAAAAATTATGTCTTAAGAAAATATTAGTTAAAATAATCATTTTGAGCTTGCCAAGCATACTAATGCTGTCAAAAGATTTGAAAATTTTGAGAAACTTAAACTTATTGAAAGATTAGAAACTATTTCAAAAATTAAGAAATCTAATGATAGATTAGAAATCAAGAAATTTATGTTTCAATTATAATAAAGAATGTTTGAAACACCTGATTAGTTTTCAATTATTAAATTTTCAATAGGTCTAAAGCCAATTTTAGAGAATATGCCTAAAGAAGTGTAGAAAAAATAAAGCGTGATTCAAAACTTTCTCGTTCACCAGACTCACGTCAAACTACAACAGCTGAGAAGTAGATAGAAATAAAAGAAATTGAAGTTAAACCATTTAATATGTGATAGTTCTTATTAGTTACATATAATTATCATAATTATTATTAGTTTTGTTTAAAATTCATTTTTTTTTAGTATTCTGAAAAAATACATTTTCTATACAAAATTAACAAGATTTAAGTCTTATTACTTGAAGTTTAAAAAATTCATCTCTTCTTTTAATTGAATAAAATTACAATTTACAAATATGTATATTATAATTTAGATCTAAAAATTTTGAATTATAATCCTGCCAATATAATAAAGATATAAATCATTTCAACCAAATGAATTTTTTTATTCATTTCGTAAATATTTTGAATATCTATGATCAAATACATGTAAATAATACAAAGATTATATGCAATAATTATTTCAGCTTTGATTTTCATAAATATGATCTTAAAAACATTTTTTTTTTTTTCAAAACATCTGAAGTTCTATTAATGCTATTTCTAGGACTTAAAACAACAGCAAAATGAACACTTTTTACTGATTTTTGAACATCTGATATTTATTGAAAATATGATGATTAATTATTGATAAGTTCTTTTTTTTTCAAGATGCTTTTAATTCCTATACTTTAAAAAGATGTTGATAACTTTGTA